ATTCAAAGGAAGTGAAGATAACAAAATTAATTTTCAAAAATATTTTTTTTAATAGTTCTAAAGTAGAATAAAATGCTCCGCAGGGGCGCAGCTTGATACGACCGCAGAGGTCGAACCCTGAACAGTTGGGGCAAGTATGGACACAACATTCAAGCTTGATACAGCTTTGCATTTGGATTGTGATTAAATATTTGACACAGCATAGGTTTCTGACACAGAATGAATGTGGTCTAAGAACTTAAAAATTTTAAATTGGACATTCACCTATTATGGTCCAATATCAAAAATCTAAATACATGGTTAGATTCAGCATATCAAAGAACCCCAAGAATTCAATTTTTGATGAAATCAAGCAAAGTTTAATTTTGGACCCTTTTGACCTCAATGTGGACAAAGTTGATAACGGGGCCCAAAAATCAAAAAACATGGTTAGTTTCAGCATATCAAAGAACCCCATATATTCAATTTTTGTTGAAATCAAACAAAGTTTAATTTTGGACCCCGATTTGGACCAACTTGAAAACTGGGCCCATAATCAAAAATCTAAATACATGTTTAGATTCAGCATATCAAAGAACCCTAAGAATTCAATTTTTGTTAAAATCAAACTAAGTTTAATTTTGGACCCTTTGGACCTTAATGTAGACCAATTTGAAAACGGAATCAAAAATTAAGAATCTAAATACACTGTTAGATTCGGCATATCAAAAAACCCTATTATTCAATTTTTTGATGAAATCAAACAAAGTTTAATTTTGGACCCTTTGGACCTCAATGTGGACCAATTTAAAAATGGGGCCCAAAATCCAAAAACTAAATACACGGTAGCATATTTAAGAACCCCAATAATTCAAGAATAAAACCCCATTGAAATTGGTCAAGAAATAAGCAATTTATACGAAGTATCTTCTTTTGCACAATACTGTGCAATTAAATATTTCTTGCTATTGCGCAATACTGTACAATTGACAATTTCTTGCTATTGCGCTATATTGTGCTATTGGATATTTCTTGCTATTGCGCAATACTGTGCAATTGAAGATTTCTTGCTATTGCGCAATACTGTGCAACTGAAGATTTCTTGCTATTGTGCAATACTGTGCAATTGAAAATTTCTTGCTATTGCACAATACTTATTATATAATAATTTATACATCCTGTTCGGTGTGTATCTCCTACCATATCATTATTATTTGCTTTTAAATATAAATCAGAAATAACCAACTTAAAATGGAAAATTTTAAAAGAAAAAAAAAAGGAAAAAAAGAAAAAAAAGGAAAAAAAAAAAATCCCCCCCACCAATTTTTTGAACCTCCTTATGATTCATCACCCCCAAACTCAATCCCAGTCTTCCCTTTGTGGTATGGTACCTTGAAGTACAATTTCAGAGAGATCCATACACTTGAACACAAGTTATTGTCTGGAAACTAGAAAAATGTGTTTTTTGGCCCCTTTTTGGCCCCAAATTCCTAAAATATTGAGGCAATTACCCCCATCATCAATCCCAGCCTTCCTTTTGTGGTATGGTACCTTGCAGTACAATTTCAGAGAGATCCATACACTTACACACAAGTTATTGTCCTGAAACTAGAAAAATGCTTGTTTTTTGCCCCTTTTTTGCCCCTTATTCCTAAAATATTGAGGCAATTACCCCCATCATCAATCCCAGCATTCCCTTTGTGGTATGGTACCTTGCAGTACAATTTCAGAGAGATCCATACACTTGAACACAAGTTATTGTCTGGAAACTAGAAAAATGCTTATTTTTGGCCCCTTTTTGACCCCCAATTCCTAAACGTTTCGGCAATTACCCCCAAACTCAATTCCAGCTTTCCCTTTGTGATATGGAACCTTGTAGTACAATTTCAGAAAGATCCATACACTTACACACAAGTTATTGTCATGAGACAAGAAAAATGCTTGTTTTTGGCCCCTTTTTTTGACCCCTAATTCCTAAAATTTTGAGGCAATTACCCCCAAAAATCAATCCCAGCATTCCTTTTGTGATATGGAACCGTGTGGTACAATGTCAGAGAGATCCATACACTAACACACAAGTTATGTCTGGAAGTTACAAAAATGCTTATTTTTGGCCCCTTTTTGGCCCCTAATTCCTTAACTGTTGGTACCATAACCCCCAAAATCAATCCCAACCTTCCTTTTGTGGTATTGAACCTTGTGGTAAAATTTCATAGAGATCCATTCACTTAAACTAAAGTTAGAGTGCGAAAACCAATGTGTCTTCGGACGACGCCGGACGACGCCAGACGACGACGACGACGACGACGACGCCAACGTCATACCAATATACGACCACAAAAATTTTTTTGCGGTCGTATAAAAATAAAAGGATGTAATATTCTGATATGTATTTGCATTCAATTCGTTTTAAGATTTAATCTTTTTACAAAAATAAACCATAAAATTAAGGAGTATATTGTGAAAGGTGACAAAAAGGGGAAGTAACTCAAATTTATTGTCAAACAATTATGAAATAGACAAATTATTTAATTATGACCGTAAGCTACGGTAATTGGTGTTAATTAACCGCGTGTTTGACACCAAAGCTGTCAAGTGAAGCCATGCACTTAATGAGTCACTTAATTTCAATCTAATTAAAATTAGTTTTCCACACTTGCTCCTCGTTGTTTATATGTCGTGCGACATATAAACAATGAGGAGCAAGTGCGGAGAACTAATTTTAATTAGACTGACTTAATTTGACAGTTAACACAGCTATTTGAACTTCTTGCCTAGGAAAAAATAACGAATTTGCCGGTATTTCATAGAAAATTACTTATGAAATCAGTCTAATTAGTCCCAAGAATCTGGGTGAAAACAGGTCATATTCCAAATTCACAGGTTATTTGACGTCACGGAGGGTATTTAAAAAATTTGTAAGGGTTCCGCGGAACCCAGTGTCTCGCCTACTTTTGCTGTTAATCACAGGCTCAACAAAAATGAGGAAAAAAATTAATAAAAATATTCCTCTCTATACTATCTTTTTATTGTAAGTAGCTTCTGTCCAAGTTTGGTAAAATTCCAGGATAGTTTATGAATCTAATAAATGTTTTAAAAACTTTAACTGCAGACTGTATGTAATGTTAACTGGAAGAAAAACTAAGTCCATTTATAAGTAAAATATGGAAAAAATGGAACAAAATTTTAACAAAATTTCCTTCTAGATACGTACTAGCTTTTAATCATAAACAAGCTTCTGTCCAAGTTTGGTAAAAATCCAGGATAGTTTAAGAAAGTTGTTAAAATTTTAAAAACTTTAACCACAGAGTGAATGTAATGATTCATGGCAGAAAAACTAAGTCCATTTATAAGTAAAATACGGAAAAAATGGAATTTATTTTTTACAAAATTTACTTTTGAATATTATCTTATGATCTTAAACAAGCTTCTTTCCAAGTTTGGTAGACATCCAGGATAGTTTAAGAAAGTTATTAAAATTTCAAAATCTTTAACCACAGAGTGAATGTAATGTTTCCTGGCAGAAAAACTAAGTCCATTTATAAGTAAAATACGGAAAAAATGAAATTTTTTTTTTACAAAATTTACTTTTGAATATTATCTTATGATCATAAACAAGCTTCTGTCCAAGTTTAGTAGACATCCAGGATAGTTTAAGAAAGTTATTAAAATTTCAAAAACTTTAACCACAGAGTGAATATTTGTGGACGTTGCCAACAACGACGCCGACGGAATGTAGAATCGCTATGTCTTGCTTTTTCGACAAAAGTTGAAGGCTCAACAAAAATCCCGGGTATGGGTTGTAACCCGCAGGATACGGGTCAGTTGACAGGTATGGTTGACATACTTGGAGAGGCCTGCTACGAATGATTCAGACAACAATGGTTGGCGTTTCAATATCATTATAAGGGGACGAAGTCCCCTATTACAGAAGAAAAATCAATACAAAAAAAAAAAAAAAAAAATCGGGAAAATTTCCCGAAATTTTCATTGTACTAATGAACTCAAAATCGTTAACTTTTTTTTTGTAACTTTTTTTAATTCCCGCATCTGCGCAGAAATCTACTTCCTTCTTCCGGTCTCGTTAGTTATGAGACTTTGAATGAAATATATATTTATCAGTCCAGTAAAATATAGGAAGGAACACAATAACAATTTCATTTCTAATTATTCTTTGATATAAAAAAAACGTTACCTGATGATAGCGTTTCTTTGTTTACATTGAATATGACGTCATAACTAAAATAACGTCACAACTAAAATCCCTAACAGAACCAAAATCGGAGACGTTACGGTATTTCCGTTTCTTTTTTAACAGATTTAGAACTTAAAATATGTTTGAATTAAAAAAAATAATTTATATAGACTTCGACCCCTTTCACAGGTAATGCCTGCCTCATATTATTTAGATACATCAATTTAGATTTACAACATAACAAGTTTTAGTGGGGTTAACAACAGTGAAATCAGAGTTCGCAAGCGGGTGACACTTTTCAAAAATGTGAGTTATGTACCTTGTGTTTTATATTATAGTATATATAGGAATTTTTTTCTGAGCCATTACCTTGAGGGGTTATCCCTCATTTGGAAGGTTGTACCCAACCTGCTAAACACATGTAATGATTTTTTCGTTAATCAAATTATGATTTTCTATGAACGCTTAAATGTAAACGATATATGAATACCATTTCTTTTGTGAACAACCTTTACCAAGAAAATGAATAATACGGGGGAAAATCTGTAAAACGAAAGTGAAAGTTAAAAAATCAAAATAACATCATTGTAAACGAAATTATCTCTGTCAAAACCTTAAAAAGAACATTAAATAAAACGATGCAGGTATGTCTTTACCTAGCAATACTTTTTTGCACTGAAATTTATGTCAAATGCATCTTCTTACTACTTTCGGGTCTGTCCCAATCTAAAACCGAAAGTACGAATAGCTTTAGCCAATAAGAATTGTTTAGACAAAAATTATTGTCCTATCAAAAAATACATACATAGAGCCGCCTATGATAAGGGGAAATAATCTGCTGTAAACAATAATGGAAGGACGTGTGGAACATGGACTTGCAAGAGTGTTATCAAAGCAGGATTTCGATCCGGATCATTGTATGTTAAGCAGGGTTGGAGAAACATAGTATTGGCGTTCAATTGCCAACTTTTGACTTTATTCTACTGAGGGAGTCCAAGCCCATAAATTATCCGCTTTGCTTCTGCCAGATTTTTAGGCAGTTAAGCTGCCTTATGCGAGCACCCTAGATTTGTGTTCTACCCAATAAATGCTGAAATACGTGCCATTGTTATTATCTAGCAAGCTATTATGTTATTTATAACTAATTGGACATTTTATTAATACTTTTATTTCTGGAATACAAAAAATATGACCAGAAAAACCTTAAATGATCGTCGAACTACCCAAAACTTTTGAAGTTGCACATAGGAAGTAGTGCTCAAGAGAAATCCGTAGGTAGTTTATTATCCCCTGTGCTTTTGGCTACGATGTCAAAGAACAATTGTATGAAATATTTCATCGCCGAAAATCGGTAATTACAAGTCGTTGATATTTCCCAAATGGCAAAATACGCAGGAATATTGTTCATGTACAACAAATCTCTATGATAGAGGAAATAAAGTTATATAAGTGGGCGGTAATTTTTAACTTATCTTGCCAAATAAGGTTGTTGTAATTTTATGAATGAAACGAGGTCATAAAACAGATGCGGAAATCGACGTTGATGGGATGCTTTAAGTAATGTGGCCAACTCGTCCCCAAGACAAGTCGGACCGAATCCACTCAAACCGTCTAAGAAGACAACTTTGACCGTTTGTCAGATTTACTTAGGGTTTCATAAAACATGTCTAGCGGAGCCATTAATCTTTTGTTTGTGCATTTGGGTCTATTAAGGGGTATTTGGAGGGGCCTGAAGAAGGGAGGGGTTTACTATAGAACCCTATGGTATTTTATTTTTTTTAATTTTCAAATGACTATTTCTCGAAAACAGTAAGTGATAGACACGTGCAGTCTTCAGTAATGAGAACAGGACAATTGAAAAAATCAACCAAAATATAGGGCGAGTCCCTGGGGGTCATCCCAACCCCCTTCAATTTTAAAATGTACTTTTATCTTGTAAAACGTCGCGATCCCCACCCCTAAACAATATATATACTTGTATGGGACAATAAAAGAAATCAAATGAAAATAATTTGGGGGAGTCCCTGGTGTCGTCCCATCCCTCCTGTTTGAGAACTTGGAAATGGTTGAGATCCCCACCCCTAAACCATATATATTCATGTATGGGACAATAAAACAAAAAATCAAATGAAATATAGGGGGAGTCCCTGGGGTCACCCCACCCCTCCTGTTTGAGAACTTGGAAATGGTCGAGATCCCCACCCCAAAACCATATGTATTCATGTATGGGACAATATAACAAATCAAATGAAATAATGGGGGAGTCCCTGGGGTCACCCCACCCCCTCCTGTTTGAGAACTTGTAAACGGTCGAGATACCCACACCTAAACCATATTTATCCCTGTTCATCATTTCAAAAAGATTTGAATGACATACAGAGTCAATCTCCTAGGTGTCACATATGCATATCACTTAACTAGACCAAACCAATACTAACAGGACTTTGCCCAATGTCAGGAGACCATGGGAATGACGAATTATGGGGGCTTTGTTTGGGAGACTTCGTAACGGCATCCTGTTACAATTATTTCTTGTTTATTATAAAAAAAAATTTATTGATGCAAAAAATTCTAGGTTAATTGAATTTACTTTAATTATTTATTAAATTATTTTTGGGCCTAAAAATAATTTTCATTTATGGCTCATTTTAAAGAAAACATATAAATCTTTCAAGCAGTGTAAATCCCGAGAATGTTTGACCAACTGTTTTATAATAAAATCACCTGTAATTTTATTCCAAACTTGGTATGGAGTAACATCATGCACTTGTGGGTGAAGATGGGGGTCATTTACATTGATATATGAGTTGCTTTTGAAAACCTTGATTGAATATTAATTAATTTGCCTTAATAGTCAATTCATTTAATGAACATAAATGTACAATATACGAATGTTTAAAGTTTGTTCTTTCAAATCTTAAAAAAAAATTGAAGCAACACTGCCACAGTGTTCATAATTATGTTTGCCATGTTTGCCTTGGTTTTTGGTTAACTACCTACAGCGCTTACAATGCTTTGATTTTATTAATGAATGCCAAATTTATGGCCACATTAAACAAACTTCAAATCAAATCAAAGTTTTATTTATTGTCAATACATTACAAACAAATTAACACAAGCTCTAGTATGCTGTTTATACTGCTATGGCCATAAGGTTTGGTACGCATACAGAACCACCCCTCCACAAACATGATTTTACTTGACAGACAGTGCTGATACAAGTTACAACCCTAGGAGTAAAAGCATTTTAATAGACCTTTATGTAAGAGATCTTATTTATTTACAGAAAAATATCAGCTGGATGGTGATTACTTTCGCCGTTTCTGGGTCGCCCTGCTATTCCGACACCCCATCGTTCTGACGCCCCATTAGTCTGACACCCCATTTGTCCGATAGTCCAACGTCCCATTAGTCCGACACATGTCATAATATCTATATACATTGTACTTCATTGGATCGGTAGACGTGGTATTTGAACTAGTGTCTACCATCTGGTATGCAAGAAAACTTTATTTTGCTTTATTAATACAAAATAGTGACCTAGCTACTTCATTAAAAACACTCTGTCAAAAAGAGAATTTGATTGATTGTTATTTGCCATACATTTACAACTGGGCGTTAAGAAAAAAAAAGTAATCATGTAAGAATGGCTGGGAGTGTACTATGATCATGTATTGCACATTCATTAAAAAATCACACTCTTTGAAAAAAATAATACTTTATTGGTGTTCTTTCCAGCTTAGAAAATAATAGATTAACGGTCAACATTTTTAATCCGTCAATAGCATAAGCAAACACGATTAGCATGATTAGTGAATATAATTTCGTTCGAAATCCAAATAAATAGGACAAAATTTCAGGTAGCCAGAGAAACCCTAAACAGATAATCATGTTTTCTTCTATTTAGACATTGAAAACGATATGGTTTCTCACTAAAATTCTACTTGTTCTTTTTATCTTTTGATATAGTTTTTTTTTCAGCATGTGGGTATATCACCATAAGAAATCAGTGCATGTGTGGCTTGTGATTATAACCTATGCATAGCATGCAACTTATACATTGTGAAAATCATAAATGATATGGCAAGTAAGGCTGTCAGTGCCATTTTGTAAAATTATTAATATTGATAGCAAGAAAGCCTGTATACAGGAATGAAATTTCATGACTTGTTCGTGTCCAATTAACGTTCAAATAAATTTACATTCATGCATTAATTCCTAAATAATCATTAACCTTTGCTTGATCATGTTAATAGCATTTGATTTTCTTATAACTTTTTTCTAAAATCAAAGGTGACTGGGTATACAGTGTTCCAGCTAGGTTGTTTTTACAGGGCGGTCCGCCCGCCCTTTCCCGAGTGCCGCCCTGTGCCCTTTTTACAGTTTGCAAGAAATGTTTGAATACGCAGCCACGTCCGGTCAGAATGAGGACATAAAATCCAATGCCTCAAGAAAAGAGAGTCTCTTTGCACTTTAAGAACCCTTGCACAAACTTTTTGGAAAGTCCATATTCTTTCCCTATTCAGTATATATACCCTCATTTTCCAGTAGCATTTCAACTTTCCTCATCTTTCAATACGGGACTTAACAATTAAATCTATTGCTGATTAGTTCTCATATTTAGCATGCATGAAGTATTTGCCGCTGGACAGAAAGCAAACAACAATCAATCGATCTTAGTTCTTTCCTTAATTCATACATATATATAATTGGGAGTAATGGTATGTTCCTGTGACAAATGCAGCTATCTAAGAATAACATAGTGGTTGGTCAGTTTGTATTTTTTTCATAGCAAAGAAACATGCTGATTGTATACAAAACTCCAATAACCTTACAATCTCATTGTTTATCATGTCGATATATGATATCATTTATATGATAACTCTATTGTTTTGTCATTTTACCCTATAACACTTACTATTTACTAAAACATATTTTGCAAACTTATATAGTCAGTAGCTTCCTTACAGAAAAACTTTGAAGGGTATTACTTGGAAGGAGATACTCATTGAACCAATTTATCCACTGTTTGAAAAAGAGCAAAATTATGACTGAACAGTCTAAGACAAATGTTCTGTTCTTATTTCTTTTCTTTCTTTAAATATTGGTGCCTATTCGTCAAACAAAATTGGTGTTTTCTTTAAATAATGGCATTACATGTACTGTTAAATTTTAGCTCCTCTTTAATATAAAAAATCAATCAAATTAAAAGTTCTAATTTAGTTTACCGTTATTACCTTTTTGGACTTGAGTTACCGGTATACAGGAAAAATTTCTTTTTTGTAAAGCAGATACATGAGATACAAGACCAGATCAACTTAACCTTTAAGCCACAAACCCACTTTGTTGTTCTCTATTTTGTAGAGCAGATACGAGACCAGATCAAAGTTTCAAAGTGTTCTCTTTCTTTACATTTTTTCACCGTCAGCTCAATACTGATGACCTTTGTTTTGTGACACTTTACCCAAATAGGAAGTTGATTGGACTAAATAGCGATAAAGTGTATATCCATGGAAGATTCCTGATTCCAGATCTTTTGCAGATTTCAAAACTACATGTATGATAAATATGACATCTTGCCATTCTAAATCTATGAAGAATCAAAATGATGGCAAATCTATGGCAAATTTGATTGTTTCCGAATCAAGGGCAGATTTTCTAGTTTCTCAATTTATGGCAGATTTTTTTACAAACAGAGGACCAGTCAGTACATATCTGACCAATGAGCCAATGACCTACTTTAAACAAATCCTTCTTTATTCAACAATAAATATAGCTAAAAATGATGTAGATAGTTTTTGGAAATGGAAGCAAGTCAACTCATACCTACTGCTACCAATGATAATTTGTACCACTACAAACTCATACCATTTAAGAATGTTTTATTAATTGTTTTTGGCAAATGTTTAAAAAGTATTAAAAGATTTTCCTGAATTTCTTAATTTCTAGTACATGTATCATGATGTATCATAGACCATAATTGAATTATTTGTTATCTTTTGGTTGTTGTTGGTTCATGTCTGTCATATTTTTTTATCGTAAATTGTTTTGTTAAAAATCAAGATGTAGATTTTTTAATTGAATTTTTTCATATATTTCATGTTGGGGCTTTTTATAGCTGATTACACGGTATGGGTTTTCCTCACTGTTGCCTATAATTGCTTACATCCCTTTCATTTGAACTTTGGTGGATGTTGTCTCATTGGCAAATTATATTACATCTCCTTATTTTAATATTAATCTTTGATTACTTCATCCAATTAGCCAAGGAACAATCCGCTTCAATTTGGTCATTGTGCATGTTGTGATTTTCCAATTACAGACTTCTTAGTTATTCAGTTAAATTCAAATGTTCACCATTTAAAATAAGTTGGTACAAGTTTGTTTTTAGTGGTACAAGAGAGCAATGGTTCAAGAATATTATAATTCATTAGAAATCTATGACAAATTTTTATGCCCGCACCCCACCATCACCAGAGGGGCATTTTTTATTCCCCTTGTCTGTCTGTATGTCTCAAAATTGGTTTCCGTTCTCTGACATTAGTTTGCACAACCAAATTTTATGAAACTAATACACAATACGTTTATCAATAAACACAGATCAATTTTAAATTTGGGTTGCATCACTTCTACCATTCTGGAGTTATGCCCCTTTATGTATGGAAAAATTACTGATTTTTGTCTCGCCTTGACGGAGTCAAAAAGCGAGACATAGGTATGCTGTTTCCGGCGGCGGAGGCGTCAACAATGTATTAGTTTGTGATTAGGTCTAGATCATGGTGAACCACTAGTGGTAGGTCAATGATATTTGGTATGCAGTTGCATTAGCATTGGCACATCTCATTACCATGGAGATTTTTTGGCCCGGCCCCCTCAGTCAAGGTCTATTGACTTTGAAACTTTTCATAGTTTACATGTATTAGTTTGTGATTAGGTCAATTTATGGGGAACCACTAGTGGTAGATCAATGATATTTGGTATGCAGTACTTGTATAAGCATTGGCATATCTCATTTCCATGGAGATTATTTGGCTCCGCCCCCTTAGTCATGGTCTATAGACTTTTAAAATTTTGCTAAGTTAACATGTATTAGTTTGTGATTTGGTCAGTTCAAGGGGAACCATTAGTGGTAGGCCAATGTTAATTGGTGTTCAGTTGTATAAGCATTAGCACATCTCATTTCCATGAAGAATATTTGGCCCCGCCCCCTCAGTCATGGTCTATTGACTTTGAAACTTTTGCTTAGTTTACATGTATTAGTTTGTGATTAGATCAGTTTAAGATGAACTGCTAATGTCAAATCATTGATATTTGGTATGCAAATGTATTGGCATTTGCAAGTATCGTTTCCATGGAGATTATATAGCCCCACCCCTGTTCATGGTTCATTGACTTTGAAACTTTTACATAGTTTACAAGTTAATGTTTGTGTTTAGGTTTGTTTAAAGGGAACAACTTATAATAAGTCAATGATATTTGGTATGCAGTTGTATTAGCATTGGCACATCTCATTTTATGGAGATTGTTTAGCCATGTACCTTCAGTTATGGTTCATTGACTTTGAATATTTGCATAACTTACATGTTAAAGTATTGCTATTTTAATTTCAACATTTGCATTATCAAAATTACAAAAAGCCGAGACATATCTCTATGGTAATAGTTTTTATACGCCCGTTTACGGGACGTATTATGGTATACCGTTGTCTGTCCGTCCGTCGTCAACATGTCGGACATTAACTCAAAAATGCTTTAACCAATTTGCATAAAACTTTGGTGAATTGTTTATATCTATTGACGTGAGCTCCCTTTTGTTTTTTTTATAAAATTTAGATTTTACGTTTCCGAGTTATGGGGTTTTATATATATATATTCATTAAAAAAAGGGGGATTTTCCAGTTTTTGGACAATAATTCAAGAATGCTTTCACCAACTTGCAAGAAATTGTGGTGAATTGTTTATATCTATTGACATGAGCTGCCTTTCAATTTTTATAAATTTTAGATTTTACGTTTCCGAGTTACAGGGTTTTATTCATGAAAAAAGGGGGGATTTTCCAGTTTTCGGACAAAAACTCAAAAATGCTTTCAGCAATTCTTATGAAACTTTGGTGAATTGTTTGTATGTATTGATGTAAGCTCCCTTTAGAATTTTATAAATTTTACATTTTACATTTCTGAGTTATGGGGTTTTATTCATTAAAAAAGGGGTTATTTTCCAGTTTTCGGACAACAACTCAAAAATGCTGTCACCAATTCTCATGAAACTTTGGTGAATTGTTTATATCTATTGATGTAAGCTCCCTCTTTATTTTCATAAATTTCTAAAATGACATTGAGAATTAATTGAACTTTATTTGTTTATAGTCTGACAACAGATTTACTAAGTATTGCACAACAGCAAGAAATCTTTAATTGAATATAAATTCAATTCATATAACCAATTTCAAGATCTTTGACTACATTTATCCAGAAACCTATAATATGTCAAATATTTAATTACAATCCAAATTCGGACCTGAATCAAGCTTGAATATTGTGTCCATTTTTGCCCCAACTGTTCATGGTTGGACCTCTGCGGGCGTATCTAGCTGCGCTCAGCGAAGCAGTTTATTTTTTTTGTTTCCATTCACAAATTTTAGTTTGCCTCTACCAACCTGATCAAATGTTATGAAATTAAACACAATGCTTATTACCATATGCATGATTACCACAAAACTCAGATCAAATTAGAATTTTTGTGAATCACAATGGAATAATGTTGTGTTATTGCAATATGCTAATGGCATTTTATTTAACCATTTTTTATCTACCAATTCTCATATTTACATGTATGTTAAACCTTTCACCCCTAAAGATGCCCTGAGGCACGCCTGTTGCATGGCATAGCCTGCTGTATGCCCAAAAATGCCTTTTTTCAGTGTTTTTTTTTAAATTAATTCAACAACAAAATGATTGGTGTATTACCAAAAAAAAATTAAAAAGGTCAGGTAGAGCATTATGAAATTTATTTCTTTGCTTTGATTTGTGCCATCCCACCTTTTAACATGTTTTAAAATGGACGAACTTGAGAGAACAGGTTTTAACTATAATAACATGGAAAGATGTAGGAACTGTGGATGCAGAATCAGACTGATTTCTGTCTAATTTTATCATTTAAACTAGAACACTATCATAATTAAGGTTTTAATTTTCAGCTAACGATGTGTTGCCAATTATATGCGTAAGAACACATGTGATGACCTGTTGTCTTTTGTCTTTTGTCACTTGTCATTTCGAGTTTACAAAATTGTTTCAATAATAGATAATATGGTCCAAGTACTTATTCTGCTGATATAGAAATTATGCCTTCTGGCACGTGCACTCTACATGCTCTATGAGTGAATTTAGTATGAAATATCACAAATTACTCACAACACCTTTTGAATGATATCATGGACTTAAAAAGTATTAGGTGTACTCAATGCCAAATCTGATCTAATACATTGTAGTATGTGTATAATGAGTTGAAACATTATGAGTTTCTTTAGGGAAATAAATCTTCCTTTCTGCATATTTCAGTTGTCAGTAAACAGACAGAGGGTGGAGAAGATCAGTTGTTGGACATGAAACAAAAGGTCCAGATATTATCCGATGAGACAGCTCATGCTCTGAAACATAATGTATACAAAAATTACTCACAGTTCATAGAAACTGCCAAGGAAATTTCTAGTAAGATTAATTTAATGTGATGAAACTGCTATTACACATTATGCATCTTATTTTTTGTTAATTATACCCCTGCATTAAAAAAGTGGGGGTATACTGTTTTACCTCTGTCTGTCCGTCTGTCCATCCGTCCCATGAATATTTTTCAAGTAATTATTATGGTTTAAATATTCCAAATGCATATTTGGGTGGGGGTATCATCAGTGAGCAGTAGCTTGCAGTTTCACTTGTTGAAATACATTTTGAATTTTTTATTTCATTAATTGCAAATTATGTAGCTTTATTATTAGTTGAAAATTTGTTTGATTTGCAGCAGTATCTATTCTTATTATCTCCCCTTGAACTAATATAAAAATAAGGAGATGTGGTATGATTGCCAATGAGACAACTATCCACCAAATTTCAAATGAAGTGGATTTAAGCAATTATAGGCAGCCATACAGCCTTCAACAATGAGAAACCCATACCATAAAGTCGGCTTTAAAGACACTGACATGAAAGATATGAAACAATTCAATTGAGAAAACTAACGCCCTAATTTATTACAAAACAATTTATGAAAAACAAATAAGATAGACATGAACCAACAACAACCACTTAACTGCAGGCTCCTGATTTGAGACAGGCAGAATAGAATGTGGCTGGGTTAAACTAGTTTGCTGGCACCAAACCCTCCCCCTAACCTGGGACAGTGGTGTAACAGTACATAATAAGAACAAACTTTAATCAAAGTGATATAAAATCACTAATGGAAAGATTGGAAGAATTGTGTGTATAATTTCAATCATATTTTACACTTCCATAGCAGTGGTAGTGGATAACAAAAACTTGCTATAACACTATAATTGCATATTTGTTTGTTATATTACTGCAGATTTTTAGAATGATAAGCAATTTTCCAGTGAATAAAGTAGCTTATTAGAGTTATGTCAGTGGGTCACTAAATTTGCATAATAACTTCTTTTTGATTGCAACTTAATGTTTATATTTTTTTGAAACAGAAGAAATTACCTTTAAAAAAAATATCATCAATGGTTAAAGAGACTTGAAACTTAAAAAAGTCCTTTTTAGCTCACCTGGCACAAAGGGCCAAGTGAGCTATTCTCATCACTTGTCGTCCGTCATCGTCCGTTGTTGTTAACTTTTTACATTTTGAACTTCAAGAGAACCACTGAATGGAATGGAACCAAACATGGCATGAATGTTCCTTATGAAGTGCTGACCAAGAGTTGTTACTTTGAAGTTGATCCATAATCCAAGATGGCCACCAGCGGGGGACTTAGTTTAACAAAGGACCCTAAGAGAAATACACACAAATGTCTTCTTTTAGAGAACCACTGAAAGGAATGAAACCAAACATGGCATGAATGTTCCTTATGAGGTGCTGACCAAGTGTTGTTACTTTGAAGCCGATCCATCATCCAAGATGGCTGCCAACAGGGAACTTAGTTTAAGATAGGATCCTAAGGGAAATACATACAAATGTATTCTTTTAAAGAACCACTGAATGGAATGAAACCAAACATGGCATGAATGTTCCTTATGAGGTGCTAACCAAGTGTTGTTACTTTAAAGCCGATCCATCATCCAAGATGGCCACCAGCGGGGGACTTAGTTTAACATAGGACCCTAAGTGAAATACATTCAAATGTCTTCTTTTAGAGAACCACGGATTGGAATGGAACCAAACATGGCATGAATGTTCCTTATGAGGTGCTGACCAAGTATTGTAACTTTGAAGCCGATCCATCATCCAAGATGGCCGTCAGCGGGGGACTTTGTTTAACATAGGACCCTATTGACAATACATTCAAATGTCTTCTCTTTTAGAAAACCACTGAATGGAATAGAACCAAACATGGCATGAATGTTCCTTATGAGGTGCTGACCAAGTGTTGTTACTCTGAACCAGCTCCATCATCCAAGATGGAGGCCAGTTGGGGACTTAGTTAAACATAGGACCCTAAGGGAAATACATTCAAATGTCTTCTTTTAGAGAACCACTGAATGGAATGAAACCAAACATGGCATAAATGTTCCTTATGAGGTGCTGATGAAGTGTTGCTACTTTTATTGCTGATTTACTGTTCAAAATGGCGACCAGGATTTCTTATTAAATTACGGGGCCAATATTAAACCAAATTTTGCCTCAATCATTATTTGGGTATCTGTTATGATTTTTATCTATTTTTACATGATTTCCAAAACCAAAGTAGAGTCAGGTGAACGACACAGGCTGTGAATGGTTATTTTGTGGGCATGTCTGTTACTCTGTGTTCAAACATTGCTAAGTATAGCTTATTGATTTTGATTAAAACAATAATATATGACATTTAAGATGCATGCTTGACAAAGGGTAATTTTCACATCAATAAACTTAACATGATGTTTTTATTCTATTGTCCAAAGATGGAGACTTTTAATTTATTGAGGCAAATTCTTATTTATTTCATTGAAAAAATATATTACCTCACAGTATTCAAATATACTAATACCTTCTTTGATAAATGTAACCTATTAAAAATTATGGATTAATTACAGATAATTGTTGTACAGATTTTGCAAGAAAAACAGACACCACTTGGATTCTTTACTCATACAGATTTTCATTTTGGTCTTTTCTCAAAAAATACATTATGTATTAATCCTTACTTAACATCTTTCAAACAAGATTAAAGAGATCATTTGTTTAATGCAGTGTAAATCAAAAGATATATATATATATAGGTAAATGAATCTATCATCTGTATATAATTTTTTTAAAGAAATCCCCATTTAGTATTTGTTAGTTTCAATTAAACATGAAGATAGAGACTGACCTATATAGATCAAATCATATCAGATACTAATGACTAATGAGGTCAAAGTTTGTGTATTGAGTGGACTGCCATGTTATGTATAAACTCAAGTTATGTCATTATATTCAATTATGATTGGCATTAAAGGAGGAGGAGTTTATATAGAATTCCAATTATTGTCTCACCGTTTGTGTTTAATTGTACCTTGATCATGACAGTTGTCAATCATACTGTTAATGTATCAATACACTGAAGTAAAAAGACAAAACTAAGCCAGTAATTGAAAAAAGTAATGACTATTATTTTTTCGAAAAAAAAATAATCTACATTAAGATGTAACCAAATTTCTTTCCAGTTCCCTTGTGCATATGTACACAGACATGAGAACAATTGGGAACTTTATGTCAGTGTGTATAGATTTAGTAGCTAATCTGTCCACTTTCTGTATGGAGGCCAGTGCCTTAGGAAAAAATTGGAACAAGTTCCAATCTTTCCAAAAATCAGTTGAAAAGGGCCTAACTCATCAGATGGATACAATGCAGAAAACATCTTAAGAAAACACAGACTGGATGTGGCAGCATATCTACATTTCCCACAACAAAAAAGAATACAATGTGAAGATCTCAGAGTACTTACAATTGCTGATAGCTAGTTCAAAACTTCAAAGACAATAAAACAGCTAATAAAAAAGTTGTACATTTTTGTCTCGCCTTGACGGAGTCAAAAAGCAAGACATAGGTATGCTGTTTCTGTCGGCGACGGCGTCAACATTGTATTAGTTTGTGATTAGGTCTAGTTCATGGTGAACCACTAGTGGTATGTCAATGATATTTGGTATGCAGTTGTATTAGCATTGGCACATCTCATTACCATGGTGATTATTTGGCCCCGTCCCCTCAGTCAAGGTCTATTGACTTTGAAACTTTTCATAGTTTACATGTATTAGTTTGTGATTAGGTCAATTTATGGGGAACCACTAGTGGTAGGTCAATGATATTTGGTATGTACTTGTATAAGCATTGGCATATCTCATTTTCATGGAGATTATTTGGCTCCGCCCCCTTAGTCATGGTCTATAGACTTTTAAAATTTTGCTAAGTTAACATGTATTAGTTTGTGATTTGGTCAGTTCAAGGGGAACCATTAGTGGTAGGCCAATGTTAATTGGTGTTCAGTTGTATAAGCATTAGCACATCTCATTTCCATGGAGAATATTTGGCCCCGCCCCTCAGTCATGGTCTATTGACTTTGAAACTTTTGCTTAGTTTACATGTATTAGTTTGTGATTAGATCAGTTTTAGATAAACTGCTAATGTTGTCAATGATATTTGGTATGCAAATTTATTGGCATTTGCAAGTATCGTTTCCATGGAGATTATATAGCCCCACCCCTGATCATGGTTCATTGACTTTGAAACTTTTACATTAGTTTACAAGTTAATGTTTGTGTTTAGGTTTGTTTAAAGGGAACTACTTATAATAAGTCAATGGTATTTGGTATGCAGTTGTATTAGCATTGGCACATCTCATTCCATGGAGATTGTTTAGCCATGTACCTTCAGTCATGGTTCATCGACTTTGAATATTTGCATAACTTACATGTTAAAGTATTGCTATTTTAATTTCAACATTTGCATTATCAAAATTACAAAAAGGCGAGACATATCTCTGTGATAACAGTTTATTATGTATTTGTTCAAAAATTTATTTTCCATCACATAAACAAAAGATTGGTTGATTCATTATCAATAATTGTAGTACAGTGGAGATTCAAGTTTTCATCCAACAAAATTAAATGGTCCTTGCTTTACAAAAAAAACACAGATTTTCATAGAATAAAGAGGTTCGATCCCTGGATCTGAGAATTGATTATATATCTTTTATGCCCCCGCCGTAGCGGTAGGGGCATTAAGTTTTACCCTTGTCCTTCTGTACGTACGTAGGTACGTACCAAAATTGGTTTCCGTTCTCTAACTTGAGTTTGCCTCAACCAAATGTTATGAAACTTATACACAATGCTTATTACCACAAAACACAGATCAAGGTTTGAATTTTGGTGGCGTCACTTTAACTGTTCTAGAGTTATGCCCCTTTATAAATGGAAAAATTGCTGAATTTTTCCTTTCCGTTCTCTAACTTCAGTTTGTCTCAACCAAATGTTATAAAACTTATACACAACCGTTCTAGAGTTATGCGTGTTTACAAATAGAAAAATTGCTGAATTTTTAGTTTCTGTTCTCTACTTAAGTTAGCCCTAACCAAATGTTATGAGACTTACACACAATGCTTATTACCACAAAACTTAGATCAAGTTGAAATTTGGGTAGCGTCACTTTTACCGTTCTTCAGTTATGTCCCTTTATAACTATATGATATGCAAGCGGGGGCATCATCTGTGTCCACATGTGGACACTATCCACATTTATTTATCTTATTTTTCTTATTTTTTAACTATATTGTTAACCCTTACCATGCTGAATTGTTTTCAAAAATGTCTACTTTTTGTTTATTTGCAAAAATATGCATGTTACATGCAAATGAACTATACCCTGTTGCTGATACTGTTGATTCCATTAAAGCTAAGATAGGGGATCATGGGATGAGGAGGTAGGGGTTGGGTGGGCGGTAATTTGCCCCTAAGTTGGTCATCATGTGCAAAAAGCATCAATTTTGACAATTTTTCATCCTATTTCTTGACCTTTAAGACAGAGGGATGCTGATCGATGTATCCAACTGTAGTCTGCATGTAGAGTGGACCCCAGTGAACACATTAATCCCAACAGTTCTTAGGTCGGAGTGAAAATGATCTGGGTAAAGCAGTCTTAAGAAGGTCATTTGCACAAAAAGAAAACTAATTTCCTTATTTTTATGGCCCTGCCGTAGCGGAGGGGGCATTAAGTTTTACCCTTTTCCGTCTGTACGAACGTACGTCCCAAAGTTGTTTTCCGTTCTCTTACTTTAGTTTGCCTCAACCAAATGTTATGAAACTCATACACAATGCTTATTACCACAAAACACAGATCAAGTTTGAATTTTGGTGGCATCACTTTAACTGTTCTAGAGTTATGCCCCTGTACAAATGGAACGCTCTATCTTTAGTTTGCCTCAACCAAATGTTATGAAACTTATACACAATGCTTATTACTACAAAACACAGATCAAGTTTGAATTTTGGTGGCATAACTTTAACCGTTCTAGAGTTATGCCCCTTTACAAATGGAAAAATTGCTGATTTTTTTGTTTTCGTTCTCTAACTTTAGTTTGCCTCAACCAAATGTTATGAAACTTATACACAATGCTTATTACTACAAAACACAGATCAAGTTTGAATTATGGTGGCATCACTTTAACTGTTCTAGAGTTATGCCCCTTTACAAATGGAAAAATTGCTGTATTTTTCGTTTCCGTTCTCTAACTTTAGTTAGCCTCACCCAACTGTTATGAAACTTATCCACAATGCTTATTACCACAAAATATGGATCAAGTTTGAATTTTGGTGGTATCAGGTTTACTGTTCTAGAGTTATGCCCTTTTACAAATGGAAAAATTGCTGAATTTTTCGTTTCCGTTCTCTAACTTATGTTTGCCTCAACCAAATGTTATGAAAGTTATACACAATACTTATTACCACAAAACTCAGATAAAGTTCAAATTTGGGTAGCGTCACTTTTATCGTTCGTCAGTTATGTCCCTTTATAACTTTATGTTATATGTAAGCGGGGTCATCATCTGTGTCCCATGGACACATTCCCCATTTATTTCCAATATTTTACTGTAACTGTCTACAACCAGAAGTAGTTGTTTCCTATACGGATTCTTGTAATAAGCATGATCAGTAGTTATATCCCCACATGTTTATACTATTTTTGAAGTTTTATGTCTCTGAACTTCATGTGTCAGACATTGAAGGGAAGCCCACCCCTAAAAAAAAAACCACTTTTATGAGATTTCAATTTTCCAAGTTTGAATTTGAGCTCAAAATGAACAATTAACCTGAGAAACATGACAATAAATAGTGTGAGGTTGAGGTAAAATGCATGCACTTCGAAATTAATGTCATAAAGTTGACCCTTTTAACAGTATTTTGGGTATGACCATAATATTACGGTCCCCCCATGGTAAGGGTTAAGATCTCAGAAAAATTATAGTTTGTATATTTAATTTTTGTTAATATTTACTAGTTTTTATATGTTTTACAAGAGTATTGAAACTAATCTTGAAGCCAAATCTCATGTACATATTTCACTTATTTATATATACATTTTGATGACAGTTTTGGAAGGAGAGATGTACCAGCTGAGTCACATTCTGACAGAAGAGAAAAGTTTGATGTCATCCATGATGGAAATGTCACTAGTTAGTGATAAAGGTTGGTTAAGCACAATACCACAAAATTTAACTTGTTAACATCTAAACAACAAAATTATGAAATTTACCCAGGGCAAGAAAATAATAGCTGAATATTAACCCTTTCACGTTCTGCCAAATGGACATTAACTTATGGAAAAGACACTATCGAAATTCAATCGAATATAGCATTTACTCCAAAGCTCACACAAAGATCATTTTGGATCCATATGAAAGATAATTGATTAAATATTTCCAAAAATGTAATATTTCAGAAAGTTTGTCTTTTTAAGTCAAGTGGTATCTTTCCAAAAGTTATGTGACTTGTGGGAAAAAAGTGAAAAAAAATACAAAATTCTTGCCAAAAAAAGTCGTGTGGAGACACTTTATGTGCTAATAGGGTATAGTTTTGGTGTCAAAGCAATGACCCAAGTCTGATGGAAACAGAAAAGTTGTCATTATAGTATAGACAGAGGGAATACGTGCTATATGCCTCGCGATGTTGATGTCCGCAACATGCAAAATAACGGACTTCAGCTGTTTTTTTTCGTCCAAATCTAATCCTTGACACAAATTTCTGGCTAAATCATGATCATTCAAGCAGCAAATAGAAACAAGATGAATTAACAATAATAAATTGGTGTTTTGGGAATGGGGGGGTGCAATTAGGACACACATTCTTTAATAACAAACAAACATTGTTTTTAATTTTGAGTTTTGCATATATTCAGGACTCTCTTTTTGAAATTGAAAGTAAAGTTAAGTTACATTTAATATAGGAAATTAATTTTTCACCTCCGGCTTTGAGTTTCAAATGCAATCTTTCTTCTGTGGGTTAGTACAGCTTCCCACTGCACCGCTGGAATACCAGTTTAAAATATCAAAATTTTAGTAGTTAACTCTACATTTAACGAAGTGAGAGTAAAAAAAACCCAGCCTGTTTTCGTTTAGAAATTAAGTGTCGAGATAACACATAATTGTTGTCAATTCCATCATTTTAAGCAAATATAGGAGGATATCATACCTTAGTCTGCCATTTTTCTCTTGACTTATGCCTGTGCCCTCATTTCAACAAAGGTGTTTTCGGCATTACCATAAGCAAGCACTTGAGAAACAATGTTTTTTTTATATCTATTTCAACTTCGCTAAAAATTTCATGATATTTTTGGGGTTTTTGTCTCTTTTTCAATTAATTTGGTAAGAAATGACCACAAGTTTAGAGTGCATTTCAAGTTGATGATTGCATGGTAAACTTTAAATCACTTATTTAACTTGTGTACAAGTTTCAATCATAATATGAATAGTTTTCTTCCAAAACACACGGCATAGTTAACAAAAAAAGTCATATTACCCCCAGAAATCAACATTATACTTTACCACACTCTATGAAAAAATTAAATGTGTTCAAATTATCAAAAAAAATGGTTTTCACGGGAGAAAATCTTGTCAGTAAGAGGCAATTTGATACCAAACAGTACTTGGTAGAGGTTTAAGCCACAATTAATCACAAAGCTGTGATATAGAGTATTGATTTGAGCCCTCAACCACTGCTATACATTGACAAATGCCAAAGATTTAATACTTTACGCAAGCTAGTTGCCCAAAAACATAGCCCATTGGTACCAAAGTACTGATGGGAACGTGAAGGGGTTAAGTATCAAATATGGATTTTAGTAAGTTAAATAATAAATTTTAAGATCATCTGAATTAGAGTTCTTGTAAGGATTTGTGTTTTGAGGATAGCTACAAACTTTAAAAATTACTGTCTGTAAATCTTATCTAGGTTTATTTTGATAGATTACAGGTTGAAATATTAAAAAACCAAGCAAGTTCTTTCACATATTTTATAGAACAACTGACGGATAAAAAAGGGGAGGGTTCAGATCTAGAATTAAAAAAACAAACAAGTAGATTAATACCACAATATGTTAAAATGTCCTTGTCAGAGGATGCCTTTAGGTATATCTAAATTATTTTGTCATTTAGGGAATTTGTTGTTGTCTGTAATGCAAAACTTTAATAGATCTCACAACACTGTCTATTTTATTAATTGTTAAAGAGCCAGTAAAAAATTTCGGTCAATTTTATTTTCAGACAGATTTTTCTTGCTAGGCCAACTAATTCATGTGTGTAACTGTTCTCTTGCATTGTAACATTTAGAAAACAATGAATATTTTTGTTTATACTTTATTATGTAGCTATTGTTGAGCAACCCAAAGAACAAACCCAAGAGAATCCAGAGGAAGATACCAGGAAAAATCTGGCATTTCTGTTGGAGAAAGTTGAAGGCTGTTCTGTAAGTCATTGCTTTGTTTATCATGTTTATAGAAAACATTTCTATCAAATATAGTTTAACCAAGTTGATTAACACACAACTGTAAAACAGGACATAAAACTACTATTTGATAAACTTATGTTAAAATCAATCAGTACCGGTAATTAGAATAATAATCATAGGTGTCAACATTCTATTTTCAGGGAAAGGCAAGTTATAGATTTAAAGTACTTTAAATAATAAAATATTCCAGGTAGATAGTGACAAAAAAAGTTTTAACGGATATGATATTTATTGATAGAGTGTAACAGAAGTTCCAGGACGACATTTGATACACAATGGAGATTTAGCCGAGCTGGATGCTGAATCATTCACACAGATACAGAAGGTCCATGCCTTCCTTCTGAATGACAGTCTGATGATAGCTACATGGCTTCCCAATAGGTATATGTTAACATGCTAACCTTCCATGTCATTGGGCCTCTGGTGGCAATCATACCACATCTTCTTATTAGCTCACCTGGCCCAAAGGGCCAAGTGAGCTTTTCTCATCACTTGGCGTCCGTCGTTCGTCATCGTCCATCGTCGTCGTTAACTTTTTACATTTTGAACTTCTTCTAGAGAACCACTGAATGGAATGAAACCAAACATGGCATGAATGTGCCTTATAAGGTGCTGACCAAGTGTTGTTAGTTTGTAGCCGATCCATCATCCAAGATGGCCGCCAGCAGGGGACTTAGTTTAACATAGGACCCTATGGACAATACATACAAATATCTTCTTTTAGAGAACCACTGATTGTTATGAAATTAAACATGACATGAATGTTCCTTATGAGGTGCTGACCAAGTGTTGTTACTTTGAAGCCGATCCATCTTCCAAGATGGTCGCCAGCGGGGGACTTAGTTTAACCTAGGACCCTATGGACAATACATACAAATGTCTTCTTTTAGAGAACCACTGAATGGAATAAAATTAAACATGGCATGAATGTTCCTTATGAGGTGCTGACCAAGTGTTGTTACTTTGAAGCAGACCCATCTTCCTATGATGGCCGCCAGCGGGGGACTTAGTTTAACATAGGACCCTATGGACAATACATACAAATGTCTTCTTTTAGAGAACCAATTAATGGAATGAAATCAAACATGACATGAATGTTCCTTATGAGGTGCTGAACAAGTGTTGCTACTTTCAAGCCGATCCATCATCCAAGATGGCCGCCAGAGAGGGACTTAGTTTATCATAGGACCCTATGGGAAATACATACAAATGTCTTCTTTTAGAAAACCACTGAATGGAATGAAATAAAACATGGCATGTATGTTCCTTATGAGGTGCTGACCAAGTGTTGTAACTTTATAGGGGATCCATCATCCAAGATGGCTGCCAGTGGGTGACTTCTTTTAACATAGGACCCTATGGACAATACATACAAATGTCTTCTTTTAGAGAACCACTGAATGGAATGAAACCAAGCGTGGCATGAATGTTCCTTATGAGGTGCTGACCAAGTGTTGGTACTTTGTAGCCAAGCAATCTTCCAAGATGGCTACCAGAGGGGAACTTAGTTTAACAAAGGACCCTATGTGAAATACATACAAAAGTCTTCTTTTGAAGAACCACTAAATGGAATGAAACCAAACATGGCATAAATGTTCCTTATGAGGAGCTGACCAAGTGTTGCTACTTTGAAGCCGATCCATCATCCAAGATGGCCGCCAGAGAGGGACTTAGTTTATCATAGGACCCTATGGGAAATACATACAAATGTCTTCTTTTAGAGAACCACTGAATGGAATGAAATAAAACATGGCATGTATGTTCTTATGAGGTGCTGACCAAGTGTTGTAACTTTGTAGGCGATCCATCATCCAAGATGGCTGCCAGTGGGTGACTTCTTTTAACATAGGACCCTATGGACAATACATATAAATGTCTTTTTTAGCTCACTTGGCGTCCGTCGTCCATCGTCATCGTCGTTGTTAACTTTTTACATTTTGAACTTCTTCTAGAGAACCACTAAATGGAATGAAACCAAACATGGCATGAATGTTCCTTATGAGGTGCTTACCAAGTGTTGTTACTTTGTAGCCTATCCATCATCCAAGATGGCCGCCAGTGGGTGACTTAGTTTAACATAGGACCCTATGGACAATACATACAAATGTTTTCTTTAAGAGAACCACGTAATGGAATGAAACCAAACATGGCATGAATGTTCCTTATGAGGTGCTGACCAAGTGTTGTTACTTTGAAGCCAATCCATAATCCAAGATGGCCGCCAGCGGAGGACTTAGTTTAACATAGGACCCTATGGGAAATACATACAAATGTCTTCTTTTAGAGAACCACTGAATGGAATGAAACCAAACATGGCATGCATGTTCCTTTTGAGGTGCTGATCAAGTGTTGTTACTTTGAAGCCGATCTATAATCCAAGATGGCCGCCAGCAGGAGACTTAGTTTAACATAGGACCCTATGGACAATACATACACATGTCTTCTTTTAGAGAACCACATACTGAATCATACCTGTCAACCTATGACAATGAAAATGCAGGTGATGACCTGCATAGAAGAATGAAATCTCAGGTCATAACGCGTACAAACTTTTTCGAGCTGTATTTCAGTATTTAGGGGACATTTTTCCTATAATTTATATCAAAGTTTCCAAACATGTCCACATGGTTAAGTAATTTAAAATTGTACATTTTATTATTTCATAGCACTTGGAGGCCATTGATAGATTTGTGTTACATTGCCTTTGTTCCTGTTCATATTCAGTCCATGACATACAATGTGCCAATTTGTGTTTTCTTCGCATACATTTGTGCAGCTTTTAAACAGTTGAATATATCAGAGGTTGATATTAGAGTATAATAAAATAAAGTTAAACAATTAAAGGAGGTATAGATGAAAAAAGTAATTTTCAAAATTTTTATTTTTTAATAAGTAAAAGTATTATTCTGATATGTTTTTGCATTCAATTCATTTTAGATTTAATCTTTTTACAAAAAAAACATAAGTTAAAGGAGTATATTGTGAATTGACAAGGGGAAGTAACTCAAATTGTTTTGAAAACAACTTTGAAATACACAAATTATTTACGACCTAAAGCTAAGGTAATTGGTGTTTATTAACAGTGTGTTTGACACCAAAGCTGTCAAATGAAGCCATACATTGAAATGGGTCACTTGAGCTGAGTTTACACAGCTAGTTGAACTTCTTGTCCAGGAAGAATTACGAATTAGCCGATATTTCAAAGAAATCAGTTTATATCTAATCAGTCTGAAGGCTTAGGAATCCGGGTGAAAACGGGTTATTTTCCGAATTGCCGGGTTACTTGGTCACCCGGCGTGTGTTCCGGGTGACCCTTCAGAATTGTGAAAATTTCAAGTCACACCCGCAGGATCCGGGTCAGTTGACAGGAATGACTGAATGGATTGAAACCAAACATGGCATGAATGTTCCTTATGAGGTGCTGACTAAGTGTTGTTACTTTGAAGCTGATCCTTCATCCACGATGGCCGCCAGTGGGGGGACGTCCTTTAACATAAGACCCTATAGGAAATACATACAAATGCTTCTTCTAGAGGTGCACTGAATGGAATGAAACCAAACATGGCATAAATGTTTCTTATGAGGTGCTGATGAAGTGTTGCTACTTTGTTGCCGATTTACTGATCAAGTTGGCCACCAAGATTTTTTTATTAAATTACAGGACCAATATTAAACCAAATTTGGCCTCACTCATTATAAGGGTATCTGTTATGATTTTAATCTATTTTTACATGATTTCCAAAACCAAAGTAGAATCAGGTGAGTGACACAGGCTCTTGAGAGCCTCTAGTTTTTATATAAATAAAAGATGAGTAATAAATATCTTTGAGACTTCAACCCAATTAAGGAATGACTGTAATATTTTTTCTGTCTATGAAGAAATAACATAAAAAATGTGGTGCACACTGAATAACCTGCATAGCAGGTTATTTTAAAGTGTGCACCACATTTTTTATGTTATTTCGAATAGACAGAAAAAATATTACAGTCATTTCTTATAATTTAATTCTAAATTCCATTTTAAACCGGAGTAAACCATGAAAAAACGTTGATGACGTCACGGTCACATGACAAAATTATGTCTAGAGCTGATAAACAAAACAACGTCAGCCAATCAGAAGACGCGTTACATCCAAAATTATATTATTGACTAGAACACACCCGCGATTTAGAGCTTGGTTGAAAGTATGTAAACTGTTATAGGGTGAATTTTTGTAAAAGATTTTATGTCTGGAGAAATTCAGAAAAGGTATCAAACTGAGTCATAGGCACTTGGAGACAGGACAATTATTTTGAGCTCTCTCCCTTTTTTCCAAAGTCCTTTATTTTTTTTCTCTCTGTTAAATTGCATGATTTTCACGTTTCTGTATAGTATGAACATAGATCTACATATAATATAAATAAAGTGTATTTGCTATTAACTATCAATTCCATCCACGGCGATCACTGCTGTATTATATAGAGAGTCTCTATATATTATAGGATTATAATCATAGTATACATGCAGAATAACGCGAAAATAATTGTCCTGTCCCCGAGTAATTATGAAAATTATGTTTAAAGAGGGGAGTAAAGGGAGGTATCTGCACGAAAGAACGTGAAATAAAATTGCCATTTCTCGATGAGCGAACAATTAAAAAATTCTTGCACGTTGATCTTTTTATCGATTTTAAGAAACTTGGTGAATAACGAACCTTTTTCACGGCTGCACGTGAAATAAAAAGTGGCAAAACACGTTGCTCGAAAAAAAAACTTTACCCCCTCTTTTAAAGTTTAAAATCGGAAGTCTTGGGTATGATTTAAAAGTCGGTCTGATGACGGAAACAATATCCGGACACCTTTTTCTTCGTTTTTCTCCCAAAATAACCCAAACTGAATAGTCATAAGAATGGATGACAAATGCGACTATGCATGGTACCTATAGGACACAGAGGCATGATGATTAATTTATTGGGGAAGGAAGAGAAGCGACACACAAAATGAGGTCTTCTCGTTTAATAGTATAGATACATAACTTGTAGACATACTATGAATATTCCATGAACAATAACGAATCCACAGTATACAATCTTTAACAAAACAAATATCTATAAAATTTGCCAAGCTCTTGCCAAGCAATTACCCTGAGTCTAAAAGAGTTGTGAATAAATTAAACTGAAATCATTAAAGTTCTGCCATCAACACCAAATTCTCTGAATACCAAAAACAAGTTTAAGATATGACATACGACTTGGAACAGGCTCATAAATAGGGTAAATTCAGAAAATTGTGCATGAATTTATTTTTTGCAATCCTTGAACCAATAGACAAATTTGCTAGATTAATTACGGGGTCTTCAGAAAAAGCTGCATACAATTAATGCTTTAGAAATTTAATTTTTGCAAAACCTATCATGCAGCAATTTTCTCAGTAAGAAAAAACATTTCAAACATTAACAGTATGTGTTTCAAGATCTCAACTTTATCACTTTCAATCTCAATCAGCAGACTTAACAAAATGTGCATTGATTCTTTCATTTTAGCTTGCTGGTCTCAAAAAGAATTTCATTTTTGTGACGATTATCAATATTTAATTGTCTTTGTTTCACAATCCCTTATTAAGTATGACCTTTACTCAGAATGTTTACAACATGTTAATAGTTTCGAAAATTTGAATGATGATTTAAAATTTATACAAATCATGAACTGCTCCTAGATTCAGCCATTTTTATGTTTTTTATGCGACGTAAATTATTTACATAAATTTTTAACCGTTTTTATGCGACCTTAATATTGTTTACTTAAATATTAAACCTTGAATCATCATTTTAATTAATTCTGTTTATTTACATTATGCATATTAGTTTTTATGCCCCCGCAGTAGCAGAGGGGGTATTAAGTTTTACCCTTGTCTGTCTGTACGTACGTCCGTCCATCCGTCCGTACGTCCCAAAATTGGTTTCCGTTCTCTAACTTTAGTTAACCTCAACCAAATGTTATGAAACTTATACACAATGCTTATTAACACATAACACAGGTCAAGTTTGAATTTGGGTGGCGTCACTTTTTCCGTTCTAGAGTTATGCCCCTTTACAAATGGAAAAATTGCTTAATTTTTCGTTTCCGTTCTCTAACTTTAGTTTGCCTCTACCAAATGTTATGAAACTTATACACAATGCTTATTACCACAAAACACAGATCAAGTTTGAATTTTGGTGGCGTCACTTTTACCGTTCTAGAGTTATGCCATTTACAGATGGAAAAATTGCTGAATTTTTCGTTTCCATCCATTCTCTAACTTTAGTTCGCCTTAACCAAATGTTTTGAAACTTATATACAATGCTTATTACCACAAAACACAGATCAATTTTGAATTTTGGTGGCGTCACTTTAACCGTTCTAGAGTTATGCCCCTTTACAAATGGAAAAATTGCTTAATTTTTCGTTTCCGTTCTCTAACTTTAGTTTGCCTCAACCAAATGTTATGAAACTTTTACACAATACGTATTACCACAAAACTCAGATCAAGTACAGATTTGGGTAGCATCACTTTCACAGTTCTTGAGTTATGTCCCTTTGTAACGTTATATGCATCATCTGTTTCCAATGGACACATTCCCCATTTATTTATTTTTTTTTTATTTTTTCTAGATATCTTTACGTAAATATTTTCACATATGTATGAAGTTTTAGATAAATGTAAAGTAAATATTTTTTACGAAAATTTTTTATATATTTCTCTTTCGTTTTATTAATCATATTGAAAATACTCTTAAATCATAGTTATTAGTTTTAAATATATAGTATTTCAAAGTATTGTTGGATTTTTTTATTTGTATATATTTTGTGTAATGTATCTCATAAGCCAAATTGATATGGCTGGGTATTGATTGTTCTATGTATGTTTTAATGTTATTGTATAATATGTATGTCAATCGATATGTGACACAATAATAAAATAGATTATTATTTATTATTATTCTTATAGAACAAATCAATCTAAAATATACTCATTTTTTAGTTTAAATAAAGTATGATTAATGGGAGATTAAGAGCCTGTCAATTGGAGAAAATTTAATACAAATCAAGAAATTAACCGTTTAGAAACTTCTAGATTAACAAAAACATCTGTGGAGCTCAAAGACCGAAAGAGCAAAAACAATAAAATCAATATACGAAAAAGGGAATATAAGCCTCATATGTTGGAAGCTATGATTTGCTAGAAATTACAATGTATAAATTATTTTCAGAAGATAAAGTTTTTTTTTTTTTATAGAAATATTTGTTTATTTATTTATTTATTTATTTATTTATTTTTGGTGTTTTAACGCCACTTTTAAGCACCGCTTTTGGGCTATTTCGTGGTGGCCAGTTTTTTATTGGTGGAGGAAGCCGGAATGCCCGAAGAAAACCAACGACCTTCGATAGGAAAACTGACATTCCTAGTCAATCAAGATTGGAGTTGAGTGCACCCGCATGAGCGGGGTTCGAACTCACAACCTCATTGTTGACTGACTAGTGATTACAGTAGTAACTACTTAGACTACTCGGCCACCGAGGCCCCTTTTATAGAAATAACAATGTCTTTTAATTTTCAGGAGAGGTCCAGTTAGATACAGGTTCCAGGGTTTATATGAGTTGGACAGTCTAGCTATAGTTAATGTTAGAGATGCTGGACCTATAAAGAATGCATTTAAAATTTTGATGTTTCCTGATGCTAAAATGTATCAAGCTGATGGAGCTAAAGCAAAGGTTTGTTTAATTTACAATGTTTTAGAACTGTTCTTTCAGTAGATGAATATAGTAATGTATGTGGTGCCATACAGACAAGCTATTCTGACAAAATGTGTTTTCACTGAATGGTGTTTTCTGTTTAAAATAAGAAAAATTAAATAGAGAATCTATAATAAATCAAAACCTTGGGAAAAACAGATAAATCTGTGAGTTGAATTTTTAAGATCTGACATTTTTATATCCAGAATTTTAGCCATGTCAGGATTTTTCTTATGAAATTCATGTGCAGGAATGAATCTAAAACTGCATATAAAAACTATATGAAAAATAACAAGATTTTTTTACAGTATGTTAAGTGTAGTTAAGATGAGAGTATTTAAAGATGCTGAGAAATAAAAGGGTTACAATGCAAAAACTTTTAACATAAGGTTACAAAATATTTAGGAAAAGATGAAAAAATGAAAAGCAATCATCCTAAATCTCAAAATATAATTTTGTTATAGAGGCATTGGTTAGACATACTAGAAGAAACGAAGAAAGCTAAAGCTTCCAGAGATAAACAAAAGAAAGAGGCAGCAATACTGTTAGCTGAACAACAGGCACATACTCCTGAAGAGGAGAGAAAATGTAAGGCTATATATAGTCTATACATGTATACATATTGTACTTTGGTGTCTTACACTAGATTATGACTAGGACATTACATGTTATCATTAAGTGAAAAAATTGTTTGATTGATTGTTGCCAGTTGAAAATGATTTAGAACTAAACATATTATGTAGACCTCTGTCTATTGTTAAAGACTGTAGGTTGCCATCTAAATGTCTTTTGGTTTTAATTAACATTAGGTTGCTGTGTCATTGACTAATACGTATGCTCCACATCTAACTTATTCGTAACTATTTTTAAAAGTTAAACATATTACTATGTAATAGGAAAAAACAAAAAACAAAGGATATGGGTTGAAAAATCAATACATGCACAGCAAAAAAACATACAAAGAGTAAAAGAACAGAGCTTTTATTGCAGTTCTACGTCTCAAAGTCATAGTGAGGCCTTCAACACAGAGCAAAAAAAACTCTCACCTTACTGCAAGTGTTTAAGATGGCCCTTAGCAACCGTCTCTGTTTGAATTACAAATTCTGACAGACTCTTGGATAAAACAAGATAAATAAGAAAGAGCAAATTTTGTTGTCTAAGGTTTCATTATTGTCGAGCCTTCGACTTTTGTCGAAAAAGTGAGACATAGCCATCCTACATTCCGTCTGCGTCAGCGTTGTCGTCGTTAGCGGCGTCCACAAATATTCACTCTGTGGTTAAAGTTTTTGAAATTTTAATAACTTTCTTAAACTATCCTGGATTTCTACCAAACTTGGACAGAAGCTTGTTTATGATCATAAGATAATATTCAAAAGTAAATTTTGTAAAAAAAAAAATTCCATTTTTTCCGTATTTTACTTATAAATGGACTTAGTTTTTCTGCCAGGAAACATTACATTCACTCTGTGGTTAAAGTTTTTGAAATTTTAATAACTTTCTTAAACTATCCTGGATTTCTACCAAACTCGGAAAGAAGTTTGTTTATGATCATAAGATAGTATCCAGAAGTAAATTTTGTAAAAAAAAATATTCCATTTTTAGGCAGTTAAGCTGCCTTATGCGAGCACCCTAGATTTGTGTTCTACCCAATAAATGCTGAAATACGTGCCATTGTTATTATCTAGCAAGCTATTATGTTATTTATAACTAATTGGACATTTTATTAATACTTTTATTTCTGGAATACAAAAAATATGACCAGAAAAACCTTAAATGATCGTCGAACTACCCAAAACTTTTGAAGTTGCACATAGGAAGTAGTGCTCAAGAGAAATCCGTAGGTAGTTTATTATCCCCTGTGCTTTTGGCTACGATGTCAAAGAACAATTGTATGAAATATTTCATCGCCGAAAATCGGTAATTACAAGTCGTTGATATTTCCCAAATGGCAAAATACGCAGGAATATTGTTCATGTACAACAAATCTCTATGATAGAGGAAATAAAGTTATATAAGTGGGCGGTAATTTTTAACTTATCTTGCCAAATAAGGTTGTTGTTATTTTATGAATGAAACGAGGTCATGAAACAGATGCGGAAATCGACGTTGATGGGATGTTTTAAGTAATGTGGACAACTCGTCCCCGAGACAAGTCGGACCGTATCCACTCAACCCGTCTAAGAAGACAAATTTGACCGTTTGTCAGATTTACTTAGGGTTTCATAAAATATTAGACTAACATGTCTAGCGGAGCCATTATTCTTTTATTTGTGCATTGGGGTCTATTTAGGGGTATTTGGAGGGGCCTGAAGAAGGGAGGGGTTTACTATAGAACCTATGGGATTTTATTTTTTTTTTAATTTTCAAATGACTATTTCTCGAAAACAGTAAGTGATAGACACATGCAGTCTTCAGTAATGAGAACAGGACAATGAAAAATATCAACCAAAATATAGGGTGAGTCCCTGGGGGTCATACCAACCCCCTTCAATTCGAAAATGTACGTTTATCATGTAAACCGTCGCGATCCCCACTCCTAAACAATATATATACTTGTATGGGACAATATAAGAAATCAAATGAAAATAATTTGGGGGAGTCCCCGGTGTCGTTCCACCCCCTCCTGATTGAGAACTTGGAAATGGTCGAGATCCCCCACCCTTAAACCATATATATTCATATATGGGACAATAAAACAAATCAAATGAAATATAGGGGGAGTCCCTGGGGACACCCACCCCCTCCTGTTTGAGAACTTGTAAACAGTCAAGATCCCCACCCCTAAAACCATATATTTTCATGTATGGGACAATATAACAAATCAAATGAAATATAGGGAGAGTCCATGGGGTCACCCCACCCCCTCCTGTTTGAGAACTTGTAAACGGTCGAGATCCCCACCCCTAAACCATATACATTCATGTATGGGACAATAAAACAAATTAAATGAAATATAGGGGCAGTCCCTGGGGACACCCACCCCCTCCTGTTTGAGAACTTGTAAACAGTCAAGATCCCCACCCCTAAACCATATATATTCATGTATGGGACAATATAACAAATCAAATGAAATATAGGGGGAGTCTCTGGGGTCACCCCACCCCCTCCTGTTTGAGAACTTGTAAACGGTCGAAATACCCACCCCTAAACCATATTTATTCCTGTTCATCATTTCAAAAAGATTTGAATGACATACAGGGTCAATCTCCTAGGTGTCACATATGCATATCACTTTACTAGACCAAACCAATATGAACTGGACTTTGCCCAATGTCAGGAGACCATGGGAATGGCGAATTATGGGGCTTTGTTTGGGAGACTTCACAACGGCATCCTGTTACAATTATTTCTTGTTTATTATAAAATTGTATTGATGCAAGAAATGAGTCTAGGTTAATTGAATTTACTTTAATTATTTATTAAATTATTTCTGGGCCTATAATAATTTTCATTTATGGCTCATTTAAAAAAAAACCATATAAATCTTTCAATCTTTTTGGGGGTGAAGATGGGGGTCATTTACATTGATATATGAGTTGCTTTTGAAAACCTTGATGAAATATTAATTAATTTGCCTTAATAGTCAATTCATTTAATGAACATAAATGTACAATATACGAATGTTTAATGTTTGTTCTTTCAAATTAAAAAAAAAAATTGAAGCAACACTGCCACAGTTTTCATTATTACGTTTGCCTTGGTTTTTGGTTAACTGCCTACAGCGCTTACAGTGCTTTGATTTCTGTATTTTACTTATAAATGGACTTAGTTTTTCTTCCAGTTAACATTACATTCACTCTGTGGTTAAAGTTTTTAAATTTTAACAACTTTCTTAAACTATCCTGGATTTGTACCAAACTTGGACAGAAGCTTGTTTATGATTAAAAACTAGTATCTAGAAGGAAATTTTGTTAAAATTTTGTTCCATGTTTTTCATATTTTACTTATAAATGGACTTAGTTTTTCTTCCAGTTAACATTACATACAGTCTGCAGTTTAAGTTTTTAAAACATTTATTAGATTCATAAACTATCCTGGATTTTTACCAAACTTGGACAGAAGCTACTTACAATCAAAAGATAGTATAGAGAGGAATATCTTTATTAATTTTTTTCTTCATTTTTGTTGAGCCTGCGATTAACAGCAAAAGTAGGCGAGACACTGGGTTCCGCGGAACCCTTACGAATTTTATACATGTACTAACTATTCTGAATTTTTGTTTTAAATACATAAATTGCTTTATTTCTTCTCTTCTATTAGCATTTCCAATTGAGGACGATAGTGAAACTATGGTTGCCATAGAAACAGATTGTTTAAATGCTGATTGGATACAAGAACTACCAGAAGATCTAGATATGTGTATAGCTCAGAGAGACTTTGAAGGAGCAGTAGATTTAGTTGAGAAAGGTATGGTTTACCATGTATACATATTATTGTCAAGCCTGCAATATTTATGATGTGGAAGCAACACATAGTCCTAAATTGTGGTGTCAGTGTCGTCAATATTTATGTTCAGTGTATGGTTAAAGTTTTTTTTAGACATCAATAATTTTGTCAAACCTTTACAAATGTTTTTGAAATATATAGATTTTGAAATCAACATTCTTGACATAAAATGGCATTTTTTAAAAGATTGGCAAAATGAATAAAATGCTTCGCTGGGCGCAGCTTGATACGACGCAGAGGTCGAACCCTGAACAGTTGGGCCAAGTATGGACACAACATTCATGCTTGATACAGCTCTGAATTTGGATTGTGATTAAATATTTGACACAGCATAGGTTTCTGACACAGAGAGAATGTGGTCTAAGAACTTGAATTTTTTTTAATTTGCCTATTATGGTCCAATGTCCAAAATCAAAATACATGGTTAGATTCAGCATATCAAAGAACCCCATATATTCAATTTTTGTTGAAATCAAAAAAAGTTTAATTTTGGACCCCAACTTGGACCAACTTGAAAACTGGGCCCATAATCAAAAATCTAAACACATGTTTAGATTCAGCATATCAAAAAAACCCAAGAATTCAATTTTTGTTAAAATCAAACTAAGTTTAATTTTGGACCCTTTGGACCTTAATGTAGACCAATTTAAAAAACGGGACCCAAAATTAAAAATCTAATAACACGGTTAGATTTGGCATATCAAAGAACCCCAATAATTCAATTTTTGATGAAATCAACAGCAAAAGTAGGACCCTTTTGACCTCAATATGAACCAATTTGATAGCGGAGCCACCAAATAAAAAATCGAAATACATGATTAGATTCAGCATATCAAAAAACCCCATATATTCAATTTTTGTTGAAATCAAACAAAGTTTAATTTTGGACCCCAATTTAAACCAACTTGAAAACTGGGCCAAAAATCTAAAATCTAAATACATTTTTAGATTCAGCATATCAAAGAACCCCATATATTCAATTTTTGTTGAAATTAAACAAAGTTTAATTTTGGACCCCAACTTGGACAAACTTGAAAACTGGGCCCATAATCAAAAATCTAAACACATGTTTAGATTCAGCATATCAAAGAACCCCAAGAATTCAATTTTTGTTAAAATCAAACTAAGTTTAATTTTGGACCCTTTGGACCTTAATGTAGACCAATTTAAAAAACAGGACCCAAAATTAAAAATCTAAATATACGGTTAGATTTGGCATATTAAAGAACCCCAATAATTCAATTTTTGATGAAATCAAACAAAGTTTAATTTTGGACCCTTTTGACCTCAATATGAACCAATTTGATAGCGGGGTCCACAAATAAAAAATCTAGATACATGGTTAGATTCAGCATATCAAAGAACCCCATATATTCAATTTTTGTTGAAATCAAACAAAGTTTTATTTTGGACCCCAATTTGGACCAACTTGAAAACTGGGCTAAAAATCTAAAATCTAAATACATGTTTAGATTCAGCATATCAAAGAACCCCATATATTCAATTTTTGTTAAAATCAAACAAAGTTTAATTTTGGACCCTTTGGACCTTAATGTAGACCAATTTGAAAACTGGACCTAAATTAAAAATCTAAACACACGGTTAGATTCGGCATAACAAATAAATAAATGTGGTCAAAGATTTTACAAATCTAATGCGCCATACTGTGCAATTAAAGATTGCTTCTTGAAATTTTTCAATATTTGAAATTTGAAAAAAAAATAATATTTGAAGAATAATTCTTTTTAATTTCTGAAATCTGAAATGAGAAAAAATTTACCCCCACAATTTCTTTTTACCCCCCCCCCCCCCCCCCCTTTTTTTCCCCCAAAAAAATCTTTCCCTCAAGATATGGTCATAATCTCAATTCAAATTTCCAATGGAGTTTGCAACCATAATTACCCATTTAAATTTACCATAGTGCTAACTTAATCTATTTTATAATAGAATTTAAAATAAAGTGTCAAATCTTTCATATGGATTTTTTTGTAAAAAAAAAAAGATGCAACATTTGCAGATATTTTTACTGGTCTTCCTTTATAAATATGCATTTCTTTAAACATAATTTAAAAGCAGTGTAAGGGAAGTAACCAAAACGTTGTATTTGGATTACCTCCCTTACACTGTTTTAAATTATCTTAATAGTTCATTAACCATTACTTTATACATAATTCAAAAGCAGTGTAAGGGAGGTAATTTCAATGATGTATTTGATTTATCTCCCTTACACTGCTTTAAATTATGTTTTGTACTAAAGTATTTGTCCATTAACCAGACAACCTTGTTTTTCCCCCTTTTTTGCCCCTAATTCCTAAACAGTTTGAGCCATAACCCCCAAAGCAAATCCTAACCATCCCTTTGTGGTATGGAAACTTGTAGTATAAATTCAGAGAGATCCATACACCGTTCCACGGTTATTGTCTGGAAACTAGAAAATGCTTATTTTTGGCCCCTTATTCCTTAACTGTTGGTACGATAACCCCCAAAATCAATCCCAACCTTCCTTTTAAGGTATTTAACCTTATGGTAAAATTTCAAAGAGATCCATTCACTTAAACTAAAGTTAGAGTGTGAAAACCAATGTGTCTTCGGACGACGACAACGATGATGCCAACGTCATACCAATATACGAACACAAAAATTTTTTGCAGTCGTATAAAAATGAGCCAAGTCATTACTCTTAAAAGATATGTTATCCGCAGTCTAAAATGTAAGACAAAAAACTGATTTAAAGAATCAAAAAATGGCCTTGATATACATTTGCCTTTAAATAGATTTTTAATCTATATATATTTTTTTGTATTTCAGTAAATGAATATTTGAAAGACTGTCCAAAAGTACCAGTAGTTAAGGAATTCAGGTATTTACAGAGATAAAGACATATATATATATAAGAGATAAGGGTAAATGATAATGTGACATCAACCCATCAACACAAATAACCACAACATGCAGAAGTCATTAAATACAGTAAAACCTGTATAAACCGAATCTTGAATAAACGGAAAACCTGTCTAACCAAACATGTTTTAAAGTCCAATCATAACAAATTTTATGTGTTGTGAATCTGATAAAACCATATATCTGTCAATACCGAACAAAATCTTAAGTCCCGAAGAGGGTCGGTTGAGATGGGTTCGACTGTAGCTATAGATAGGTGTACAATGTGACAAGCTCTATATCGCAATGAATTAAAAAGGAAAGGACTTTTTTTTAAGTTGGAATAACTTTACTTTTGTTCAATCCATTTGTTTATATACAATAAAATAGTATTAAACTAAAAAAAATCTAAAAAGTGGTAAATAAATTTATTAGAGACTATCAAAGATCCATCATCAAAACAAAATTTTTCAAGAAAGGAAAACTTTTAAAATATTACAAAAGACAACCACTGATGAGGTTCCTGACTTTAGAAAGGCACATATATATGTGGTATATAAGTTTTTATAATTAAGAAAATAGATTTCATCTCCCCCCTCCCCTTACAATCAATGGACAATAAACAGGTACATTAAAAAACATACAATCAAAATCTGAACAGGAAAATGACTTGATTCAGTATCAATGGGGGTAATAATAAAAAAAAAATCCCTGTAATAATATAAAAAACAATAATACTGTATAAAAGAATTATTGCTGTCACTGAAAGCAAGAATAAGTACGTAACCATACTGAATTAAATCATGCCATCCTAAACTCATTTTACATGAATACAAGTAATGGGCTCATTAAAATGTTCATGACTTACATGTATTTTTTCTCTTAAGATTTTTTGTGAAATTGATCGCTGGGCTTTATTTAGTAAGGAAGTAAAATGCTTGATACCAAACGTGCTGCCGTAAAATATCATAGTTTGCCATTCACATTGCTAATATCTTGAAGAGATTTAATATCTCTTTTGGGGTCATATTTTAATGACCCTAGTTCATGAGCTTATCTGGCTGATCATGTTGTAAACATGTTACCGGTAAATTGTGGAGGACAGGAGCCTGTAAATCTAGTGGTTCATGACACCCCAATGGTTTGGCCATGTAGTGTAACCCATGACTGTCATCCATCATCTGGAGAAAATCTAATTTATATCTTGATAAGAAGTGTAAATTCACTGTCAGACTTGATGTTAGATCAGATTCATAATACTAATAAAAAGGATTCAGAAAAAAATTGAACATGAATCATCCAAAAATCTTTCAACATTGACATATATATATATCAAACCACAAGCTTTAACCCTTACCATGCTGAGCCCGTCATATGACGGGATGACCCAGACCACCGTTATTTGGCTCTAATGGCTCTCCATACTTTTAGAGGTCAACTTTATGATACTTATTTCGAAATGGATGCATGTTCCCTCAACCTGAGGCTATCTATTGTCATGTTTCTCATGTTTAAGTAGCATTTTGAGCTCAAATACGAACTTGGAAAATTGAAATTGGATAAAACTGTTTTTTCTGGAGGGGTGGGCTTCCCTTCTGTGTCTTACACAGGAAGTTCAGAGGCCTAAAACTTTCAAAAATAGTGTAAACCCGCAGACATATATCTACTGATCATAATTATTTTTGAAATACGCAGAGGAAACGACTACTTCCGGTTTCAGGTCCAGTTGAAGTCCAAAATCGGAAAAAATCGTGAAATTCCGTATTTTTTGTCCAAATGACCTTCTTTAGACTGGTGTTCCCAGATCAGTTTCACTCCAACCTAAGAACTGTTGGGGTTAATGTGTTTACTGGGGTCCACTGTACATGCAGACTACAGATGGATACCTATATCAGCATCCCTCGGTCTTTGGGGTCAAGTAATAGGACGAAAAATCGTCAAAAATGACGCTTTTTGCACCTGATGACCAACTTTGGGGCAAATTCCCGCCCACCCACCCCCACCTCCTCACCCCAACCACCCCGCCCCGTGATCCCCTACCTTAGATTTAAAGAAATCAATATGCTTCAGCAGCAGGGTAAAGCTCATTTGCATATAATTTGCATATTTTTGCAAATAAACGAAAATTAGACTTTTTCTGAAAACAATTCAGCATGGTAAGTGTTAAGGCCATTGGTGGTAGAAATCGATTTTTTTCCAGTTTTAGCCTCAATTTGTATGTTTTTTCATCTCATTTTAGGTCGGAATGGGTTATCAAGGCCTCCAGATACACGGATTTGCTCAAAAACACTTTTAAGTTGATTTGAATTTTTGTTGTTTATTAACCCTTACCATGCTGAGCCCGTCATATGACGGGATGACCCAGACCACCGTTATTTGGCTCTAATGGCTCTCCATACTTTTAGAGGTCAACTTTATGATACTTATTTCGAAATGGATGCATGTTCCCTCAACCTGAGGCTATCTATTGTCATGTTTCTCATGTTTAAGTAGCATTTTGAGCTCAAATACGAACTTGGAAAATTGAAATTGGATAAAACTGTTTTTTCTGGAGGGGTGGGCTTCCCTTCTGTGTCTTACACAGGAAGTTCAGAGGCCTAAAACTTTCAAAAATAGTGTAAACCCGCAGACATATATCTACTGATCATAATTATTTTTGAAATACGCAGAGGAAACGACTACTTCCGGTTTCAGGTCCAGTTGAAGTCCAAAATCGGAAAAAATCGTGAAATTCCGTATTTTTTGTCCAAATGACCTTCTTTAGACTGGTGTTCCCAGATCAGTTTCACTCCAACCTAAGAACTGTTGGGGTTAATGTGTTAACTGGGGTCCACTGTACATGCAGACTACAGATGGATACCTATATCAGCATCCCTCGGTCTTTGGGGTCAAGTAATAGGACGAAAAATCGTCAAAAATGACGCTTTTTGCACCTGATGACCAACTTTGGGGCAAATTCCCGCCCACCCACCCCCACCTCCTCACCCCAACCACCCCGCCCTGTGATCCCCTACCTTAGATTTAAAGAAATCAATATGCTTCAGCAGCAGGGTAAAGCTCATTTGCATATAATTTGCATATTTTTGCAAATAAACGAAAATTAGACTTTTTCTGAAAACAATTCAGCATGGTAAGTGTTAAGGCCATTGGTGGTAGAAATCGATTTTTTTCCAGTTTTAGCCTCAATTTGTATGTTTTTTCATCTCATTTTAGGTCGGAATGGGTTATCAAGGCCTCCAGATACACGGATTTGCTCAAAAACACTTTTAAGTTGATTTGAATTTTTGTTGTTTATTAACCCTTACCATGCTGAGCCCGTCATATGACGGGATGACCCAGACCACCGTTATTTGGCTCTAATGGCTCTCCATACTTTTAGAGGTCAACTTTATGATACTTATTTCGAAATGGATGCATGTTCCCTCAACCTGAGGCTATCTATTGTCATGTTTCTCATGTTTAAGTAGCATTTTGAGCTCAAATACGAACTTGGAAAATTGAAATTGGATAAAACTGTTTTTTCTGGAGGGGTGGGCTTCCCTTCTGTGTCTTACACAGGAAGTTCAGAGGCCTAAAACTTTCAAAAATAGTGTAAACCCGCAGACATATATCTACTGATCATAATTATTTTTGAAATACGCAGAGGAAACGACTACTTCCGGTTTCAGGTCCAGTTGAAGTCCAAAATCGGAAAAAATCGTGAAATTCCGTATTTTTTGTCCAAATGACCTTCTTTAGACCGGTGTTCCCAGATCAGTTTCACTCCAACCTAAGAACTGTTGGGGTTAATGTGTTTACTGGGGTCCACTGTACATGCAGACTACAGATGGATACCTATATCAGCATCCCTCGGTCTTTGGGGTCAAGTAATAGGACGAAAAATCGTCAAAAATGACGCTTTTTGCACCTGATGAAAAAACTTTGGGGCAAATTCCCGCCCACCCACCCCCACCTCCTCACCCCAACCACCCCGCCCTGTGATCCCCTACCTTAGATTTAAAGAAATCAATATGCTTCAGCAGCAGGGTAAAGCTCATTTGCATATAATTTGCATATTTTTGCAAATAAACGAAAATTAGACTTTTTCTGAAAACAATTCAGCATGGTAAGTGTTAAGGCCATTGGTGGTAGAAATCGATTTTTTTCCAGTTTTAGCCTCAATTTGTATGTTTTTTCATCTCATTTTAGGTCGGAATGGGTTATCAAGGCCTCCAGATACACGGATTTGCTCAAAAACACTTTTAAGTTGATTTGAATTTTTGTTGTTTATTAACCCTTACCATGCTGAGCCCGTCATATGACGGGATGACCCAGACCACCGTTATTTGGCTCTAATGGCTCTCCATACTTTTAGAGGTCAACTTTATGATACTTATTTCGAAATGGATGCATGTTCCCTCAACCTGAGGCTATCTATTGTCATGTTTCTCATGTTTAAGTAGCATTTTGAGCTCAAATACGAACTTGGAAAATTGAAATTGGATAAAACTGTTTTTTCTGGAGGGGTGGGCTTCCCTTCTGTGTCTTACACAGGAAGTTCAGAGGCCTAAAACTTTCAAAAATAGTGTAAACCCGCAGACATATATCTACTGATCATAATTATTTTTGAAATACGCAGAGGAAACGACTACTTCCGGTTTCAGGTCCAGTTGAAGTCCAAAATCGGAAAAAATCGTGAAATACCGTATTTTTTGTCCAAATGACCTTCTTTAGACTGGTGTTCCCAGATCAGTTTCACTCCAACCTAAGAACTGTTGGGGTTAATGTGTTTACTGGGGTCCACTGTACATGCAGACTACAGATGGATACCTATATCAGCATCCCTCGGTCTTTGGGGTCAAGTAATAGGACGAAAAATCGTCAAAAATGACGCTTTTTGCACCTGATGACCAACTTTGGGGCAAATTCCCGCCCACCCACCCCCACCTCCTCACCCCAACCACCCCGCCCTGTGATCCCCTACCTTAGATTTAAAGAAATCAATATGCTTCAGCAGCAGGGTAAAGCTCATTTGCATATAATTTGCATATTTTTGCAAATAAACGAAAATTAGACTTTTTCTGAAAACAATTCAGCATGGTAAGTGTTAAGTGCGGCTATCTTTTTGGAGAAGTTGTTTGGTTGGTGTGGTCTGTTGTACTGTCCCAATATTATGGTGTATTCCTGTCATCTTTTTTACTTACCTAAATATTAATATTGAATATGATAAAGATTACATGACTTTTTCTATGTATAAACCATAGTACTTATATTGCATTGATATGAAATCAGCTCTCTTCAAAGACAGCATGCGTGTAGTATTAATGTTTCATCTCAATTTCAGATCCAGAATAGACAACAGAATCAAACAATTGACAGAGGGTCTTATGGGGGAATTACAGGTATCCCCAGAGAGGTCACTGAGGGGTGGACCTAGAGCTGCCAGGAGAGCTGTAACACAGTTGATCAGATTGGGAAAGTCAGCTCAGGTTTGTCAATACATATATGTCATTTGTGTATGTATACAATAAATATCCATAATGAATCTAAAATTCTTTATTTGTGACACATTAAAAACAGTTCATAATGAATGTCACTAAAGAGTTATAAAAATAGGAAGATGTGGTATGATTGCCAATGAGACAACTCTCCACCAGAAACCAAATGACATAGAAGTTTTCAACTATGGGTCACTGTATGGCCTTCAACAATGAGCAAAACCCATGTAACATTGTAGAAGAAGTGTGTTTTCACAGATCAGCATCAAGGGAAAGAAAGGTATAATAAAGAATGGTCAATGTTAAATTTTGAAGAAATCGACCAAATTTTAAATCACTGACAGTTTGCATAGAGACTGAAAATAGAGATAAAGAAAGAGAGTTTGATATATACGTCAGTGAGACAGCCTACCTACAACACAAAAGATATGAGACATCTTGAGGTCAACATACTTTCTCTTGAAAAAATGAGAGTCTATAAACACCAAAGTCTTACAATACAATAAAACATTATTATATAACTAAAAGCAATGAATATGAATATAAAAGAATGGCTTAAATAAATACTAAAGACAAACAATTATGATTTCTGAAAAAGAATAAAAGTGATTAAAGTAAATTTCTGTTTTCCAGGCATGTGATTTATTCCTGAAGAACCGTAGTGCTATCATCAAGTACAACATTCGTCAGTTAAAGTTTGAAGGAGCTACGACCCTGTACATCAGGAGATTATGTGACGTGTTCTTCCCATGTTTGTCAGAGACAGGAAAGGAGTTTACAAAGGCATTCCAAGATCATTATGGTTGTATGTCTGGTAAGGAACGGAAAATGTATGTTATTTATAAAACATATAAATCAGTATTCACCTCAAAAATTTATTATAGCACCATGGTCATATGGTGTTTTTACTTTAAGTAGTTGCAATAATACTTTTTGTTATATAATTGAAGTAAAATGCCTAAAGTTTTTGCAGAAGGGTGTATAGCTAACCTCTTTAGCATTCGAATGGAGAATGAAATATTCTTTACTTGATTGATATGGATGTGAACAAATGATATCTAGAATAAAACTTGAAATTTGTGGGAAAATTGTCAGAAATATAGCTGTATGGGTAATGTTAACATGTTGTGTTAAAAATATCTGTTCAGTTGTACCATAGGGATGGGGGGGGGGATTGAGAGGAGAAAATGGAGCATACATGTACATAATTAATCCAGTGCTGTGGATTCATTATTATAAGTTGGATACCAATGTTCCTGGATTTCATGGGTAAAAGTGAACCACTTAAATTTGCAATGAATTACAAATTTTGATAGGCTTATATGCAGACTTTGGCAAAACCAGGAAACCAAATATCCAAGAAAAACTGATACCCACAAAAATATAAAAATCCACAGTAATAATATAACCAGAAGCCTTCTTTCAAATTATTTGAATGTATTCAGGTATTAACAAACAAAATTTGAACTTCAGTTGGATCAAAAAATATCTTAAACAATAATATCAGGACAGATTGATTTTATAAACCATGTCAGAGTTATATAATATTGAGACTTTGAAATCACTGAAACAATTTGAAGAATTTTAAGAGATGAAATAAGAAGGTCTCATTTTAAAAATTCACTGAGTACATTTATGAAATGTGATATGTTGGTGATTGGACATTTGATGTATTGTATTTCTACCTACCCACCAATCCTCTTCCTCCCCATGTAGCATTTCTAGAGTCGGTCAATTAGGATTGTCAAATGTGTCCAATACACTATTTATGCAGACATATTTCAAATCAATCAAAGTTAAGTCTTATATACTTGTAGCATTTGTGGTGTGGGCCAAGGAAGAGTTAGAAATGTGTGTCAATACATTCAACAGACATGTGTTTGGCGGCAAGTCAACATTAACAGTTATATCAGAATGTGTACAGACAGCCAGACAACATTGTGATGAACAGGTACCTATCATTATTCAGTATCAGTATTGTTTTAAATAAATCAAGATAATCATGACATACTGTAAATTCAAAAATTATAGCAAGGTTTTTATTAACGCAAATAATGTGACTGGGTGAATATCGCATTAATAAGAACTCACATTCTTATATCTGATACATATATATATATATATATATCTGTATGCAGTTTTTCCTGGTATCTGATAATAATTAAAAAATCTCACATTTTTGTCCATTATTCAAAAATCACAAGAATAAATGCATGCAAAAATTTCTTAATTAACAGCATGCAAAACAACACTTAAATTATTATTGGCACTTGATTTTGATTGACGACCCATTGACGTCTCTACAGATCTTTTTGGTGTTATTGGGCTGATGAGATACTAGTTTCAGTCTCATTAACATATAATCCACATTTCCATTTATCAATTTCAGTCCATGTATATAAATTTGAGAAAATTTAATCAAAGTGGTCTTTCATTTGTTTGGGTTTTTATACAGACCTTCAGTCATCAATAAGCACATACTTTAAATATTTTGGTGGAAAATTGGTAAACGTATTTGATAATGTTTTGTTGTCAGTTGATCCCAATACTGTGGATTCTATATTATTTGTGGGATATCAATTTTCATGGGACAGGTGAACCACAAATTTAAATGTTCAAAGCATTACAAATTTTCTATAATCTTGTATCAACCTTTTTCAAAACCACAAAATAAAATATCCGCAAAAATTGGTAATTAAGAAATTAAATGAATCCACAGTACATTGTCATTTTAAAACCAACTTTCTTTGGAATCTCTCTGTAAACTTTATACATAAATTGTAGTGTGAAGATTCTTGACATATAACATGGTTGTAAGTAAACAGACCTTGGGGAACTCTGGTAAATTACAGGTGACAAGGGAGATAACTTGAATAAAATGATTTCATGCTTCTGCTCTAGTAATAATCAATATAATTTCATCCTAGTCAGATGTGGAGGATTCTCAATACCCAGCACATATAATGCAAATAGGAGTATGAATAAGTTAGAGTTGCCAAACAATTTAAAAAATAGACATTTTATCTTTTTTCTTTATTAAATAGTTTTTATGGAAACTTTAAACAATTACCAAAAATAATGGAAATGACTACTTATTATAGATGGATATTTGTTCCGCCTAACAGAAGTTTCCAACAGAAGTTCCCAGTGAAATATTATTATAAACAATGCCATAATATATGTTCCTAAAGCATTTATTCTGTTGGGCACAAGTACTGTTATATTTGCTCCAGTGAAAATAATATTCTAGAATATTTTTTTCCATTTGGATCTTATATTTTGAAGAAACTTCTATTTTATGACAGTCTTTATTTTACCACAAATTGCTTAAAATATATGGATGTAAAAGATACAAATACAGATATAAAATGAAAGAGACACAAAGTATACTTGAATGAGTACGTTGTGGGGGATTCTAGTTATCGAACACTGTCTCTATTCTATATTTTTAGCTGTGTAGTATCGGTTTTGATGTATCATTTGTGTTTGAGGACACAATTACACCAGAGTTGGAGAGAGTTGTTCAAGAAAATAGAGAACAGATGATTGAAGGAATAAAATATAGGGGAAATGTAAGTATTTTAAATTTGTTTTATTATTAGGTTTTTATTTTCTTAGAAAAAAAGTATTAACTATAAAAAGGGAGATGTGGTATGATTGCCAGTGAGATAACTATCGAAAGACCAAAGGACATGAACAATTACAGGTCACAGTACCACCCTCAACAATGAAAAAAACCTATACTGTATAGTAAGCTATAAAATTCTTGACTGTTTACTGTTTGAATATAAATACTTAAAGATAATGTCTATAATCCAATTAGGTATAAACAAGAAACTTCCATCAGAAATCACATGTGTGAATTGAGTTATCTACATGTTGTTAAATAAAATAACCTTGTCTGTATTTTTATACGACCGCAAAAATTGAAAATTTTTTGGTCGTATATTGGTATGACGTTGGCGTCGTCGTCGTCGTCGTCGTCGTTGTCGTCGTCGTCGTCGTCCGGCGTCGTCTGGCGTCGTCCGAAGACACATTGGTTTTCGCACTCTAACTTTAGTTTAAGTGAATGGATCTCCATGAAATTTTACCATAAGGTTCAATACCATGAAAGGAAGGTTGGGATTGATTTTGGGGGTTATGGTACCAACAGTTAAGGAATAAGGGGCCAAAAAGGGGCCAACAATAAGCATTTTTGTAACTTCCAGACAATAACTTGTGTGTAAGTGTATGGATCTCTCTGACATTGTACCACAAGGTTCCATATCACAAAGGGAAGGCTGTAATTGATTTTGGGGGTAATTGCCTCAAAATGTTAGGAATTAGGGGCCAAAAAAGGGGCAAAAAACAAGCATTTTTCTAGTTTCATGACAAAAACTTGTGTGTAAGTATTTGGATATTTCTGAAATTGTACTACAAGGTTCCATATCACAAAGGGAAAGCTGGAATTGAGTTTGGGGGTAATTGCCCGAAACGTTTAGGAATTGGGGGCCAAAAAGGGGCCAAAAATAAGCATTTTTCTAGTTTCCAGACAATAACTTGTGTTCAAGTGTATGGATCTCTCTGAAATTGTACTGCAAGGTACCATACCACAAAGGGAAGGCTGAGATTGAGTTTGGGGGTGATGAATCATAAGGGGGTTCAAAAAATTTTGGGGGGGGGATTTTTTTTTTTTTCTTTTTTTTTCTTTTTTTCCTTTTTTTTTTCTTTTAAAATTTTCCATTTTAAGTTGGTTATTTCTGATTTATATTTAAAAGCAAATAATAATGATATGGTAGGAGATACACTCCAAACAGGATGTGTAAATTATTATATAATAAGTATTGTGCAATAGCAAGAAATTTTCAATTGCACAGTATTGCACAATAGCAAGAAATCTTCAATTGCACAGTATTGCGCAATAGCAAGAAATCTTCAATTGCACAGTATTGCGCAATAGCAAGAAATATCCAATAGCACAATATTGCGCAATAGCAAGAAATTGTCAATTGTACAGTATTGCACAATAGCAAGAAATAATCAATTGCACAGTATTGTGCAAAAGAAGATACTTCGTATAAATTGCTTATTTCTTGATCAATTTCAATGGGGATTTATTCTTGAATTCTTGGGGTTCTTTAATATGCTGAATCTAACCGTGTATTAAGTTTTTGGATTTTGGGCCCCGTTTTTAAATTGGTCCACATTGAGGTCCAAAGGGTCCAAAATTTAACTTTGTTTGATTTCATCAAAAATTGAATGATTGGGGTTCTTTGATATGCCGAATCTAACCGTGTATTTAGATTCTTAATTTTTGGTTCTGTTTTCAAATTGGTCTACATAAAGGTCCAAAGGGTCCAAAATTAAACTTAGTTTGATTTCAACAAAAATTGAATATATGGGGTTCTTTGATATGCTGAATCTAACCATGTATTTAGATTTTTGATTATGGGCCCAGTTTTCAAGTTGGTCCAAAATCGGGGTCCAAAATTAAACTTTGTTTGATTTCAACAAAAATTGAATATATGGGGTTCTTTGATATGCTGAATCTAACCATGTATTTAGATTTTTGATTATGGGCCCAGTTTTCAAGTTGGTCCAAATCGGGGTCCAAAATTAAACTTTGTTTGATTTCAACAAAAATTGAATATATGGGGTTCTTTGATATGCTGAATCTAACCATGTATTTAGATTTTTGATTGTTGGGCCCCGTTATCAACTTTGTCCACATTGAGATCAAAAGGGTCCAAAATTAAACTTTGTTTGATTTCATCAAAAATTGAATATATGGGGTTCTTTGATATGCTGAATCTAACCATGTATTTAGATTTTTGATTATGGGCCCAGTTTTCTAGTTGGTCCAAATCGGGGTCCAAAATTAAACTTTGTTTGATTTCAACAAAAATTGAATATATGGGGTTCTTTGATATGCTGAATCTAACCATGTATTTAGATTTTTGATTATGGGCCCAGTTTTCTAGTTGGTCCAAATCGGGGTCCAAAATTAAACTTTGTTTGATTTCAACAAAAATTGAATATATGGGGTTCTGTAATATGCTGAATCTAACCGTGTATTAAGTTTTTGGATTTTGGGCCCCCTTTTTAAATTGGTCCACATTGAAGTCCAAAGGGTCCAAAATTTAACTTTGTTTGATTTCATCAAAAATTGAATTATTGGGGTTCTTTGATATGCCGAATCTAACCGTGTATTTAGATTCTTAATTTTTGGTTCCGTTTTCAAATTGGTCTACATAAAGGTCCAAAGGGTCCAAAATTAAACTAAGTTTGATTTTAACAAAAATTGAATTTTTAGGGTTCTTTGATATGCTGAATCTAAACATGTATTTAGATTTTTGATTATGGGCCCAGTTTTCAAGTTGGTCCAAATCGGGGTCCAAAATTAAACTTTATTTGATTTCAACAAAAATTGAATATATGGGGTTCTTTGATATGCTGAATCTAACCATGTATTTAGATTTTTGAATTCTTGGGGTTCTTTGATATGCTGAATCTAACCATGTATTTAGATTTTGGATATTGGACCATAATAGGTGAATGTCCAATTTAAAATTTTTAAGTTCTTAGACCACATTCATTCTGTGTCAGAAACCTATGCTGTGTCAAATATTTAATCACAATCCAAATTCAGAGCTGTATCAAGCTTGAATGTTGTGTCCATACTTGCCCCAACTGTTCAGGGTTCGACCTCTGCGGTCGTATCAAGCTGCGCCCTGCGGAGCATTTTATTACAAACTATAAAGCAGCTTCTTTGGAGATATCTTTTTTGTTCATTTATTTATTAATTACTTTATAATAAGAATGCATGTTTGAATAGGATGATAAATGGAGGAAAATGAATCATTTAAAAGAAAAGGAATGCAGCAGATTCCTGGAAGAGATGATGTCTGTAGGTTTGGACCTGAAACCTTATGTAGAAAGTAAGAATTCATTAATGTTTTTTCAATAAGGAACAATGATGTTATTGCAAACGAAATGAAACATTTCCACAGAGTCATCTCCTCTTGGTCAAGGTATTTAAACTTTTGTCAGTTTTATTGTCCCATTGAAAAATACAATAGCTATTGTTCTCTGTGTAGTTTATTCACTGGGACCTTTAAATTTCTAATAAGAGAAATCCATCACTCATTTATAATTTACCGGAGTAAATAAATTATCTTCTAAGTAAATGAAAATATATGCATCAACTCTCAAAAATGCATATGATGTTGTACTTATTCAATATTAATAATATATTTTTAATCTGTTCAATATAAACACTGATTTAATCATAAAAAGTTGATTTCTGACAAAATTTTTGGCAGTGAGCTTTTCTCAATCACTTGGCGCCCATCGTCGTCCCTTAACTTTTACAAAAATCTTCTCTGAAACTACTGGACCAAATTTAACCAAACTTGGCCACAATCATTGGGATATCTAGTTTAAAAAATGTGTCTGATGACCCCACCCGCCAACCAAGATGGCCGACATGGCAAAAAATAGAACATAGGGGTAAAATGCAAGTTTTGTGTCTTAATTTGAAAATCGTTATAAAAAGAGAAAATCTGACAGGACAAAAATGTTCAGAATGTTGAGCTCTACCAATTGTTCTTTGACCTCAAAACTGTCAGGCGACTTCTTATAGGAGTTATTGCCCTTAAATGACAAATTTTACCAATTTTTATCATTATTGCCTTTTATCTTGAAAACTTTTATAGTTAGAGAGAAACTTTAAGTTGCAAAAATTATCAGCAAGACAAGATCTACATATAAGTATGTATTGTAGAAATTGTCATTTGACTTCAAATTAGAGTTATTGCCCTTAATTAGCTTTGATGACGATTTTTACCAATTTTTGGCGGTTTTGTCATATCTTAAAAATTATAATAGATAGATAGATAGAAACTTAGATAAGCAAAAATTATCAACAAGACAAGATCTACATTTCAGACAATATGGAGGAAATTTTCCGACAACTCCTTATTGGAGTTATTGCCCTTTAATGACAATTTTTACCAATTTTTTTGTGTTTTCCCTTATATGATAAAATCATAAGAGATAAATAGAAACTTTAAATAACAAAAATGATCAGCAAGGCAAGACCAACAAACATGTCAAATTTTGCTGATATAGTTAGTAGACTGTCACTCTTCATAGGAGTGTTTGCCCTTAAATGAGGGTTTTTTTACCCTCTTTTCTGTTTTGAGCAAAAACTAAAGAATATAGAGAGAAACTAAACACAAAATGATCAGCAATACAAGATCAACAAAAAAGAAATTTTGTCATGAATTCTATGCTTGTCTACAATGTTGGAGAGTTAATTGTTGATTATGCATATAGACCTAGGTGAGCGACACAGGCTCTTTAGAGCCTCTAGTTTATTTGAGTTATCCCTTGGATGAATTTTACATTTATGACATTGCTATCATGCTGTCTCTCAAATTTTTAATAAATAATTAAGGCTTAATACATGTTCCTGAATAGTGATATCATTTCTTGTGACTTTAAAACCTTAATATCATTTTTAACTTTTCTGTATTATTAAAGATTTTTTTATTTTTCCATAGGTGATTGTTTTGTGGCACTTACAATGAATACAGCTCAGTTTGCAAAGATTTGTATGACAATGACGAAAGATTTGTTGACATTACACACCTTGGAGTTATCTCCCCTCATCACAGATACAATAACTGAAGTATTTAAAGCACAACTGTTACATTTTGAGGATAGTTTGAAAAACCCAGATTTTAAAACAGAGGTAATCACAGTTTGTATTACAAATAATCAAATGAGACTCAGTGGTGATTTGGATTTTCTTACTACCACTCTCGTTTGTAGATTTGAGAAACTGTCAATAGACAAGTATTAATAAAAATAGAATGCATGTGAAAACTTGTACAATTTGTTATTACCAAATTTTGATTCTATATGTTGTTCTAAAAATCTTTATAATTTTATGGTCTTCATTCATAATTCTCTTTAAAAAAATAATAATTTACAGTATTCAAGTTAATTGCAGTAAAAGTAACCATATACAAATGAATGATTCATTAACAAAAGAAACGACAACCATTATATTTTTTGGAGTCAAAAGTTCTGTTGCATATAACTTTTTTAAAAATGATTGAAATGAGTAAAAAGTTTGACACATTAATGAAGTCATCAACACCAAATTCTGTGAAAACAAAATTTTCTTAATTTAATTTTTGACATTTAAAAAAAAACCACTTGTAACCCAAATAACCATAAAAATTTTGCAAAATTTGTTTAAACTAAAGTCTTGCTTATCTTTTCACCTGAAAACAATAAAAATGTCTTTGATTTTCAGTTTCTTAATTGAATTTATTTCTAAATAACATTTTGGAATTGACTTATCTCAGACTTTTGTGGTTGAAATCTCCATTGTTACCACAAAAATGAAAATGTCTCTGTAAACTCTGCATTAATTCCAAGGTTTTGCTTAAATATACTACATTTCTACAAATTTGTAACAAAAAAAACAAATTATGAAACTAACTATATATGGTAAATGTGGTTCGTTATTTGTGTTGTAGGGTATATATTGATTTAAAACATTAATTTGATTACATCACTAAATACCAATGAATACTTAGGAGCAGAAAATGAACAGTTTAGTATTTTTCTCCTACTTTGATCAAGATTTTGCAACATTATACATTAACATATATTTATGAACTATAAAAAAAAAACTTTACTTATAACACAACAGACATCTAGAGCTGAACATGCAGTCTTCAATAACAGACATGGGTCTTTATCATTGTCATGTCAAGTTCTAAATCGTCCCAAGTCTAGAAAAGATGTGAACAAATTAAATGTAGACCTATCAAACATTTTACATTAACACCAATTTCCTGAAAGGATTAACAAACACAACAAAATATAGGTAAATAAAGACTGCCACAAACAAGGATCCTGACACAGTAACATGACAGCATAAAAACAAATTTTACTGTACCCATCTCGGTCCCTTTTCGTCAGTGGAAAAAAGAAGGAATGTACTTTTGTGTAAAAAAAAAACATTTTTCTCTATGATACTATTATCATGGATTGCTCTGATGCAAGAATGCAGGCATATATAAATAAAATTAATCATATAATATGTAATGTTTGAAATGTTCCTTGCTATGAACGACATCAGTTGTATGGCTTAACTTTTGTGATGTTTTTAACTATTGATAATGTTGACTGTAATTTGCTTATTGTATTTTTATGTTTTTCAGCACAAGTTTATATTGAAGAATGCCAAATATGTCCTGGAGACCTTAATGAAGAAAGTGGAAGAACAATTTAAAACCAGATCAATATCATTCCCAAAACAGTTAGTGTCGGTCAGTGGAAAGTACAAGAAACTAGAATCACTTTCAAAATCATCTGGTAGCTGAATTTGAAGTACCATAATTAAGATATACAGAACCAATATTTATTGTACCATGTGAAAATTACTGTCATAGTGACCAACATAATAGTTTAAAATCCTGAAATGGAAAACTATATTAATGTACATATAACAGTTCTTATATCAGTTGTGGTGATAAAAACACAGATTTTACCATAATTCACAAATTCTAGCTTTTGTTTATGTATTATAGCTTGATTTTGTGGTAATTTTGTTTATTTCATGTTTGCAAAAAATACCATGAACATTTTTTAAATTACATGAACGGTAATTTCTATGGACATGTTGAAAATTGTTGCAAAATCACAAATACTGATGTACATGTATATTATTATGTCTTTTTTAATGTTCAAATCCAACTAAGTATGACCAAATTTGCTGCAATTTTATCTGTAGGTGTAACAAATTTAAGTGAAGTAACCATACCTTTTTTGTGGTATTAAATCTTCACTAATTGAGTACAAATATTACAAACACACATTAAACAAAATCTTAATGTATCGTCCCAAATTAAAGAAGGCATTTGTTATACAAAGAAAATAAAACCAAGAGGATTTAATTTATGTATATAACATATTTTATAATTTATAGTATTTTTCATTTATTTTGATATGTAAAGTGCAATACTTGTTTTTATTTTGTTATTTAATATTAATTAAAGATATTATATGAAGAACTTTCTTTCATTATTATTTGGCCACTATTGTCAAGAATCATACATTCATGTCAATCAGTTTAATTGAAGTCTGGAGCTGGCATGTCAGTTAACTGCTAGTAGTCTGTATTATTGTCATTTTGTTTATTTCTTTGGTTACATCTTCTGACACCAGACTCGGACTTCTCTTGAACTGAATTTTAATGTGCGTATTGTTATGCGTTTACTTTTCTACATTGGCTAGAGCTATAGGGGGAGGGTTGAGATCTCATAAACATGTTTAACCCCGCCGCATTTTTGCGCCTGTCCCAAGTCAGGAGCCTCTAGCCTTTGTTAGTCTTGTATTATTTTTAATTTTAGTTTCTTGTGTACAATTTGGAGTTTAGTATGGCGTTCATTATCACTGAACTAGTATATACATGTATATTTGTTTAGGGGCCAGCTGAAGGACGCCTCCGGGTGCGGGAATTTCTCGCTGCATTGAAGACCTGTTGGTGACCTTCTGCTGTTGTCTGTTCTATGGTCGGGTTGTTGTCTCTTTGACACATTCCCCATTTCCATTCTCAATTTTATTTATCATTTCCCTGATCATTTCATGGATTGTAGGTTTTGTTAAAATTGTGTACGTGTTCACTTTTCCTACCTTTAATAGGGGTGTTCAAAGTGAAACTGATAAAATAGATATTTGTAAAAAAAAATATTTATCATAAAATACTTTTAATATTATTTGGAAATTGTATCTTGCTCAGTGTATTACAGTTAATCATGTAAAAAAAAAAACAAAAAACTTCAAAGTTTTATGCCTTCTTACAATAGAAGGTGGCATATTGTTTTCGAGTCCATGTGCTCCTGAATCCCATAGGGTTAAAGTTTTGAGTTTCCACTGACACAGATAGTGTTGAAATTTATATTTTGTAAACAAACCAGATTTTTTCAGATTTTAAGGGAAAAAAACCAACTTGAATAGAAACTATCAAATAAGAATTATAATCTCAACTATTCTTTATATTCTAATGTACTCATTGGTAACACTTTCCTCTGCATTGAAATGAGACTGACAGGTACCAGTTCTGCTGGATAATTTTCTTTTCTGGTATGTTCTGAGATGAAAGTTTAGATCGACAAATTCGTCCAAATCTGAAAAGTCTTTGAAACGATGACCTCTCATTGAGGGAGATTCATAAATTGACTTGGTCAATGAACTATCTTCAGTATGTTCATAATCATTATAATCAGTCTGCAAAATAAAAATCCTCCAGCTAAAACTTAAGGAGTTAAGCAGACACACAATACACCCTTCATTCAAAATAAAACAAAATATGACCTCCTTCAAACCCTGACAATATCAGGGGCGTAGCTAGGTATCCAATAAACTGCAGGCACAAATTGTGGCAGGGGGTCTGGGCAGTGGCCTGGTGGGGCGGTTTTACCATTTTTAGGTGCAAAATTTTTGTGTACAAAAACACATAAAATTTCCTGGTAATTTTATCATGATAATATACAAAAGAAAAGTTCGAAGAATTTTAACAATTTTACAATAACATCTGATTAATGAATTAATGCAGTACAATCGAAAATCTAAAATCAAATATTTACAGTATGTGTAGATCAGCGTAGACTTATAATGATACAGTTCATCCTGTTTAGTATTTTCATATCTATACCTTTCTGATTGCTGATAATTGATATATACGTCAATTGATAGTACATATTGGTCATTACACGTAGATCTTAGAGTACTCAATTTACTGAAAGCTAGTTGATTGATTGCTAAATGTCCAGTGTCAAATAGTTCATGCATGTTCAGGACAAATACAAATTTACAATAAATACAATAGGTAGGTCCTGTAATAAGGATTGTACAGGATGAAGGTCTGGAATTTTGGAAATGCCATTGGAAAATGAGGGTTTATTGGATAGGGACAGAAATTTTGCCTTTCAGCAGACCACCTATGGAATCCTCAAAGAGTTGTTGCAAGTTTTCTTAACGTGCAGAGAGTGTGGTATTCTCTCTACACTAGGCTTCAGATTTAATGTCCCCATTCTGACTAGACATGACTGCCTATTTATACATCCTGCACAGCTAGACGGATGCCCTTCTTTGGCAAGGGTTTTATTGTAGGTCGGATGAAGACCAAGAGGAAAGCTACTTGAAAGCCAACAACTAACAAAAAAATCATGCATCTAAGAAAAAAATGTCGGTTTTAAGCATGTTGAGGTTCATTCAAGTATTTGTTGATAGAAGTGAAATGATCTGAACCCAACTTCTAGTTTCCAGTTTCTATATAAGATGGTATAAGGTACATACAATTATATCCAATTCTCCAGTCACTAAGGATGATAGACTAGTGTACAAATGACATTTGATAATTAAAGAGTTTTGACGACTTTAAGTGCATCTACAGATAACACTGTCATTATTTTGTGAAAAATTTATGTGTAGGCACATGTCTCAAGTGCCCAACAGCATCTACGCCCCTGAATATGCAGACCATTGTAGTACAGTGGTTGTCTTTGGTTCATGTCAAATTTCTCTTTTGGGTCCTTTATACTATACCTGGACAATCATTCAATCCTCTAACAAAGGGACACACACACAGGCAATGGATGATTTGGAGGTTGACTTATTTATAGACCTCTGTCTATTGGTGAAGACTATGTTCATCCTGATGTCTTGATTATTTTACCGATCTATATAGGTTTTTGTTTTATACCCCAAACCTTAAAATCATAGGGTTGCAGGGTAAAACAACTACATTTGCAATTTCATTCTTTGGTTAGAGATGTCTCGAATGTTGAAGTGGCAAAGTTCATATTGCTAAACTTATATATCCTATTTCATTTTTTTATAAGACTGATTTTGTTGAGTTTCCTTATGGGTAACCTTGAAAATTAATCAGACAAAAAGAAAATGTGAAGTGCACAACACCATGTGATATCAATCTATTATGTCAAGTTTCATTCCATTCAAACTCTAACTAAATAAGATTAGCTCTGACATCTTTCTAATATAGTAAAATTCAAGGTGTGCAATGGGAAACTCCAAGAAATCAATCTGATAAAAAATCAAACAGGTTATAATAAATATTGCATAAGTTTTTTACCGTTGGTATAAACAGCGGTATATTTTGTGTTAAGTTTGAATAAACTTGACAAAAATGTGTGGCTATAAATTCATAAAGGTAATATTATATTCACTCATAAGGAGTATTAAATGAACTTTATGAAGTATTTCATCAATTTAAATTCTTAAATACAAAATAAATAAAACACATGAAAAAAAAATGGCACTTTTATTTTCTTATAAAAAATTTAAAAACACATTGTTGAATAAAATTTCCTATCATATTATCATATAGAAAAAAAAAACACCAGCACTTTTAAATGCATATCAGTAATACATTGTATTCATCATATGACTTATTAAAAACGATTGTTGCATGATTTCATATGGGAATATCATTAGATTGGACAATCTGATTGGTCCAGTAGATATTTACAAGTATGATGAGACTGAACAAGACAGACATTGAATTTCTGAATATATCTATAGTTTTTTTTTTATGAATGAGTTACACAGGTTGACCTGAGGTCAATCGGCTTAAATGAGATATTTGAACAATCAGTTCCTACTGTGACATAATAACATAAGCATTGTGATATAGAAAATGCATGAATTTGAAAATCATCTTTTCAGTAAGTGTTGTAGTTTCTGTGAATTATATACATATGCTGTCACTGAATCAAGAAATGTTTGCATCTAGAAAAGCATTGTTTCATATTGAACACAAAATTGTCTATGAAAATGGAATGTAATGTATGGTCTTCTATTCTATGTATTTGCAAGTTTTTGTCTCTTAGTTTCATCATCTCCAATAAATGGACTATTTTGTCTTGCATTATGGTAAAGTTGTAATAAGTCCAATGCTTGTGTTGTCTGAGATCTCTCGTCCAGGTGGCGCTGACATGCTTCCTGTACTGTTTTTGCATAGTTTTCTGTGTCCTGCAGAAGAAGTGCCAAATGACCTATCGGCAAATCAACTATCAGCTGAAAATTTAATAAAAATTTCACATTGTTAAACCTGAACTTAAAAAAAAAAAATTTTCATGTTAAGAGTACAGACAAAAAATATGTCCAAAGAAAGCAATATGCAAACATTCTAATACTACTGTTGACTGAAGAGATGTCAAGGAAGTAAAAAGAAGGATGTATAACTGTCCCCAATATGTATTCCTTTTAAAAATGTCAAATGATGGTTGCAAATATTCTTGATCTGATCAAATAAATGTGAAAAAAAAGGGTCAGAAGATACAGAAAAGGACAATAATAGTGGATGAAAAACCAACAATATCATTGCAAATAACAAAAAAACAAAACAAGTCTACAAAATACTACATAGAAAACTGAAGATAGAGGGACTCAAACCCCATAAAAAACTATGGGTCAACTCTCAAGAATGCTTAATTGCTTGCATCACTTTAAGTTAATTGATTTAATTTGTAAAAAAAAAAACAAGGAGAAATGTGGTCTGATTACCAAAGAAAAAATAAATGAAACAAGTATCTACAACAAACCAAAGGATGTGGAAATAAGCAATTATGTGTCACTGTACAGCCTTCAACCACGAGTAAAACATATACCATGTAGTAAGCTATTTAAGGCCCTGACATGACAAAATCTGAAACAATTGAAACGAGATACAAGAGAGGAGAAAGATTCCAAAGGGACATTCAAACTCATAAGTCAAAAATAAACTGAAAACGCCATGGCTAAAAAAGAAAAACACAAACAGACAACAGTACACAATACACAGCATAGAAAACTAAAGACTGAGCAACACGAACCCCACCAAAAACTGGGGTTGATCTCAGGTGCTCCGGAAGGGTATAACCAGTGTTCCAGCTAAGTCGTTTTCACAGGGTGGTCCGCCCGCCCTATACCCAGTGCCGCCCTGTGCCCTTTTTCTGACACCCTGTGCCCTTTTTAAGACGCCCTGCCCTTTATCATAAGTCCATGCCTTTATTGCCGTAATATTTTGATGAAAATACAATTATTCTACCTGTCTTCATATTTATGACAAGTTTATGACCCTCAGCTAATTACCATTTACAGCAGGTGTAATAAGTTGTGATTACAGATAATCCACTTATCGACATCTGATGGGTCATTAATCCGTTAATTAAACTTCATAATTGACCATTGTAATAATTTTTCTTATTGAATTCGGTCAGTCAGTATTTCAATTTCAATATTTCTCAAAAGATGACAATTTGCGTTCGATGTATCCGTAGATCGTCTGTTGTTTATTTGTCAAAGATTTTTTTTTTTAAATTAATCTTTTAAACTAGTTTTTATCCAGAAGAAAGTAAAAACAATGCTTGACTGTACCTTTCATTGAATATCTATATCCAAATTAAATTAATTAAAGCTGTAATCCATGATCACAAATTGACTGCTTTGTTTACATTTGTTGAAAGCCATGTGCTTTTTTGGCGTGAAAATTTCGGAAAACCCTTTAACAAGAAACAGTTACATTTCATTGTTATTTATAGACAGTAAGATTTTCATTTTGATTAACTGCTAAGATTATTTCATTAAAAATGAATACTTTCTTGGGGTGAAACTGATACTTTAATACTCTACATCTAGGGTGTGTAAAATGGAAAAGGGGGGGGAGGGATTTTTTATATATAATATTACAAATATAAGTTTAACAGTCTGAAAAGACATGGTTAAATGGATTTTAATTCTGAAAAACTCAATGTGGTTTATTATAATTCATTTATTTATTATTTCTATCATAATCAGAAACACTGGGCTACATGTTTTAGGCATTTCAAACATATATTATTGCCTTTATAAGAACATTCAAGACTATTAATAAGTATGTACCTGAAGTAAAAATACCCTGGTAGGGCCTTAAAATTTCTACTGGGCTCTTGGAAAAAAGTTTTGGGATCCAGGTTGGCCCCTGGAGAAAATGTAAGGTATTGTTCCTGACTGTATTGCAGATCTAGTGTAGTATTTTAACTGACATGCACAATTCATTTCACTAATGAAATAAAAATAATTCTACAAAACACTGCTGCGCTCTGCATTGCAACTTAACCTTAGACCTACCATGCATCAAAAATGTTCTAGGGAAGACTGAGCTAGTAATATACGTCCTTGCATGGTGCCTTTAATACTGTTACCCAAAATAAGGTTGATTTTCATCTAGCGTAAAAGTGACTAAACCCCCTCAAAACTCCTAGCTGAAACCCCTGCAGTTAGCATAAGACAATGTTTGACATGCCCTTTTTGAAATATCAATCATCGTGCTAAAGTGCCCTTTTCATGATTGGCTCCCTGCCCTTTTGAAATCCTAGCTGGAACACTGATAACCAACAAGCTGGTTTGCTTAATGAATAGTTTGATATAAACATAACTATAGAATGCCCTTTTCATATAAGTTTATGAGTATTTTTTATCATTTATGGCTGTAGTTCTTCATTGCAAAGGGAATTGTTTTGATTAACTTTACTATGAGCAAGCATTTTGTTTGTTTACATACAGACAATAAAATAATGTGAATAATTTTTTTAGTATGCTCACAAGCATTTTGTGGATTTCAAGGATTGAGGAATAATTGTAAGTTCCTGGATGTTTGATTTCTTTGTTTAGCAAAAGTGTGATTACTAGCCTATACAAAATATTTACTTTGTTGAACATCATTTTTTAATTCGTGGTTCACCTATACCTAGAAAATTCATGAAAAATTGGTACCCAATGAATATAAAAGGAATCCAGAATCATTTTTTCTGTAAGCTTGCAAGCATTTAGTATTATTTAAACTTACAAACCTCTAAATCTTCATTTGATAGTGTTATAATGCAAGTAATAATTTTGTTTGTAAGCTTAAAAGCATTTTGTGTTGTTTACAAACCTGTAAATCTTCATTTGATAGTGTTATAATGCGAGTAATATTCTTCTGTAAGCCAGCAATCATTTCTTTGGACCTCTCAGAGATTTCTGTTCCTCCTCCGATAAAATCAGGTTCATCATGGCCAGACACTTCACCTGTAACAAGTCATGTATAACAATTAGAACTACTTGCTACTGCTCAATAATGATACCTTAAAGAATGCTGTAAACAGGAAGTTGAAGGACAATGGACAAAATGCTTCACATATAAAGTAAAGCATGTTGACATATATATAACATAGTAAAGCATGTTGACATATATATAAAACATAGTAAAGCATGTTGACATATATATAAAACATAGTAAAGCATGTTGACATATATATAATATAGTAAAGCATGTTGACATATATATAATATAGTAAAGCATGTTGACATATATATAATATAGTAAAGCATGTTGACATATATATAACATAGTAAAGCATGTTGACATATATATATATAACATAGTAAAACATGTTGACATATATATAATATAGTAAAGCATGTTGACATATATATAACATAGTAAAGCATGTTGACATATATATAAAACATAGTAAAGCATGTTGACATATATATAACATAGTAAAGCATGTTGACATATATATAAAACATAGTAAAGCATGTTGACATATATATATAACATAGTAAAGCATGTTGACATATATATAATATAGTAAAGCATGTTGACATATATATAACATAGTAAAGCATGTTGACATATATATAACATAGTAAAGCATGTTGACATATATATAACATAGTAAAGCATGTTGACATATATATATATAACATAGTAAAACATGTTGACATATATATAATATAGTAAAGCATGTTGACATATATATAACATAGTAAAGCATGTTGACATATATATAAAACATAGTAAAGCATGTTGACATATATATATAACATAGTAAAGCATGTTGACATATATATAATATAGTAAAGCATGTTGACATATATATAACATAGTAAAGCATGTTGACATATATATAACATAGTAAAGCATGTTGACATATATATAACATAGTAAAGCATGTTGACATATATATATATAACATAGTAAAACATGTTGACATATATATAATATAGTAAAGCATGTTGACATATATATATAACATAGTAAAGCATGTTGACATCTATATAACATAGTAAAGCATGTTGACATATATATAATATATATAGTAAAGCATGTTGACATATATATAATATATATAGTAAAGCATGTTCACATGAAGCCTGATATCAAAATTCAGGAAACTGTTATTTGTAGCTTTCCTAGAAAAATGAGATGAAAATTTCATACATGGACATTATGTGTTAGAATAATATAAATAAATTAATTGACAATCAGGAAGTTGATGAGCAATAAAAACATTTTGAAGGGTATAAATCATGCTTATATGAAACCTGATAACATATTTTAGGAAGCCTGTGCCCTATTTGTAGTTCCCTAGAAAAATGTAATGTAAAAAGTCATTTTGAGTTAGAATATAAAAGTACATGTATTTGTAAACAGGAAGTTGATGAGAGATGAACTTTAAAATAAGTCACACGGTACTGCCCAATGACAAATTTCAAGGAGCTCTAAATTAGAGTGTCTAAGAAAAATGTTCTCTCTCTAAATTTTCTACATAATATATTCAATGAAAGGACTTTTTTCTGTATTAGCTATATGCCCTTTTCTATGAAAATACTGTAAATCTGAGGTTTCTTGCTAACTAGAAGAATACAATTTAACACAGTCATTGTAGAACACCATAAATTAAAGAAAATCATCCAAGAACTGAGTTTATTATAGTAGACAAGCATTTGAGTTTGATACTAATACAAGACAAAAAATTTGAGTGGATGTGGATGGACTGTGTCTCACTGATATCATATATAACCCACATTTCTATTCATTTATGTATCTATGCTAAGTATTACTCAATCAAATCAATCTCAAGTTCATTCTGAATAAAATGTAGATCCTGATTCCATGTATTGCTTACAAGAATCTGACAACACTCTGCTCGACTTTTTATGTTGATATCTATTATTTTGACCAATTAAATATATATCTCCAAATTTCTGAATGTATTTTTCTTTCCACAAATACCAAGGATCTGGGAAAGGTCTTCAGATCCTTGAAAGTAAAGCTTGAGCACGGGATCTGTATTTTAATCAGATTGTCTAATTTTATTATCAATCAAGGTCATGTTTGCAGGAGCAGAAACAGTATAATTCTTGTTACAAACCTCTCTTATACATACTTTTACGTTTAGATTTAAGGTAATTTATTTCAGATCATCAAAGTCAAGTGACAGAAAAACCAAATAACTTAAGAGGCCAGGATCTATTATACCTACCTATGCCTTCAGGTCTCCACATCTGACCTTTAGGTAAGATCATCAAGGTCGAGTTATGAGGAAGGAAAACAAAGTAATCCTCATCGTCAACCTCTGTTCCATCCTCTGCTATAACAACACGTAACCCATCTGTACTTGTTATACCTAATTTATCTTCACCTAAATTCAAAAAAAAGTATGATTGATTACAAATTTTTCATTGAAGCTGTTTCTCACACTGTGGATTCTTTATTATTCATGGAATACCAATTTGTGGATTTGTGTTGGTTTAGGTTAACCATAAATTTAAATGTTCAACAAAGTTCAAGTTTTCCACAGGAGATTGTATGCAGACTTGGGCAAAACCAAAAATTCAAATATTTATAAAAATACATTTGTTCCTCAATCCATGAAAATTGGTACTCACGAAAATTAATGAATCCACTGTAATCCTGATATTTATACTGCGAGCGAAAGTTGCTACATGTAAGTTACAGACAAAGCCTCCATTTCTCAACTATTCTAATTTAATAAGATATACATGTATTAAGTTCATAATGAGAGCACGTCTATATTTCCAAAATTTCATAGGATTTTCGTTAGTCTTTGAGATTCATTAATTTATCTTCTATAGTTCAGACTTAGAGGTTCTATTAGTTATCTTGGTGTAATCAGGGGTGTACAGAATTTTACACCGGTGTAGAAAATTCATACACCCTGACCAAGATAATGAATTTATTTCTAACGAAGTGTTCCTTTACTCATTTTTAAACCGGGATGTAAAATTGAATTTCCAGTTTTTCAACACCAATATTGCTGCACATTGTCAAATACACATGTACTTTTTTGTTGGCAATTATTTTCTTTTCTTAATTTTGGCAAAATTTTTATTTTTGGGAATTTTTGGCAAAATTTTATTTTTTCCCGGGTGAACAAGGGTGGGGTGTTATTTACACCCGGGTAATTAACCAATCAGATTGCAGGATTTTTGCTGTATAAGAAATAAACAAATTTATCTTCTGGTTCAATATTGAGGTTCATTAATTTATCTCCTGGTTCAGATTTTAAGGTTCATTAATTTATCTTCCAGCTCAGATTTTGAGGTTTATTAGTTTATCTTCTGGTTCACATTTTCAGATTCATTAATTCATCTTCTGTTTCAGACATTGTGGTTCATTTACATTAACTTATCTTCTGGCTCAGAAATTGAGGTTCATTAATTATGTTAATTTAACTTCAGTTATCTTCTTTTACAAATGTGTAACTTCAAGAACTGATTCCTTTATTTTAACTATTTAAATGATCCAGAATTTGTTAGCATTGTTTATTTTTAATTTCCCACATATAGAAAATGATTTTAAAATCTTTCTTTTACATCAGAAAACTGCTCTAAGACCACGCTCAAAGTTTTGTCTACTGATTTTTGAAAGGAAAATGTGATGAAGTTATTTAAAGTTCTTTCTCATACAACAAAATTCAAAAAAAGAGACAGTATAAATACTTTGAAGTCATGAAAATGATGAACATTTCAGTATAACTTACCATCAATTCTAATTGTAAATATGACAGTTCTGTCATTCCATCAAAATTTTTAATACTTGGAAACATTGCTAAGGAAATCTATTCTACCAAAGTATTGTTATATTCAAATTTTAAGTACATCGTTGACTTTTCAGCAACCACTTTGAACTTTTTCTAAATAATTAGTATAATTATATTTTGATAGAATGTTAATAACACAAGATGCATCTTTATTATCATACATTTGTTATGTTCATTATTTTCTGAGTTCTCTGAAATAAAATTTTCATTATCCAATAGAACATACCCTAAATATTGTAGGTTGAAAATCAGATTAAACAAAAGCAATGTATCAACTCTTGGTGCAATCAGAAAGAAATACATGTATGAGCTATTGATTTGTCCATTTTTAATCAGGTTGATAGTTTTCTTGTTTGAATTGTTTTGTCTAGTCAGGGCCTTTTTATAACTTGCTAAGCGGTATGGGTTTTGGTAATTCTTAAGGCAGTACTGTGACTTATAGTTACTAACTTCTACATCATTAGTCTCTGTTGGAATGTTGTCTCATTTTCAATCATATACCCCATTTTCTTATTTTTATATTATCATGATTATAATACCTTTCTGAACTAGTTCTTGAAGAGAAGATGCTACAATCCCTTTCTTTACACTTCTGTCTTGGTTCCAGATTTTGAAAGGTCTGGCACCAGCCATTGAGAATCTTTAAAATAAAAATTCTTTTCAAATAAAACACTTCATTTGTTATATTTAATAACCTTTTTACCTAATACATGTATTATGTCATGTATGTCATGTATGTCATTGCCTATATTAAACTGTTTTAAAGTGCAAACTCGAAACTGTAAACATGTTATTTATTATACATGTTATAGCATCCACTTCGACAATATTGTAAGTCATTTCGGAGTCCACGGATACGTTTGTTTTTAACAAATATCTGGAATTGATTTACATGTACTGATGATGTATACGTAGTTGCTCTCATCTGCATTTTTCATAAGTCAATTTTATTTTTTTCTGGTATATATATATATATAACGTGAGGGTACCCAAATTGCACCTATTTTGACAGTTTTTTTCACCTACGTTTATTTATGATCCAGACAAAAGTTTCCATTCTTTGTTATTTTGTAGATTATCCTTATTTACTATATAGTTCCACCAATTTAATTTTGAATCGATATTGAATTATAGAAAAATGGGTTTGAACCGACCTCCAAACGATCAATGATTCTGTAATGAGGAGTACCCAAATTGCATCTATGCTTAAATTCACATCCTTAAAAATCAAATAACAGATGTTTTGTTTTATTTCTTCAAATATTCAGAACAATTTGACATTAGTCCATGCTTACTATTCATTTCTTAAGAAATGGATGCTCGTAACATATTTTATTTGCTCATTTTTAAAAGATGACTTTTGTGGACGTCGCATGGCGACGTTTCCGTAGATTTTACTTTTTCCGGTGAATACTTCATCTGTTGATATTTACTATGAACGTTTTGTCAATATTTAAATATATTCACCTATTTGAAAGACGTGCGTAATGTCAAATATTAAAAAAATACAAATTGTTTAGTCCCTAAGAAAACTTGTAAGATTTTCGCTGCTATTTTTGCTAAATAGGTGCAATACGTCATTTCTGGAATCGTGTCTTTCACTGGAAAAGATTGTCAATTTCGCACGCCTTTATGACGTCATTTACCAGATAGAAGGCGCGCCTGTATCCCTGCTCTTTTAAAAGTTTTAAGCACTTTCAGAATCCTCATTCTGTAGGTTAGTATAGAAATAATTAATGTTCCGTAATTACGTAATCTTAATTCCCATACGACTGAGGGAGGGTGACCAGCTTATTAGATTTAAATTTCCCAAATATTTTGTGCAATAATAATTAAACTTGTTCACCCGTTTGCTCAACATGTGTTGGAAATGACGATGCCTACATTTTGGTCACGTGGTGATGGAGGTCACAATAGATTTAACTAACTACCGTATCCCGGAACTGCCGTATTTGGGTACTGTGACATTATATATATATAGATAAGATAAGAATTTTATTAATCTAATCAAGAACCCATAAAGGGCATCATTTACAACAATATTAAGCACAATATGATTGGAAAAAAGAAAAACTAGATCCTACTATAACTATCATATTATGGACAGGATCAGAGCCTAACACATCATGTGTCTTACATAACTATAACAATAATTTCATAATAATTAAATATTATTTTATATATTTTGTATCCACCTGGATCTTATTTCTAAACACTTAATTATATAATTGCCTAGGCACATAAGAGTTGGTAAATGCTCATTTGTGAACAGCCAGAAATATTTTTTATCCTTTGGTAATTCTTTAAAATTATTACAAAAACTGTTTACTTTATCCCATAATAATTTTCTCTGTTCGTTATATAAAGGACAACTTACTGTGAAATGGGTCTCATCTTCAATAGAATTTGATCCATGTGATAGGCAGTGATGACATAGACGCTGACTTCTCTCTATGTATTTTTTACTATATCTATCTTTCTCAATTTTAAGATCATGTGCACTTATTCTCAATTTACATATAGCTCTTCTTATATTAAAATCTTTAATTGATAAATAAGCCTCCTTTACGAATTCAGTCTTGAGGTTGAAATAATTTTCTAATTTACTATTACCTTGTGATAAGATATCAGATCTTTTGACCACCCAAAATGTTTTAAAACTGTTACAAAGTTTACATTTTACAAATTTAATTAATTTATTGAGCTTTGTATTCAAATTTTGTATATCAAGTGATTGAAGGACATATCTCATAGATGAATACCAACAATTAATGTTTCCTGCATCTAAAATTGTATTACAAACATAAGCATCATAAAGTAACCCATCGTCCAATTTATTAAGCCTGTGTACATATTTTACCATAGATATAATGACAGAAAAATAAAATGGAAATCTTGCAACCTCTGATAACACTGCCAAATTTGAGGCTTTTTTATTTATACCAAGAATATATTTTAGATACCTGAAATGTGATTTTTCCAAATAATCATTTATGTAAATTAATTCAAATAGATAATCACTTTTTTTCTTGCAAGCAGCAGAGTTAATCTTAAAGGTATCCCAGATTTCACTACAATATAATAAATTTGGTTTGATTGTGTGATCATATCAACGGATTGCAGTATCAATACTTGGATTACAAGCTGACATGGATTTTTGTAGTTTAAATTTTGCCTTTAAGGACTTTTTGAATAGCTCTTCTTTCCCCTGCTGTAAAAGACCGAACTTATATATATATATATTGTTATCTTTAAAACGTTATCGATGTGCATGGATGAAAGTATAAGCATATTTGATTTAGATTTTTTATGTGTAAAGCAGTATTGATTTACCTGTATAAATAATAAGGAAACAACTTGAAAACTCAACTTCTAGTTCTAGCAAAAAGACAAAACCAAAAAAACAAAGAAATCAAAGCGGAAGTAAAACAATCTGTGTTAAAATCAGACCGTACCGGAAATGTCACCCTAAATTTTTGCCGGAATTCAACAATCATAAAAAAAACACGACTGATTAGGCTGTAGGGAATAAATGAGCTGAACTTAAGATATATAGATTTATGAAAAAAAATTAGTCTTTTAATGATAAAAATAGCCCTAAATGAAATAAGCGTACTGAAATTCAAAACTTATTATAAAATATTTTTTTTATTGAACTGAAGATCTGGGACATCATTGACATTGAACCAGAAACATATTAAATTTTTTTAAATTCGGGACCTCGGGATTCCATGTTTTTAAGCCCGGGATTTCGGGATTCTCTGATTGAACTAAAGGATAGATGAAAACCGATACGTGATATCATATGTCTCTGATGGTATCCATATTTATTAATAAAATAATATTGGACTGGGTAGACACCGTAAATTAATAAAAATTAATGTATCCCTTGAAAGCATATATGGAACATCCTTCCGCTAAGAAGAAGAAGAGAGGTTGGACTGAGATGTATTCACTTTGCTATAAAATGTCAAAATTTATCGTTGGCAAAAACATTTTCAAGAAGTACAGAGAAAGGGGTAGGAGGGGCTTCTAGAAGGGGGTGTCATCCCAAATTCCTCAGAGTCCCGACAAATTAATCTTTAATTCCCGAGTCCCGATAGGTGTAAACCCGAATTCCCGCAAAAATAAAGGCACAATCCAGAGTTCCTACAAAAATAAGGCCCAATCCCGACGTTCGGTAAAAGGACCTTCAAAGGATCGCCCCTTTAGAGAGTATAGTCTCATCTTTCAACAGAATATCTGATGAGGAAAAATTTACATCTATGTTTACCTTTAACGAGTATGACATAACTAAAGTTATATTGTCAAGGGAGTTAATGGTTTATATGCACTAAGAAATAACCTACCTGACAAGAAAAGCTAGAATTATATAATACAAATTTGTGACTATTTTTTAATTTTTTTATTACATACATATTTGTTTGGTTATAATTTATAACAATCTCTTTAAGAATAATGATGTTCATTTTCAAATTTGCCAAACTATCATCTCTATCAAAATCTCTGAATATATGTAGAATAGAGAATTGATAAAAAAGAAAAGAAAAGTTGCACCAAAATATCACTTTCAATCATCATCTTTTTGAATAGTCTATTAACACTGGATAATACATGAAGACAGTCAGATTCGGATTCAAAGGGTGGGTGAGGGGGCGATGAATGATCGCATTACGCTTCCTTCAAAAATGCTGGATCCGCCCCGGGTACGGTCATCCTCGTAAACAACTGTTATTGTTATTGAGTATAGTCCTGACATATACTTATATTTAGCAATTATTTAATTAAAAAGTGGAATGATAATAGTTTGTATTATATTTATGTAAATTCCTTTTTCAAGTTAAGTTTGAAAGTTGAAGTAAACCAGACATGTGCAATAATTGAGACAGAAATGTTCATGAAACAATTAAAAATACAGCCAAAATTAACACAAGTAGTTGCATTGGGTTAGTTCTTTGAAAGTACGGAATTTTCCCAATCGGATTAAAATTCAGGTCCATCTTAACTCGTGTTCTCGTATAGATTAGTCATATGACATGTATGAGGATAACAAAGTCAGAGATCTATATCTTAATTTTACTAAAGCGTCAGGCATTTCAATGACACGAGTCACGATTCCATGGATTAATTACAGATGCGGATCACGGATTTCAAAAAAAAAGGGGGGGGGGGACTAGGCAACGCTAGGAGTTGGAAATGTTAAATAGTCTGCATTTACCATATTTGTAGCACCATAAAAGCCCTCCTTAATCTGCCTCTGAATTCAAAAGATGGTTGCAACTGGTTTGGTAACTCAGTTGTACAATAATTTAGCACCGGCAGCATATCTCATATACTGTGTCACAAAAAGGGAGAAGATACAAAGGGGACAAACACAACGTTAACATAAGTGAAGGAACAACACACCAAGGGACAGAAGTAAAACGACGAAAAGAAACAAAATGCATGATTTTTTCATTAGTTGTTGTTGGCTTGGAACTAGCTGTCAGTAACTGCGCATAGGCGGATCCAGGGGGGCCCTGGGGGGCCTAGGCCCCCCTTTTGTGGGAAAAATTTGGTGGATTATATAGGGAATCACTGAAGCATGACTGGAGCGGCCCCCCTTTTAGGTCAGTCAGCGCCCCAGTTAGTTCTGGATCCGCCACTGCTGCGAGTACTCTCAGATCTGTACTTAGTGTCTTTTTTTGTTGTGGAGATGTGTAAATACCGTCACATCCGGTCTGTTAGCTGTATTTCTGCTTTGTATCGATCTGATGAGTTAAACCCTTTTAACTTATTTTTATACGACCGCAAAAAAATTTTGTGGTCGTATATTGTTATGACGTTGGCGTCGTCGTCGTCGTCGTCGTCGTCGTCCGGCGTCGTCGGCGTCGTCGTCCGGCGTCGTCGTCGTCGTCCGAAGACACATTGGTTTTCGCACTCTAACTTTAGTTTAAGTGAATGGATCTCTATGAAATTTTACCGTAAGGTTCAATACCACAAAAGGAAGGTTGGGATTGATTTTGGGGGTTATGGTACCAACAGTTAAGGAATTAGGGGCCAAAAATAAGCATTTTTGTAACTTCCAAACATAAATTGTGTGTTAGTGTATGGATCTCTCTGACATTGTACCACAAGGTTCCATATCACAAAGGGTATGCTGGGATTGATTTTGGGGGTAATTGCCCCCAAATTTTAGGAATTAGAGGCCAAAAAAGGGACAAAAAACAAGCATTTTTCTAGTTTCATGACAATAACTTGTGTGTAAGTGTGTGGATCTTTTTGAAATTGTACTACAAGGTTTCGTATCACAAATGGAAAGCTGGAATTGAGTTTGGGGGTAATTGCCCAAAACGTTTAGGAATAAGGGGCCAAAAAGGGGCCAAAAATAAGCATTTTTCTAGTTTCCAGACAATAAGTTGTGTTCAAGTGTATGGACCTCTCTGAAATTGTACTGCAAGGTACCATACCACAAAGGGACGGCTGGGATTGATTTTGGGGGTCATTGCCTCAAAATTTTAGGAATTAGGGACCAAAAAGGGGCAAAAAAACAAGCATTTCTCTAGTTTCAGGACAATAACTTAAGTTATTAAGTGTATGGATCTTTATGAAATTGTACTACAAAGTTCCATATCACAAAGGGAAAGCTGGGTTTGAGTTTGGGGGTATTTGCCCTAAAGAGTTAGGAATTTAGGACCAAAAAGGGGCCAAAAAACAAGCATTTTTCTAGTTTCCAGACAATAACTTGTGTTCAAGTGTATGGTTCTCTCTGAAATTGTACTGCAAGGTACCATACCACAAAGGGAAGGCTGGGATTGAGTTTGGGGGTGATGAATCATAAGGGGGTTCAAAAAATTTGGGGGGGGATTTTTTTTTCTTTTTTTTTCTTTAAAATTTTCCATTTTAAATTGGTTATTTCTGATTTATATATAAAAGCAAATGATAATGATATAGTTTGAATAGGTTAATTAATTTTTTTTTAAGTTCTTAGACCACATTCATTCTGTGTCAGAAACCTAGGCTGTGTCAAATATTTAATTACAATCCAAATTCAGTGCTGTATCAAGCTTGAATGTTGTGTCCATACTTGCCCCAACTGTTCAGGGTTCGACCTCTGTGGTCGTATCAAGCTGCGCCCAGCGGAGCATTATATTATAGTTTGTTCTTATGTTGTACTGTTACACCACTGTCTAAGGTTAGGGGAGGGTGGGCGCTTTCAAACTAGTTTAACCCCGCTACATTCTGTATGTGCCTGTCCGAAGTCAACAGCCTGTAATTCAATGGTTGTCGTTTGTTGCTGTATATCATATTTGTTTTCGTTAATATTTTCATAAATCAGGCCGTTAGTTTTCTCGTTTGGATTGTTTTACATTTGTTAGTCCACTAGAGTATCACAAGCCTAGCTAGAAGCCACTGTTTCCGTACTGGCATGCAAATACGGATATAGTTATTAAAATTTGCAATTACACAATTTTGGAAATTATTTCATATCAAGGAACATATCTACCTCGTGCAAAACTCTGATCTTAACTTTTTTCTTTTGATTTTATTACCTCTTCGATCAGTTTTTGAATAAGTTTTTGATTTAATTTCAATTATTTTCGCTCTAAGCATCACTGATAAACGGAATCATAAACAACTGTCATACCAAACGAGGTTTAGCTAGCTATAAAACCAGGTTTAACCCACTATTTTCTTCGGAAAATGTCTGTACCAAGTCAGGAAAATGACAGTTGTTTTTCACTTGTTCCATTGATCGATAGCGTTTGCTTTTTTCAGTTTAACTACCCCCTTGTTTTATTTGTTGGATTTTTGGTATTTTTTGTTATATACTTTTTTTTCTTAACTCGAACTTATACATATAGCAGTACTTTGACCTAGAAACTATCGCATTATTGTTGGTCGATTCTCTCTATAAATATTCAGTAAAATTTCGGACGAAATTCAGATATAGGAATCTGTTCAAAGAAATGGTTTGTATTATGCTCAATTATTTCAGAAGGTAACAACTGAAGGGAGACAAATCAATGCACAGTAAAATAAAAGATGCAGAAACTTTGATATTTAACTTGGTTTGGATAAAAGAAATTTTTGTTTGTTAAATAATTTTGCATCGCTTCATTGTGAATGTATCAACTCGTTCCTGTTCTATAAATGAGACACGAAAATAAGAATCCATATTATTATGAAGCCCTATAATACTATCCACACATGACCGGGGAGTTGTTCAAGTCAAGCTTCAAAGTGTATTTGAATTTCATTTTCGATATCATGAAACAAAAAACGGAAGGTGGCGTTTGTATATAAAAAAGGGTGATGTTTTTATTTCGAATTCAAAGACTATACGGGAAAAGAAATAAAAGAACGAAAGCTTGTTTTTGTTTCATAGTAATCATTAATAAAAGGTTACTACAGCAATAGCTTTCCACGGCAATACGATTCTTTGATGTAGATGTGATAGACCGTTACGGGCACAAAACAACGGAATAAAAATCTTAATTTTAACATTTACTAAGCTTAAATAATACGGTTTTAGTAAAGTTCTTCTGATATCAATTGAATTGCACAATTGAGTATATAGTGGTATTCATCTCCAGTATTACTGAGTAAATAATACCTCCCTTGTCTCCCATCTATCTCTTTCTATAAGTTCAGTGACTTCAAGTTCTAAACCTGGATATATAAGTTTCTTTTAACCTTTTTAGGTAATCATCTAAATATTTTCTCTGTTTTATACCTTACCTTAAACATTGGCCGCGAACATCACTGAGGATTGTCGAAATGTACGCATCTGGTGCAGTAAAATGGTACCGTCAATGTTAATAAACCATTTTGGATGGAAATTGTGATCACCCTGGTTCTCAAATATTTGTAAACCCATATTTTCTCAAAATATTTAAAAAGTAGTCACACATTCAAAATTATTATATTAAGCAGTATTTTGTCACAAGCAAATATTCCTTTCTCGTAATTTTTGTCGGAAAATATTAACACATCTTCTTCTTTCTGTGTATTTGGCTTAGTTGAATACATAGTGCTTGTTGGTTCAATGAGTTGTAAGAACATTAGCTTATAAATTCCTTTTTGCCGACTACATTAAAATTTGATAAATTCGCATCTTTAAAATTTAGCATTGAAAATCAACGATTTTTTCATATTTGATAATAAGCTATATCTGGTTCAATTACAGTGTAAGGCGTTTTCATAATTAAGTGTCAATCGAGTAAATCTTTGTCATTTCAATGCGATATACACACTGAAACAGATTTAAATTGCAGTTCACCTACCATTTATACCTATCTGGTATTCATTACAAAGTATAATCTGGGTTTGTTGGTTAGTCAAGCTGTAGGAATACGATGTGAAGCCCTCAACTGTCTTACCACATGCCATCTCCTCTTTCCTCACCAAAAGCAATGTTTCTGGAAGGAGTTTTGTCTCATTTGCCATTCGAATGGTTTTTCAAGCTCTACTATTGATGGTATCATCTTCGGCACGATGTTGGAATGGAGAAATTTACTGCATTGTTAGTTTTATTTGGCTTTACTTTTTACCTGAAACTTGATAATGAGTTGTAAACAATTTTACTTCTACCGTGCTGCCACGTGGTCTTTGTCGATATTTTACAGCACTCATTGTACAAGGAAAATTCTCGTCAAATATTCTATACCGAGGTTTTATATTAACTCGTTATCTACGTTGATGTCAGGGACAGACGTGTTAGGAAGAGCAGGATATTTCAATTTTTTTTATTATCGAACTCATCTGAGATTTTGTCGGTTTAAATAGGTTTGGCAAAAGATTTACAGTTATTTTCAGGTGTTCAAGGTAGACGGATTTATATAAGTTTTTTTTTGTCTCCGAATCCCTACATTTCTGCTGTAAATTTGACATTTGTACACGTTTGAAAAATAAAATGTTATTAAACTAAGTGTTCGCTGTTTGAATATTTCTTGAAAACATTTTTTACTACACGGATTTTTGATAAATGCTACATCTTGTCGATACTTGTATTTTGGCTATGTGTAATGTCATATTTATTCCTGACTGTTTAAAAGTCTTAAAATCCGTCGGATGTCCACTGATTTGAATTTAAGTCTAAGAAAAAATAGTTTATTTATCAGTTCAATTGGCGTTGAACTAGAACTAGCTTTCAGTAAATGCCTGTCGGACCCTTTCCAACTTATTTTTTTATAGTTTTTTTATTATGTTGTGCAGGTAAACAATTATGTCTAATGTTAGGAATATTGAGCGTTTATAGACAACACGTTCTTTGCGTTCATGTCACAAGTCACGGGCCTGTAAACCAGTGATCGTCAATGGTTGCTGCCTGCTATATTTTTTTTATTATTTTGTTTAGCATAGATCAGGCCGTAGATTTCTCTTCTGAATTATTTAACATTTTTTCACGTGGGGCATATTTCGACGTTTCACTACGGTGTTGATTTTGCTCACTGTTGAAGGTCGTACGGTGACCAACATAAGTTTACATCATCGTTTGACAGTGGTGTAGAGTTGTATCGTGTACAATCATACTACTTCTCCTTATTTTTATCAATCTACTTAAAATAAATATATCTCTGATTTCTTTATACTTACATAAGCTTTGACTCTAGTTACGACAGATCGATATTTTAATTAGATTGTTTTTTTACATCACTCATGCTTTCATTTAATAAATTACGGATCGATGATGGATTGGTGTTTAACATCCACTGGCAAATATAACATGAATATCAGGACACAAGCATATTAATGTCATATTGATATCAACCCTGAACTGTATAAGACCAACACTACTAAAGCCGTAACTTTAACAAGTTGGTTCACATGTCAAACTCCGCAGGAAGATGTGTCATATTGTTCTGACTCCGATCTGACCACTCACTACTCTTACTCCTAAAATGCCGCATTTTACGCGGAGAAGCAACAAATACTAGTTTGCATGTCTTTGGTGTGACCCGACCGGGGAAAAGACCCGTGACCGCTCGCACCCGAATTGAGCACGTTACCACCAGACCATCTATAAGTTGTTCCTTAATTTATATATGCATTCACCTTGACAGTAAAGGACAGCTGGACAATTTAAAGATTACCATGCATTTTACAGGATCACCTTGGACCCCCCCCCCCCCCCCCCCAAAAAAAAAAAAAAAAAAAAAAAAAAAAAAAAATTTCTCATGTTTTTGGACGGAGTTTGTGTTGGTTAATCTTTAATCGTCTGTGTACAATGTTGTGTATTCTGCCATCAATATGGTTTTGTCTGTTTTTCTTCGACTTAAGTTGTCCCTTTGGTATTTTCTACTTCTTTAGAAAAAAAAACTCAAATACCTCATTTCTTTTTCTGAGTACTGTGCATGTTTAACTCAGCCGCATCTTTGCGCCTGTCCCAAGTCAGGAGCCTCTGGCCATTGTTAGTCTTGTATCATTTTTAATTTTAGTTTCCTGTGTATAATTTAGTATGACGTCCATTATCACTGAACCAGTATACATATTTGTATAGGGGACAGCTGAAGGACGCCTCCGGGTGCGGGAGTTTCTCGCTGCATTGAAGACCTATTGGTGGCCTTCAGCTGTTGTCTGCTCTATGGTCGGGTTGTTGTCTCTTTGACACATTCCCCATTTCCATTCTCAATTTTATGTATTGACTGTGCAATGATAGAACCATTAGTGAGCAAGCTCACATACCTCATGCCCCACATATAGTAAATAGTGGACACGGCTGCACTTTCCCCTACTGAAAGAATTTTCCCTATTTTCCGATTTTTTACAATTACCGAACTCATCTGAGGTTTTGATGAGTGGAGGCTTGAAGTAGATCTTATGATAGTTGATGGCGCTACCCCAGCTACAAGAGCTAATTACAAATATTTGAACAAGTCCTTCTCCTGCAAAAATGGACCTTATTTTCTGATTGTTTTTAATTATCAACTCATCCGAGGTTTTGATGAGTTGAAACATAATGATTTATCAAAATCGAGAGAGGATCTGAAACGTGAATGTTCTATCCCGTCGACAAAAAAATAAAAATAAAAGTGGTGGATATTTTTCTTAAACTCTAGAAAAATGGTTCCTGGGGGTGGACTGACTGACTGACGAGGCAAACACATTATATACTCTCCACAACTTCGTAACATGGGGTATATAGTTACTGTAAATGTGAAGTTATTTATGCATCCAAAATGGGTTTGATAAAAAATTACTTATATACTGACAATAAATTAAATTAAGTAATTGATTAATACTGCATTTTGACTATTTTCAAATACATGTCTCATTTCCTACATAATATCACTTTTCAGGTCAGAAGTTTTGGTTTGTATAGGAAACATCATATTTCAGGCTGATATATTTATAAATAACAATGAATAAGAAGCAGATGTACATAGTTTCTTGTTACACTTTCAAAAATAATGCATTTAACAATACATACACATTAAATTTACTCAAACAAATGAAAATTAAAACATAAATCTTCACAGGGATATTTATTGGGGCAATCTTATTAAAATCCGATGTTGTGATACGCTACACTCCTTGGAGATTATCGTAGCGAAAAAACTAACAGCTGATTTTAATGAGATTGTTATTGGGGTTGCTGGCTTTTAAAGTAAAGCCATGGGATTTTATCATATAATTATTTAAATAAGGTAAATACAAAGGTACGGTGCCAATGTTCGTTTTATTTCTGTGAACCATATTTGAGAATCGTATTGGGAAACAAGATACACATTACAGTCAAACAATTGGTGATGCTGATGGTCAAATAACAGTATATGGACAGGATGGTCATCTCCCTTTAAGTATATGAACCGAGGCAGAGCTGAGGTGAATATAGGTTTTAGGAGATGAGTGTCACAGGGTGACTTTGTTTACTCACATATATGTTGTTATTTTGGTTGTTAATTCTATTTCGATTTGCAGAACGTCAGTATCTTATAAATGCTATATTCTGCAGACTTCGGTGTATAATACATGTCCACATTTTACATCTAATTAATTAAGTAGTGTCCACTATTTACTTGGGCATTTACCTGTAAACTTGTCGAACGGGTTGAGTAACAGTGATACCTGTATTTGATGAGCTGACTATTCACTCTCAGGTAACACCTTAACGAGTCAAGGTGTGGTCAGAAATGTTTGTATAAAGTTAGTTTACAATGTGGCGTGGACACACACACTGGATTTCTGAGGTAGGATTCAATTTATTCTTATTTATTTAATCATTATTCGTTCTAAAGTGTTCGGTTTTCTGCAACAACGCAAATATAGAATAATTATTTCAATTGTAATTGTAATTTTTGACATTGCTATTTTATAAATGTAATAAGTTAATTAATGTTCATTATAATGAAAGTTTAACACGGTTATATGTTTCCGGCTGTAGTAAATATTCGAGTATCGAAATTGTTTGGTATTTTAGGAACGTTTGCGTACGATAATGCAATGATGTATGTATCTCCATAAGTATGTAAAGTAATATGCAACGTATAAGCATAAATGTATATTCAGCGTTAAAAGCTGTATATTGTGTGTAGTAATTGTATAATGATAGTATACAATAAAGTCAATTATGTGACTTGTAAAGTAAGGCATTGTACGATATGCCGTAGTTTGTATTGTGTAAAGTAAGGCATTATACGATATGCCGTAATTATTTGTGTATAAGTAATGCATTATTCAATATGCTATAATTTTCTATAGATTGAACATAAGTAGTCGTACTAAGTATTTGTCATTATTTATGCGACATGTGTAATACATAAACATATGTATATTTCTTAAGTATAGTATTGTATCTTAACGTACAGTATGTATTTCAATAGGTCCCAGTTTGCGGGCTAGGTGTATGTAGTTTTGTATTGTAAAGTATGGAGATATAGTACAGATGGTGGTGAAACCTGTTGACAGTGCGGCGTTCCGTGTTTATCATCAATAGTTTGGCAACATAGAATATTTGGAGTCGAGTCTAGACAATAGGGCAGCCGTAATGTGTACACCGCTTATGTTGGGCCAGTTTTGTGTAGTTACCGAAAACCAAATACGTAAAATTCCGTAGTATCGTTTATCCAGATTTCATAGTTTAATATAAAGAAGAAGGAACAGTTCATTAAACATTTGACAGTATTATTTCATTTGATTTCATCTATTTATATTTGTAAATTTGTACCTAATTAAATTGTTATTTTGTTTAAAGTAGTAGTCATTTATTATCTGTAAGTACAAACTCCTAAGTCAGCTCTCGTCTATCCGTGACAATGAGCGAGCGGTCCATAAACTGGATGTTTGACCGTATTTTAATGCCGATTATCAAATAACAGTATATGGACAGGATGGTCATCTCCCTTTAAGTATATGAACCGTGGCGGAGCTGAGGTCAATATAGGTTTTAGGAGGTGAGCGAGCGGTCCATAAACTAACTGTTTGACCGTATTTTAATTACTTTAAAACAGTAAATGTACATAAGTTCAAACAAAACAGCAAAGCTGTAAATCACACTTGAAACAGAAATAAACGGATACACTTTTTTTTACTTTTGAATATTGATATTTGTTTTTTACATTATTATATTTCAAAGTTACAGTTAACAACAATGTTTCAGAAAACATAAGAGAGATTAAAAAAAATATCTCCAAAATATTGCGATATATAATATAATGTTAAGGCGCTTTTAATATTATCAAACTGTTATGTTTATATTTATTACGTCATAACATGATATAATCATCAGTCCGGAGTATCAGTACATCGACAGTTAATGAACCAACCGATGTTAAAAAATTTTTTTTAAAAAGGAGCAGTATTATTACAAAGTACAACATGTACAATATAATCATATTTTTAGTTGTCGATATCGATGTTTTGAATATCTAATATAGGTGCTACATTGAAATATATAGCATAATTATACTCTGCAACGCATATTCTGTAGCGCATTTGTTTTATATGAATTTAAAGTTATAATAATTTTGTTCGCTTTAGTGTTAACCGTTTTAAATATCCAGAAACAGCAAAACTTTCCGCCAATTATGTTTCTTGGCCTTTTCCATTACAATGTTTCTATCAAATTCAGAACTGTCCAGTGTTTTCAGGATGGAAAGTACTAATCGTTCACGCGCTGAGTGCTTGCATATTTCTATTAAAACCGCATTTAAATCTATGAGTTTATGGTCCACTTGTCGAATAATTAAAACAACAGAATCACTATCTTCACAGCGACAAGCCTCAATAACAGCATTTCTCACATTTAGCTTTTGATGGTCAACATTTTGTAATAGTAATGCAACAATGTCACCCCAACCTTTAATACATGCAGAACTCATTGCAGATTTCAAATCCAGTTTTTGATTGGGAATATTTTGGAGCAGATATTTCACAATTTCAGCCTCTCCGTTTTCGCAAGCATTGTTCAAAGGTTTTGCTAGATCACCGTTATATTTGAATTCTTCAACTATCCATTTAACTACCTTAGTCCAACCTAACGAAAACGCTCTTGTCACAATGGTCGGAATATGAACAGAATCAATATTAAAATGTCGAATCAAAAACATTGTAACACCTTCGTTTTCTGACGCTTTAGATGTGCATTCAAAAATGTTCTTAAGATCAAAATGATTTGTCCCATATATCTTGTACATGTACTCAATAACTTCTAAATGACTATTAGTGCATGCTTGAGTTATACATGACATTATATTGTAAAACGTTGAATCACCATTTTGTGTAACTGTCTTTATAATATTTATCCACCCGTTTCTACAGGACTCAATCAGAACGTTACTCATATCAAACGTTAGACCATCAGTATTTTGGAGTAGCCACGTGACTATTTCAAGTCTATTGTAAGCACACGCATCATTCATTGCTGTTTTCATATCTAATTTGTCATGAATTATCTCCTCATGATTCCATACATGTTCAACAATGTTTATCCAACCATATCCACATGATTCAATCATTAACGAATTTATATCAATGCACTCTAACGAAATAGCACATAAAGACCACTGTATAATATTCACACTGCCATATTCACATGCTATTCTTATCCTTGTTGCATTCGTTTCGAAATACCTATGACTAATATTAAGCCAAATATGTTCCATAATATCTACCCAGTCGTGCTTACAAGCTTCAATGATGGCACCTTCGATGTTTATATTCGACGAATCGGCTTTTTGAAGTATCAATAGTACCAAATCCTGTTTTCCTTGATGGACAGGCTTTTCGTTTTGACCTTGATTTATGTCAATAGAAAGCACCGAATTCAACGCCTTTTTAAAATCAATCGTGTTTATCTCCGTACAGCTAATCAAGTATCGAACTATATCGGTTTTACAACATTTACAAGCTGTCCCTATCAATGAGTCTATTTTTAATTTTGATTTATCAGCATGCTTTGCAAGTACTTCGACAATATTTGCATTGTTGCATTTAGAACTCGAACATGCAGTTTGTAAGGCATGTGGTAAGTCAAGAAACTGCCCTGGAATATTCATTGTCAACCATGTAACTGTAGACACATGACCACTTTCACAGGCCTTCAGTAATGCATTTTGTATTTGGTATGTTTTAGTATTAGTATCGGTGTTCATCCAAAGCCATTCAACCGTTTCCGTTCTTCCATACGCACAAGCATTATTCAAAGATACCTCCATATCAAATATATCTCTATCAATATTTTCCCACAGCCAATCTAATACTGAAATAGCGTCGTCTCCTCTAGATCTGCAAACTTTAAGCATCGCTGTCTTCATATCAAACAGGCTGTTATCCGCAGATTTCCATAACCACTTTACTAAATTCAAATCCCCATGCAGACATGCTTCATTCATTATTGTTTTTAGGTCAAATGTAGGAAGTTTCTGATCTTTTAAAGCTTCCATTGCGATTTCTGTGAAGCCATGATGGCAAATTGCATTTATAACAGTTTTCATATCAATCAAATTGTGATCACAATTAAGAAGAATTAAGGAAACGATTTCACGAGCAAAACAATGTTCAAAATGCAATGCTCTCATAACGGCGGTATCTAAATCAAAAATAGCATGGGATATATTATTTAGAAGCCATCTAACAACTTTATTAAACCCCACACCACACGCCCGACTTAGTACATCTGACCATTCAATGTGTTCATTTTTTGTTTCACAAAATAACATTATAACATCCTCAAAATCTTCATTTTCATTGTCATCAATACTATTGAAAGTTGTGTTAAGTAATTCCTGTATCTCTTCTGTTACACAATGTCTATATTCATTAAAGTATCGTAATATATTAAAGTTTGATTCTTCACAATTAATATTATCAACAGTATTGATATAAACAAATGCATGATTAAACATCTCCATCAGATATTTCACTATACTTAGCGATCCATACTGACAAGCAGCATTCATTGCTGTCTTAATATCAAACAATGTATGATCAACGTTCTCTATCAGACATTTCACTATATCCAGCCTTCTATTCTGACAAGCTGCATTCATTGCTGTCTTCATATCAAACAATGTATGATCAACGTTCACCATCAGATATTTCACTATATCCAGCGATCCATAGTGACAAGCTGCATTCACTGCTGTCTTCATATCAAACAATGTATGATCAACGTTCTCCATCAGATATTTCACTATATCCATGTCTCCCCCTTCACAAGCAGCATTCATTGCTGTTTTCATATTAAACAATGTATGATCAACGTTCTCTATCATATATTTCACTATAGCTATATGTTCTTCTTCACAAGCAGCATTCATTGCTGTCTTCATATCAAACAATGTATGATCAACGTTCTCTATCATATATTTCACTATAGCTATATGTTCTTCTTCACAAGCAGCATTCATTGCTGTCTTCATATCAAACAATGTATGATCAACGTTCTCCATCAGATATTTCACTATATCCAGCGATCCATAGTGACAAGCTGCATTCATTGCTGTCTTCATATCAAACAATGTATGATCAACGTTCTCCATCAGATATTTCACTATATCCATGTCTTCCCCTTCACAAGCAGCATTCATTGCTGTCTTCATATCAAACAATGTATGATCAACGTTCTCCATCAGATATTTCACTATATCCATGTCTCCCCCTTCACAAGCAGCATTCATTGCTGTTTTCATATCAAACAATGTATGATCAACGTTCTCTATCATATATTTCACTATAGCTATATGTTCTTCTTCATAAGCTTCATCCATTGCTGTCTTCATATCGAACAATGTATGATCAACATTCTCTATCAGATATTTCACTTTATCCAGCGATCCATAGTGACAAGCTGCATTCATTACTGTCTTCATGTCAAACAATTTATGATCAACGTTCTCCATCAGATATTTCATTATATCCAGCGATCTATAGTGACAAGCTGCATTCATTGCTGTCTTCATATCAAACAATGTATGATCAATGTTCTCCATCAGATATTTCACTATATCCAGCGATCCATACTGACAAGCAGCATTCATTGCTGTCTTAATATCAAACAATGTATGATCAACGTTCTCTATCAGACATTTCACTATATCCAGCCTTCTATTCTGACAAGCTGCATTCATTGCTGTCTTCATATCAAACAATGTATGATCAACGTTCTCCATCAGATATTTCACTATATCCAGCGATCCATAGTGACAAGCTGCATTCATTGCTGTCTTCATATCAAACAATGTATGATCAACGTTCTCCATCAGATATTTCACTATATCCATGTCTTCCCCTTCACAAGCAGCATTCATTGCTGTCTTCATATCAAACAATGTATGATCAACGTTCTCCATCAGATATTTCACTATATCCATGTCTTCCCCTTCACAAGCAGCATTCATTGCTGTCTTCATATCAAACAATGTATGATCAACGTTCTCCATCAGATATTTCACTATATCCAGCGATCCATAGTGACAAGCTGCTTTCATTGCTGTCTTCATATCAAACAATGTTTGATCAACGTTCTCCATCAGATATTTCACTATATCCATGTCTCCCCCTTCACAAGCAGCATTCATTGCTGTTTTCATATTAAACAATGTATGATCAACGTTCTCTATCATATATTTCACTATAGCTATATGTTCTTCTTCATAAGCTTCATCCATTGCTGTCTCCATATCAAACAATGTATGAGCAACGTTCTCAATCAGGTATTTCACTATATCCATCCTTCCATACTGACAAGCTCTATTCATTACTGTCTCCATATGAAAAAATGTATGATCAAAATTCTCTATCAGATACTTCACTATATCCAGCGATCCATTACAACAAGCTGTATTCAATACTGCCTTCATATCAAACAGTTTATGATCAACATTCTCTATGAGATATTTCACTATATCCAGCGATCCACACTGACAAGCTACATTCATTGCTGTCTTCATATCAAACAATGTATGATCAACGTTCTCCATCAGATATTTCACTATATCCATTTGCTCGTGTTTGCAAGCTGTGTTCATTAACGTTTTCATATCAAATAGTGTATGGTCAACATTTTGTAAAAACCATAAGATCTGATCATTACATTGGCTGTTCCGATTTGTTGCTATCACTGTTTGCATGACAACAGCTAAATTTATATGACGATGGTCTACATTTGAGAAGAATATCTCTATTAAGTTTCGATCTTTTGATTTACATACTTCAGTGGCTTGATCGAGATGGTTACACAGTTCATGATGATAGTTCTTTAAAATCCATATTAGAACTTTTGTAAATCTCATCTGTACCGCCATGTCCATTACATTTTTGATTGGTAGAACTGATGGTTCCATATTTACCCCAAACCACTGTAATATGTCTACATAATTAGTAATTTGAGTGTTAAGTGTCCCATATATTCTTTCAACTAAGGTTTTGCGATGTGACGCAAAATTGGTAAGACTCCACTTTAAAATATGTAAATTTTCATTATTAAGTACTGATTTCTTAATATGTTTATCTGCTTCCTGCAACAACCAATCATAAAAGGGATAAATTTGACATGATTCCAACTGAAAAAAAATACTATTCATAACCATTCTCATATGGAAAGGGTTTATGACATTCAAGATTAAGCATTTCATGGTTATAAAATTGTTGTCTTCTAATGCACTAGTGAATGCTGCTTGAACGTCGCAAAACGATGAATATCGCCTTAGCATCAGTATCATCAAATGCTCCATACTTTTTGTACTTGCTGTATTGAATATGTTAACTACTTGATTTGGGTTAAGTGTGTTTTTATCCATAAGAATTATTAACACCTCTTCCCATCCGTTTTCACAAGCATAGTAAATAACACCATTTACGTCTACTGTAGAATGGTTGGTTTCCTGCAGACACCAAGTTAAAAGACTTACAAGATTTTCAGAGGCTGATGTAATTATTATATTATTTATGTTGAACGTGTTATAAGGTGTTTTATTTATAAGCCATTTGATAAGTTCAATTTTGTCAGAACCTCTGTATAAACACGATGAAGGAATTTTGAAGGTTTCAATTGCTATATTAATTAGTCTTGGCATCTCTACTGCTTCCATATTCATAATAAGTTCAACTAGATTAATTTCCTGTGATGAATATTCCAAAAGAAAAATTGCTGTAGAATCCTTTTCATTATCCATTGCTCTGTATATAAATTCATTGAAGTCGCAATCAATTTCACATTCAGTAATTGTTCGTACAATAAATGCTGATTTGGCATCCACTTCCTCACTTTCACACAAATAGTCAAATGTTGAACGTATCGTTTTGGTACAGGCAAAGACCAAGTTCTGATCTCTTTTGTCTTTGATAGTCCGCTCCATGAACGATAGTACCACTGTAATAGAGTTGTCCACATTTTGCTTCCTTGTCAGATACAATAATAAGGCAGAAGAAAGGTAAAACATAACCTTTTCCCGTTTTCCGAGGTAAGTTAGATCTTTTTCATCACTAATTATACATGTTTCGGATTCTTTCAATAAAATATTTACGAAATATGCATTGTCTTCCAACATTAATCTTGTTTCGCATAACATTTCAACGAATTTAAAAGACTTGGTCTGGTAATCTTTCTGTAAAATTCGTATAAGTTGCTTTGCTAAATTAATGTACTGGTCTTCAGGTATTATCAAAACAAATTCTTCGTTTTTTTTTAAGTTATCAGTTTGGAGCCTCACCATTGCACTAATGAACTCAAAAGTGAGTACATATATAACAGAGTCTGGATCCACATCAAAGTATGATAAAGCAACAGCTTCATACACCATTTGATGTTTGAACTGATAGGATTGGTCAGATGCATCATACATGAGATATTTACCGTCCATTTTCTCAAGACTATGAATAATGTTACATTTAGGGATAAACCGTTGCCTACTTCCACATAACTGCATTATATCTGCTACCTTTTGCACTTGTATGCTATCAACTGTTATATAGCTGTCACACAGAAGAATGTAAACTAGAGTTGCATATAAGACAAGGTCATCTGTCTTATAACACAGTGCATTTACTTTATTTATCAACGATTTACTTGTGTGTTTGAAAAAGCGTGCTCCCTGTAGAAAGTTTTGTATATCTGAAGTAAATAAGAAACATGCTTTTGGGTATCCTATGTAAGGATCCGTCACTGTAATCTCATAAAATGTTTTCCTGTCTAACATCCTGTCTTTGCATCCCTCAGGTTTATTCAACTTTATTTGAATTTTTTTGTATTCACAAAACTTGGTCAAAACTTCTTCCTTTTCAGGATCTGTCATACAGAATTGCAACAGAGTAAGGTCCATTTGATAGCGACCCTGAAATAGCCTGTGGGAATTAAATAACTCTTTTACTGATCTTCTGATTGCTGAATCGATAGTAAATATTAGTTTTAAATTTCCAGCGGATCTTCTTGAATGCAATAAATCTAAAATGTTATTACTTTTAACACTTTCACAAGAGCAATAATTAGTACGGAAAACATCGTCCAATAGTATTACAATTTTCCCTTTATCTGTAATGACTTGCTTAACCTCTTCAAGAATAGAAATCTTAATTAGGTCATAGCTCTGGTCTTTAGAACCAAATTGTCTCAAGATCTCTAATCCTGTTCTTGTTTTCCCTGTACCTTCTGAACCGTAAATAACAAAAACATCGTACTTTTCTGCATTTTTTATGCATTTTCTGACGGCATTAGTTTCTACATACGTTCTTTCCTTTACATGGGACTGTATTTCAAAATCTGTCTGACCTATTGAAATAATGAGAAACATTCCAAAGCTTCAAAGTTATAATGATATTCAATTTAAATATATATAAAAATAAAATGGTCCGCAGGGCGCAGCTTGATACGACCGCAGAAGTCGAACCTTGAATAGTTTGTGCAAGAAATAAAATAATAAAATTTTACATTCACCTACATGTTCAAGTATTATGGTCCAATATCCAAAATCGAAATATATGGTCAGATTCAGCATATCAAATAACCCCAAGAATTCATGTTTGATGAAATCAAACAAAGTTTAATGTTAGAAATCTTGGATCTGAATGTGGACCAAATTAATAGCGTGGCCAAGAATCCAAAATATAAGTAAATAAAATTGAGATTAGAAATGAGGAATGTGTCAAGAGACAAGAACACGGTAAGATCTGGCATATCAAAGAACCCCAACAATTCAATTTTTGATGAAATCAAACAACAACAAAAAACAGTTTAATTTTGGACTTTTGACCTCAATGTGGAATAATTTAAAAACGGGACCCAAAATCCAAATACATGTTAAGATTCGGCATATTAAAGATTCCGAAGAATTCAAGACTTTGTATTGAACTCCATTGAAATTGGTCATGAAATAAGCAAATAATACAAAGTATTGTTCTGGCCCCTATAACCCCTAAAATCAATCCCAACCTTCCTTGTTAGGTATGGAACCTTGTGGAACAATCTCGTAGAGGTCTATATATTTGTACTCTGGTTATTATCATATACCAGAATCTGGCCCCTTTTTGGCTCCTTATACCTATACATTTTAGGCCATAACCCCCAAAATTGATTCCAACCTTCAATTTGAAGTATGGAATCTTGTGGTACAATTTCATAGAGATCCATACACTGACACACAAGTTACTGACTATAAACAAGAAAGATGTTTGTTTTTTGTCACTTTCTCATAAACAGTTAGAACAATAACACCCAAAATCAATCCCAACCTTCCTTTTGTGGTATGGAACCTTGTGGTACAATTTCATAGAGATCCATACACTTATAATCAAGTTATGGTCTGGAAACCAAATGTCTTCAGACAACGACAACGACGCGGACATCGACAACGTCATACCATAATACGGTTGTATAAAAATCATAAAGTCACCATCGTCAAATCTTTATCTTCAAAACGGCTTCTTGTTGTAACAGATAACAATGATTGTGTCACTTTTGTATTACTAAAAAGGTTGTGCATCGTTACTTGGCCGATTCGATTTAGTTCCAGGGGAGATAACTATTAACATGAAACATAAATCTAACAGAATTCTTAAGTATTACTTGTTTTAATGACGTCGCAATAACGGACTTTCATCACAGAATTAAAATCTGAAAAAGTCTACTTGAGCAGAATTATCAATCTTATCAAATCCAAAGGACATTTTTTTACTCTCTTTTTTTTTTAAAGAAACAGAAGACAACATATACTAAGATTGATCGTAAGTATACTGAATTATTAATGATTAACAATCAATTTTTGGTGAAACCGACTATGCGGAACCCTTTGAAAAAGGGGGGCCGCGAAATAGACAAAATGTTTGGAGTGGAACAGCTAAAAGTCTGAATTATCAATTATAAATGCTTGATTAGGGAGCCTGGACACCCAGCCCCCACCTAAATCCGCCTCTGAACATTGTAACAGACACTGGTATCAATGGACCAAAGGTAGCCTTGGGCAGTTTTATGACCTCTAATGATACTTTGCTTCTTCTAATTAAGTGATTACAAATAACTGGACATGTGCTTGTAATATAAATTTATCACTAAAGGCTATATCCACATGTGTTCCATTTCAAAATATTTATGTACAACAAAGTTGGCATTAAACCAATTATATCTCATTTTAGAGAAACGTAAAGGAAAACACAGTTTTGAAAGAATCAGGAAAGATAGGTAAATAAATGTTCAGTTTAAAGGTTATTCTTCGGAATTTTAAAGGAAATCGTTTCATGATTTCGGCATTTTGCTTCACACTTGTTTCCTCTCTAATATTCATAAAACTCCTCACATAAGAACATTTTGGTGTGCATTTTACAAATATTTTATTTGCAATATTCCTGGAATAGAAAGTAACAATGTATGCATAAGTACTATTATATTATCATTTGTAAAATAATTAAGTTGTGCATACATACATCAACGTAAACATTGAAGTGTACATCTTCATTGTAGACTGATAGTTATCTAAAACTGTTAACAAATGGATTAATGTTTCTTAAATTGTATTGTTATATATTAGGCCGTTAGTTTTTCATTTGATTACTTCACATTATCTAATGTCAGGGCATATTATAGCTGACTATACAGTATGGGTTTTGCTCATTGTTGTTGTCCGTTCGATAACCTATAATTGCTTACATCCAGGTCGCTTGAACTCTGATGGATATAGTTGTCTCATTGCAAATCATACCAGATTTCCTTATTTTTATATAAACCTATTGCTAATTGTATATGAGAAGCAGATCTAACCACAAAATCAAATCTTTGACCAAAGAAAAAGGCAAAGCAAGTCAAGGTTAGATGAACCCTGTCAGAACAGTTTCAAGAAAACCTTGGACAGAAACCAACCAACCAAGTATTATAAATGTTTTCTCCCTTCTTTCTTTGTTAAGTAATTACTTATTTATTCTTGTTCCATATCATTGTAACATTGCATGCTATGTGTATGAAATTGTTAATTGGAGTTGGTATTTCACGGAAACGGATTAATATAAGCCATGAACAGCTAGTTTCCGATTCCTGTTTTTATAATGAATTTTTGTATGATGATATATTTGTAATGATGACGAATAAATATGTTTAAACTAAATATATTTGACATATTGCTTAAAGAATCTGAGAAACGAACTAAAACAACAAAAACAATTGACCAATGAACCATGAAAATGAGGTCAAAGTCTTATGACACCTGCCAGGCAGGCATGTAGACATTACACTCATTATATACATACATCATAAGATACAGACCACGAAAACCTGAGAGATAAAGTTGTCTGGTTGATTCTTTAAATCGTATTGTTCTGTTTCAGTATCGAGATACACTGAGGTTCACATATTACATTGAAGGAATATAAAATATATTCTGTTATAACACAGTGATTGAGTACTTACATATGAATACTTGGTTGGTTGGTTTCTGTCCAAGGTTTTCTTGAAACTGTTCTACCGATTCACCAATGATTTTGGGGATTTTTTCAGCAATAACAGTTGGTATCTTTTTAGCTTTAAATGCAATTTTTCCTTCAATCCTGTCTAGTCTTGGAACCACCATTTCCGTAACATTCTAAATGAATGAAAAGTTGTATGAAAATAATAGAAAACACTTAATCATGTGATTTCAACAATTTTAAATGTGAAGAATCATTCATTTGACAGCAACCAAGTACAATATGAGGTAAATAAAACAAAAACACATTTGGTCCGTTCCAATAGACTTTCTTGGTTTACCTTCATCAGGTACCTTAAGCCCGAACATTTGAAAACTAAGGATGTTTAGGTACTTCAAAACTTGAGGAGCTATATGATCCTTACCAAAAATAACATAGCAGAATGCTAAATCAATAGAAGGTCAACTGGTATGTTATAAATCATTTCAGTATCAAAACACTGGCTACCGAACTAATGTCCATCCGGAACAAACAATTGTAAAAAGTAAAATAACAAAAAAATTCCAAAGAAAATTAATAAACAGCTGCGCCATGAGCTCATGATACGCCCGTCGCTTTTTCAAAGAATAAAGTTCAATAACTTCTCAAGTCATATCAGAAATTCATGAAAAACTAAAGGGAGGTTATCTTCATAGATATAAACCAGTCACCAAAGTTTCATGATAACTGCTCAAAGCATTGTCTGAAAACTGGAAAATCCCCCCTTTTTTATGCATAAAATCTAAAATTTATAAAAATCGAAAGGTAGCTTACGTCAATAGATATAAACAATTCACCAAAGTTTCATGAAACTGCTGAAAGCATTTTTGAGTTATTGTCTAAAAAACTGGGAAATCCCCCTTTTTTAATAAAAAAACGCTTTGACTCGGAAACGTAAAATCTAAAATTTATAAAATCGAAAGGGAGCTCATGTCAATAGATATAAACAATTCACCAAAATTTCTTGCAAATTAGTGAAAGTGTTTTCGAGTTATTGTCCGAAAACTGGAAAATTCCCCTTTTGAATAAAAAAATAAATGTGGATTGTGTCCACATGTGGACACAGATGATGCCCCGGCTTGCATATCATATAGTTATAAAGGGACATAACTGAAGAACGGTAAAAGTGACGCTATCCAAATTTGAACTTGATCTGAGTTTTGTGGTAATAAGCATTGTGTGTAAGTCTCATAACATTTGGTTGAGGCTAACTTAAGTAGAGAACAGAAACGAAAAATTCAGCAATTATTCTATTTGTAAACACGCATAACTCTAGAACGGTTGTGTATAAGTTTTATAACATTTGGTTGAGACAAACTAAAGTAAGAGAACGGAAACGAAAAATTTTGTAATTTTTCCATTTATAAAGGAGCATTACTCTAGAACGGTTAAAGTGACGCCACCAAAATTCAAACTTGATCTGTGTTTTGTGGTAATAAACATTGTGTATAAGTTTAATAACATTTGGTTGAGGCAAACTTAAGTTAGAGAACGGAAACCAATTTTGGGACGTACGGACGGACGGACGTACATACGTACAGACGGACAAGGGTAAAACTTAATGTCCCCTCCGCTTCGGCGGGGGCATAAAAACCAAAACTCACCAAAGGTCATGCGAATTGGTTCAAGCGTTTTTGAGTTATTGTCCGACATGTTGACGACGGACAGACGGACGGACAACGGTATACCATAATACGTCCCGTAAACGGGCGTATAAAAATGGAAAGTCCCTTATCAAATGGCAAATTCATTGGTCAATCACATCAAACGAAGGGAAAACAACTGTCATATTACTGACTTGGTACAGGCATTTCCTGTAGAAATTGGTGTATTAAACCTGGTTTTAAAGCTAGCTAAACCTTTTACTTGCCTGGCAGTCGCATAGAATTCTATTAAAGTGTCAAGAATTTGTGATAAAGAAGGCTAACATACGTTTTACAACTAATTGATTATTTTAATAATTATCATGGTTAAATATGTACAAATATGCGATTTTGATTTTTATCAGTCCTTTTTGGATGAAAAATAAGATTTTGGAGAAAGAAACCATTTGAAACAAATTTCTGTTTATAAAATTTGTACGTGCATGCTTTACATTCCACAGCTACTAAAGCGTTTATATATGTTATTATTTTTACCGCAAAAGTAAAATTATTAGTTATATGAACTTTGTGGTTACCTTGCTAAGTTCATCTTGTCGAGCGAGTGTTTCTATCAGACTATCTTTATATTTCTCGAACAGAGTATATTGAAGTGTACCATGTTTGGCATCATGAATAACTCCTTTAAAGTGGGTTTCCTTATTACAAACCCTTCCGATTTCCATAATACTAAGCTCGATTGTGGTGACTGATTTGTTATATTCTTCATCTGTCATTTCACCTACTGTAGCATGGCCATAGTCTACATTTCTTATCTGAACCAATGTTTCAACGGTCTGTCTTAGTGAACAGAAGTGCTGAAGAACCACTTTGGATAGATATGGATCAAGATGTGTAACTGTTATCCCTGGCATTGCTACAACAGAACAAATACTATGCATACCTCCAGGACTCGGTCTTTTTTTGTGATTTAAACATGGTAATTTAAGGGCATTAAACATCTGAATCCAATTGGTCTGATCCAAAATTGGTCGACTGTTTGGAAAACTGTACCCTGATGCCGGACATTCACAACATGGTGTATTATACTGCCAGAGATGGTAAATATCATGTTTATGATTGTTCAAAAAATCTTCTAACGTCTTCCCCTGCTGATTTAAGCAGCTGTACCAGAACACATCTAGACAAAAGTTAACTAGCAGACATCTTGCCAATGTAAGGTCTAGGATGTCTGTGCGCAGTCCAGGCTTAGCAGTACTACAGCAATAATCAGCCGATCTTCCTGCTTTATGACAAGGTTGCTTCGATGTTATGTCAAATAACAGGTCCATCTGTTGAACATGTAAGATCCGAGATATTCTTGGTGGATTGTAGCCATTTGGACATTGGCAACACCTTGAACTATTATGTAAATGATAGATTTCGTGTTGATTCTTGTTTATAAACTGTTCAAAATTGAACCCATTATTTGACAGATCCAAATCTACTAATGAGATCAAGGCATCTTTAGAATGATCAACAACAAGAATTGCATGTCTTAAAAAGTTTTCCTTTAGTCTTGATGACATCTTTCCCGTTTCTTTTCTGAAAAAAATATTAAGCAATTATCAGTTAAGTACTTAGACTATTCTAAGCACGAGTCGACTTTAACATGTCAACAAGGTAAAGCAGTAATTAGATATAGTCTTCTCACATAATCTGAGTGGCGTTAGTCAAAGATATTAAACGACTGTATATAATTAACATAGAAATGATAAGTAGTTATTTCCTTTTTTTTCCTTTTATTCTAAAAAATCAATTTGTTTTGATCAAACAGGAATATTTACACTTTCGGAAGATGTTATACTTATGGATTTGGAATGAAATTTAAATTACTTCTATGCCTATTTCATTAAAGTTATATCTTATCACTGCTTTTGTATGGCATCATAGTTTACTCTGGTCTTTTTCTTGTTTATTGCCAAAACACTTGCATGATAGTCAAACGATCTTTCTTTAATGAACCATAAAAATAAGATTAAGGCCAAACAGACATGTACAATCATTCCATTACCGTATGTAGTAACCTATTGCTTAATGGTATCTAAGAAACGGACTAACCTTGATTTGTACGACTTTGCCCCCAGCAGAGCTATAGAAAAACAGTACATTAATGGGTGTTACACGGACACTTTTTAGATGTTACACGGACACTTTTTAGATGTTACACGGATACTTTTTAGTTGTTACACGGACACTTTTTATGAATAGAATCACTCGTGCATGATCAGTGAGTTCATGGGCACTTTAAATTTCAATTAGATTTGAACTTTTTGTCTCATCGATACGGAAGCCGATAAGGGCCATTCAAAAAAAAAAATTGTATGTCGTAATTACGACATAACATGTCGTAATAACGACATCAGTATGTCGTAATTACGACATAACATGTCGTAATAACGACATCACTATGTCGTAATTACGACATAACATGTCGTTATAACGACATCGCTATGTCGTAATTTCGACATAACAAGTCGTAATTACGACATCACTATGTCGTATTTACGACATAGCTATGTCGTAATAACGACATCGCTATATATATATAAAAGAATATGTATTATGATTGCCAAGACACTAAATGACACAGAAATTAACAACTATAGGTCATCATTATGCATTATGCCCTCAATAATGAGAAAATTTACTGTATGTTTTGCTCATAATAAAATTTTATTACAAAGATGTTTACTGTCCTGCTCATAATAGAACTTGATTATAAAGTTATTTACTGTCTTGCTCATAATAGAACTTTATTTTATAGTCAATTCTAATGAGACCGAGTCAGTGAACAGGTGAGCGATGCATGCTCCTTGGAACATCTAGTTATATTTGGCATGCATGAAAATATTGAGAAGATGTGTCTTGTATTCAAAGGATTATGTGAACTATTGGTATCGCTTGGCGTCCGTCGTCGTTTGTCGGAAGCTTTCTTAAAATTTCTACTCGGAAATTACTTTGCAAAACTCCTTGAAGGTTTGTTTATTCCTAAATAAATATTTCCTCCACAAATGGCGTGTTTCGAATTTTGACTCCTAAAATAAAACAGCCGCTGTTACATAAAATAGGGCATTATGATCACACAGCATTTTTGGCAAATATCCCGAAAACTGTTACATCTATCACAATTCCGTCGAGGGTTCATCATGACAATATGACAAAATTCCAGAAAGATCAGTTTGGTCAGTAACATATATATATATATATATACAACTCGTCTAAACATCAACCCAACAATGTTAGATCTGTAAATTTGCTTTCGCAATTTTTTTGTTCTTCCCTCGCCGGGATTCGAACCCATGCTACTGAGATATCGTGACACCAAATCGCCTGCACTGTAACCGGCGCGCTAGACCACACGACCACCTGGGCTTCAAAAATGAAGTTTTCGGTGGCCGGGTGTTACATTTCCACGTCAGTTTTAATCTAGCGTCGTAATACAGTACATGATATATAAGGCATGCAGATGTTATTTTTACAGATCAGCTAAATTATCTATAGTAAAGGATCCTACAAATTAATGTAAGATACAGTCACAGAAATAATTATATTTATAAGTACGTCTGAACCAGTGACAACTCTACAACAGATTTATCCATCAGATCACAAGCAGTGATGGTGATACATGGCTGTGTACATTTTGTATATACAATTCGTCTAAACATCAACCCAACAATGTTAGATCTGTAAATTTGCTTTCGCAAATTTTTTGTTCTTCCCTCGCCTCGTGATAATGGACGTCTTACTAGTAAACTCCGAAATAAACACAAGAAATATATATTTCTCTAATTCTTCGTCAATTTATCCCTTTCTGCACCCATTGTATAAAAAAAAATTAATCAACGTGTGGTTCGTTTGATCTCAGTTCTTCATTGGTTAAAGTCCGATTTTGACGTCGAATTTTCTTGCTTTCCTCTGAATTTCCTATTGTGACGGCATGAAATAAAATCGACCATGCCGGATGACGTCACATAGAAAGAGCACATCTTTTTGCAGATCATTCGAAAAGAATGAATAAATTTGCCTGCGTATTGTTTGAAAATCATTAGAGAAACAGATTCCACCACCAAATCTCGTGTAATACGATATTTATCCACTCTCGACAGTTAAATTTTAAATATTTAAAACGCTCGGCGAGCCTCGCGTTTTAAATTTGAAAATTTAACTGTCTCGAGTGGATAAATATCGTATCACACTCGATGCAGTGGTAGAATCTATATATATACTATTCCCAGGTTTGACCCATCATCTGAGTTGAAATATATTTTGGGAAGCTATTGTCATCACTTGGCGTCCGTCGATTATGACCGACAACCAACAACATGGACACCGTTACTTAAAATAAACCGCATGGGTGAAATAACAATTTTTTGTCTCGCCTTCTATGAAAGTCGTAGAAAGCCAGACATATGGATTGCGTTTCCTGCGACGGCGGCGTAAAACTTTATAATTTTTTTGTGATTCGGTCTGTTTCTCGGTAACTGCACATGATAGGCCAATGATATTTGGTCTATGGAATAATCCGCAGGTTTGTTCAGGTCAGTCTGACACCTGTCAACCGACCTTGGCCTCATTCATTTTCATGGCCCATTGACCAGGTTGAAAATTCTAATTGTTTTTTCAGTGTAACTATAAGTGGTAAATCAATGATATTGGTCTATCGAATCGGCTGAAGATGCACATATCAGTCTGACACCAGTCACCTGACCGTAACCTTATTTTCATGGTCCACTAGCTATGTTAAAACCTGTGAGAGTCTGCTTTTTCAGTAACTAAATGGTAGGTCAATGATATTTGGTCAATGGATTCATCCAGAGGTGTACCGGTACTTGCCGTCTGAAACCTGTCATCTGACACTGGTCTTCACTTTCACAGCCCATTGGTTATGGTAAACTTTTATGATTTGTATGCCCCAATCACGTAGGTCAAAGAGGCAAACAGTATCACCCTTGTCTGGACGTCCATACATCCGACCCGATCTTAGTAAAGTTATGCCTTTCAGGTCGTTTCACATACTAGTATACTATATATGGTATAGCAATGATATTTGGTCAGTAGATAGACCTCGGGTAGTTCACCAAACAAAAAGATCACTTTAACCTACATTTTACACATGAGCGACTCGGTTAAATTTTTGCGTTTTTGTCCATTTCTCAGATACTAGAATTTATATTACCTGTCCCAAGTCAGGAGCCTGTTGTTCAGGGGTCAGACCACAATTCATATCCCTATCTATTCTACCGAATTTTGAAATTTTCACAGATTTCTTAATATTTTTTCTCAACTTTAACTTCATAGAAACCGGGTATATCTTGAATTGTACATGTATCACCTTTCTACATGCAAATTTTCAACCCATATTTTAAGTCTTCTAAGAAAGAATTGCTTTCTGGAAGACAATAACTACTGAAATAACCCCTTGTTTTCTGGAAATCTTAAATAAGTTTACTATGTAGCGCATCAATTCGCAATTTTTAATACAAATTAATAGGGCTAATGTTCTTCTCATATATTTTATAATGGTATAATACTAAATCCAAACGGGAGGGATTGTACTTGATATTCATATGATGAAGACATAATCTTTCAATCAGTTTATTTGAGGTCTGGAGCTGGCAGATATATAAAAATTGTTGAGTTAGATTGCTGACAAATAAAAAATACATCGTGTATAAAATAATAATATTACATCTACACACGCCTAAAAAACACGTGTCTTATGTTTATCTCTAGATTCGCCTTCCGTGACAAGGTAACACTACGACTATTGAAGTTATATTTTTATATAGCGGATGTGGTCGAGTGGTCTAGAGCGCTGGACATGAGGCTAAGCGATTGGTGCTGTAGTGTATCAAAGGTGCGAGTTCGAATCCCGTTGAGGGACGGACAAAAATTTGTCAGCAGAAAATCTAACTCTAACACTGTTTGGTGTAATTTTCAGACTTATATATATATATATATATATATATATATATATATATATATATTGACACTTTATATATTGATATAATATATATATATATATCAGTAACTGCTAGTAGTCCTTTATGTATCATTGCCATTTTTTTAATTTTCATTTGTTACCTATTCTGACATCGGACTCTGACTTGTTTTGAACTGAGTTTTACTATGCGTGTTGTTGTGTGTTTTTTCTCCATTGGCTAGTGGTATTAGGGGGTGGGGGTTGAGATCTCAAAATACATGTTAAACCCCTGCCGCATGTTTGCGCCTGTCCCAAGTCGAGAGCCTCTGGCCTTTGTTAGTCTTGCATGATTTTTAATGTTAGTTTCTTGCGTATATTTCGGAGTTTACTAGTATGACGTCCATTATCACTGAACTGGTATACATTTTTGTTAAGGGGACAGCTAAAGCACGCCTCTGGGTGCGTGAGTTTCTCGCTGCATTTAAGACCCATTGGTAGCCTTATAAATACATATCAAAGGTACCAGGCTTATAATTAAAATTACGCCAGACGCGCGTTTCGTCTGTAAAAGACTCATTAGTGGCGATCGAATCGAAATAACAGAAAGGCAAAATATAGTAAAAGTATAACTTGCTGTTCGTCGTGAGTCAAAGCTGAGCGTTGAAGCTCGTACTGTGACCTTTAATTGCTTACTTAAACTACATTGTGACGTAGGTGGAGAGTTGTCTCATTGGCACTCATACCAAATCTTCTTACTAGTATCTATTTCAAAGATATTATACTTTCTTGTTTTTCGCGAAATGTGGAACACTTTGAAGTTAATAGTTATACACATGTAGTACTTTCTTCTTATTTTGTTAATTAGACATATGGTGAATGTGTATTTTAGCAGACTTTGGATGGAATGAGTTCTTCACCGGGTCATCCGGAACTTAATATTTATATATATCAATGGTCAAACTGTTGTTATGATATCTTCAAGAGATCCGAGGGGATGTACTGAATATCACAAACAATTTAAAGAAGAAAGAAGAAAACAGACGAAAAAAATGAATCCTTCAAATAATTGCATTTGCCTCATTCAACTTTTTTTCAACACAAAACAAAACATAAACTATCTGGAGACTGCAAAAAGTGTTGTAGTATTGTATTATTTTTTGGTTTTAAAAAACACTATATTGATTTCACTGAGTATAAGTCTGATTTTCAAGGCTTATTTTAAAATTTTACATGTTGAAACAGAACGAATATCAATATCATCATGTGGTTAAGTCAGTCATGGTGTTCACATTCACATTGTATCAGCTAGATATCTTCATGAAATAAATCCCTCAGGATTTTGTACAGTGCAATTGCTGTATCAAGGCTGGTTGGTAATGACAGAGCGTTTTCCTTCATGTAAATTCCACATAGATCCCATATGTCTTCATCACAAATTTGATCTTGCCGAAAAATACATTCAGTTTTACAGACATCAACTTTATCTTGATCCACTTCGATTCTGTAACTTCGAGTTTCATATGAAGTCGGAATCATATACATTATCATAGGTCTGCCATGTGGACAATTCTGGTTTTTTGTAGGGCGAATCTGATGTATATTCCAGGTTGTCATCACGTCATTCAATTCGTTCTGAAATATGAATGAAAGAAATTCAATAAAACAGATGATATCTCTGCTAATATGTCAAAATCAACAATGTGAATCTGATTAAAATTTCGATTTCTAACAACACACCCATTCAAAGAATAATGGTACACGGACTTATATAAGCTGCAAACAAGCAGCTAAAGAACGTCTGTCGTTCGACCTGTTACAAACCATGCATGCACTTGAAAAGTGTATACGTAAGCTTTTATTTAGCCATTTTTATATTGTCTGAATACGGCAATTGTCAAGTAACTTAAGGGACCGATCATTTTAACTCTGAGGGGGAGGGGTATGTTTTTTTCCTTAAAAAATAATTAGACAATGAAAAAAGAAAAAAAAATATTCTGAGTAAAAATAACGTCAAAATACAAAAAAATCTGTCACGCCGCGTAAAAAAATACTTCAAAAAAGGAAAATGAACATGAACAGCCCCCGTTCAATCAAGTTAAATGGGTTTGTCCTTTATCCTTCATTAAAAAATTCGACAGAAAATTACACGAGTTTGAATCCAGTTTTTTGAAACAAACAATAACAAGCAGCACAAAAGTCCACTCCGGCTTACTGACAAGTCATAATACACATATCTGGACTATGTTGAATGATAAATTTAATATGTCGGAGTTATTTTGAATCTTGACTATAAACCCCGCACATGACAACGACGTAGCAATAAATATATACCTTCCCAACATATTACCCCGGTATATGAAACTAGGCAGCCTGCTGATTCGGCATAGCCAGGAACAATATACAGTGCTCGTAAAGCTGGTTACCCGTAGTTTTCTTTATGCTAATATCAGCCCATTTTCTGTCTGATAAAGACATAAGGATTAGCTTTTATATGTACAGTTGACATATACTCATTAAGCGCACAGTACCTGGTACAAATAGAACGATGAGCACAGGAAAAATTCTAAGTTTGGATGTAACACATCTTCTGATTATCTGAAAGTGTTTTTTTTTATCTATTAAAATTGAGAATGGAAATGGGAAATGTGTCAAAGAGACAACAACCCGACCATAGAGAAGATCATATACATAATTTTTAAATGTGAACATGACGTCATCAACGTTTTTTTTTCATGATTTGCTTCTTATCGAAATAACATCTAACATGTGATAAGGTACTACGCGGGTTATTAAGGATGTAGCACATTTTTTATGTTATTTCGAATCTATTTGGCAGAGAAAAAAATAGAACAGTCATTCCTTTAATGAACGGGGTTCAGTTAAGTCGGTTCATGTGATATGAAGTTTCAGTTTTAAAGACCATATTGATATACTGTCAAAAATATTTAATTTATATACGCTCGCTTCGAAATAGTTGTTTTAAAAAGGGGTTCCAATACTCGCCAAGGCTCGCAAAATCTTACTGTTTCTAAAGATTGCGCTAATGAATTATATATATACTTTGACAGTATGCGTATATTGGCTTATTATTATTATACCAAAGGACACTTCCAATCTCTTACATATTTGTAAAATAAAATAGGAGTTGTACTTATTTTTTTTCTTAATTGCAAATTTTATGGATTTAATCCTGATATCCCTAATATAGTGCAATATAATGTATGCATACTTTGAGTCAACATATCTCGAAAACCGAAGTTGTCAGGTGACCTATTATTATTCCGCCTCGATATTGAAATAAAATCGTTAGTAAGCAGAAACAATATCTTTAGAGAAAAAAATCGAGTTCCCACTGACATTTGTTTTATTAGGGACTGGTGTTCTCAATAACATTACAAATAGAGGTTCAATTTTGTTGAAAAATATGTAATCAGAGCAGAAACTTACCTGAAGTACAGACATGCAACAATACTGTATCAAATTCTTATCAAGAAGATCGCCATTATATAGACCATCATCTACCAAGACACCGAGCTTTTCAATCCAAACCTGACAGCACTGGCGTCTCAAAATGTACCAAAAACTCTCTATTCTTTGATTTCCTGTGCTTGGTCCGTAAATAAAACTTTCTCTTTCAGCTAGAAAGTTTTGAAAAGCTGCTACATGACCATTTTCTGTTCCATGGTCTCCTCGTACTCGAGAAGGACACCCTTTTATCTTGCTAACAGCCTCCATATAGTAGCCTGCAATAATTCTGGGATTACTACTGGTTGAATATGCATTTAGCCAAATAATCTGTCTCGAGAATCCATCAAGGCAGCCATTTATGAAGAGACCATACCGTTTTAATTTATCATACGAATCCAGATGCCACACGAAATCAGGGCCCCTGGCAAAATAATGTCTCCGCCTTAATCTTTTCTTTGAACGCATCTTAACGCCAACAGGATCAAGAAGCTTCATCATCAATTCAACTGTATCACGAGGAACATTTAGTCCACTCTGGGTGCACTGAAGGTGCATCCAGCGGTATCCGTAATCAGCACCACTCGAAATCTTGTCTTGTATGAAGAGCGCTGCTTCCAATACATCTGTCTTTGACTTTCGTCGCCTTAATCCGGCCCCTTTTAGTGTCCTCTTTAATGTTCTCATACTAATGACAATCCCATGTTGTTCAGCGAGGAACCTTAAGATGTATTTGTACTCAAATCCCAAACGAAAATAGAATTTACAGATAGATGTTCTATCAATATCCATTTTAATCTGAAATTGAAAATTAGACAGAGATTAGCACTCAACTGTTAATAGTCACGAGCATTTAGTGACCTGAACTAACCTTTTCAATACTGCATTAATTTTCATGTTGGACCCCCGTTTTATTTTTACAACTAATGCTTGTGTATGGGGAACATATGGTTTGTGCTAAGCTGTCTAAGAATAGTGTAAACATCGCCATAGACAGTTTTAAATCTTTAAAAAAAAATTATATTTGATACGTGTTTTAGCCCTTTGGTATCCAATTTAAAGTAAACAAAAATAAAATAACACATATACATTGTCTTATTTCTATTCACGTATCTACTATGTATATATATAAAATATACTTTTTCACCTTTTCACTTTTTTGGTCTTTTGGATACTGTATTTAGACCCCTCTACCTAGAAATTTGTTTTGCATGCACATTTCTAAAAATTTCGGTTTTTATCCAAGGCAATCATAGGTTTGAACGTTGTTTTCAATTGATACTTGTAGACTGAACTAGTGACAACTCTACGGTAGATTTTATCCATCTGATCACCAGTGATGGTGATACAAGGCTAAAACACATTCTGTAGATATAATTCACCTAAATATCAGCACAACAATATTAGATCTGTAAATTTGTGAAAGCAAATTTTTTGTTCTTCCCTGGCCGGGATTCGAACTCATGCTACTGAGACAACGTGGCACAAAATCGCCTTGAGCTAACTAATGCCCGATGCGCTAGACCAATCGACCACCTGGGCTATATATACAACATATCAACAAGACAAATAGATAGGAAAGACCTAGTCTTTAGTTTCACGTGCATTCAGAGTGGCTGATCCAGAAATTTCATAAGAGGGGGCTCACTGACTGCCTAAGTCATGCTTCAGTGATTCCATATATATAATCAACCATTTTTTCCTACGAAAAGGGGGGGGGGGCGACCCCCCTCCCCTAACTCGCCTCTGATTCATATTTAAAGTGTCATGCATTTTCATGCTCCTAATCAAGATATTTGCTAGTTGTTACGTATATATACTTCAACGGAAAAAAAACAAAATTAAGAAGTCGATATGCCACCTTTTGTTGGATTCTTTGAATGAATATTACTTATATACTAAGTATTCATTCCATATTTTATGGAGTCACCGAGGCTTAATATAGTTATCTATTCGGGTTATAAAGTGATCAAGAATACAATCAAATTTAACGTTACGAAACTTAGATTCTTATGGGGTATAATATCTATCCCTTAAGTACCGAGTACAGTATGCATTAAGACTGTATCACCGAATGCCTAAGAACCGAATAATGTTAATTTAAATTACTCTCTCATTGAGTTCTTAGTTAAATGAAAAATAAAATAGCTAAACTATACCGTAATAAAGGTTATCCTGGCATTTCTTAAAGAAATTTCTTAAATTAAACGGACGATAATGTGAGAACTATGAACCAGTCGCAACATTGCCCCCCCCCCCCCCCTTCCCGTCCACCCAAAAACCTCTTGGTCTTGTATTTTTCAACTTTGGTAAGTTTGCTAATTGAATCCTCTTCCACTCCGTGTCCATCCTCTTTTCTAGAATTCAAGCTTGTGTCTACTGAGCATTTACATAACAAAATTTGGCTACTTACAATGAAAAATTCTTAGAAACATACCTTTCTTCTTTGTACTGTCTACCATTTCCGGAAGTCAATATGCACGTGACAACGTCAAATCGAACGAGGTAACGAGAAAGCTATCTCGTAATTACGACATAATAAGTCGTTATAACGACATATTATGTCGTAATTTCGACATATTATGTCGTAAGTACGACATCTTATGTCGTATTTACGACATAATTATATCGTTATTTCGACAAATTTAACAACATAATTATATCGTTATTTCGACATAATATGTCGTAATAACGACATAATATGTCGTTATTTCGACATCGCCGATGTCGTTATTACGACATAATTTGTCGCAATAACGTTATTTCGACATAATATGTCGTATTTACGACATATTATGTCGTAAATACGACATATTATGTCGAAATAACGACATAATTATTTCGTTATTTCGACAAATTATGTCGTAATTTCGACATTATATGTCGTATTATGTCGTTATTTTGACAAATTATGTCGTAATTACGACATTTTTTTTTTTTGAATGGCCCTTATCGGCTTCCGTACACCGACATATTTCCTGTCTTTTTTATTAAAAATATTTACGTTAGCATCAATAACTATATTTTTTTTCAACAATTCCAGTAACTATTCATATTAGTACACTAAGGGGTTGACCATTTAACTTCAAAAGGCCGGTTATGGTTTTTTCCTAAAAAAAAAACATTTTGATCCCCAATTTTATGAGAAAAAATATATAATGGTCAAGCAGATGACACTGAAAATAATGTTCTGACTCCTGATTTTCCGAATACCTTATATAATAGTGCTGATTTCGAAAAAAAAAATATTTGGGCGATAGCGTTGAAAAACTCAATAATTTTCTTACTCAGAAAAGAACACACCCCCTTTTGAAGCTAAATGGTCGGTCCGTAAATGTATTTTTGTTCAATATATGGACATGAATAGTAATCTGGACAATGTTGAAAGAAATGCTGGTACCAACGTTTACATTTCAATAAAAATACATTGATTGATTGTTGGTTGCTTTACGCCGCATTAGCACAACAAGGCTATATCGCGGCGAGTTCAATAAAAATACAGGAAATATATATATAAAAATCAAATCTAATCAAAAGATAAAATCCCTATCAACTCACCAATGCACGATTGATCCTATAAATAAAAAGTGTCCGTGTAATACATGTTCAAATATGCAGCAAATCGTGAAGAAAATCATTCAACTTGTGTCATCAATGTTGGACGGTAAGCTCTGATTGGATCCTATAGTGACACGTGTTTAATCCTGATCAACACTATCAGAGACATATAAAAACCTATAAGCATGAACATTTTTTTTTAATCCAAAACATATGCCTATATATATATAATAACAAGACATGGACATGGCACATCCTGCATTTTTTCAACAAAAAAAAGGATAAAGCCTGTTTATTTTAAATTTATTTTAACCCCCCCCCAATAAAAATCAAATGGTAGCTTGCTTACCTCTGAAATCTTTTTTATACATTACTTACTTGCGAAGTTGCATTTCAAAAAGTCTCAAATGTGTATAACATTCACCTTTAACTTGAAATGGTTCTTTTTATAAAGTTATTAGATTCTTGAATTTTTTGAGAAAAAACTCTCGGCTTCATGAATGGAAGTGAGAAAAAAAAAATGAGTTTAAACTGTAACTTACATTAACTGGTATATGGCCGTTTAAGTTTCTAATATCTTTAGTTTTGCTACCTCTTCTAAATGCAAAATGTACTTCTTCCTTCTTGAAACGTCGTACAAGTCAGATACAAAACAAAGGTAACAAAAAACAGGCCGGAAACAACCTGCCGTATAGTTTGTCTGCACTTGAAGTCAGGTCAAGGTCCTCGGCTATCGCCTCGGACCTTGACCCGACTACTCGTGCAGAAAAACTATCCGTCAACGGTTGTTACCGGCCTGTTTCTTTGTTACCTTTGTATTGTATCTAATACAAACCTGCCAGAGTTGACCTACTGCTTATTTATAGTATCTGAGAAACAAACTTGGCCGCGATAACTTAAGCGTAGTCACTGAACCATGATATGTAGTCGTGGTCATATGAACAACCCTATCTAACGAACATGTAGACCTTGTAAGATACCATATACCAAACAAAGATTAGACCCTCGACCTTTTCAGTTCAATTTTATGGAAAAATGAGCAGAAAAACATATGAATTTGTTTGGACCTCTTGGTAGATAAATATCTATGGTTTCAGGAAAGGTATCACTTAAATGGATTGCAATTCTCCTTTGGACCAAATTTTGGGGACTTTTGGGACATTTTCACCCCCTTTTTTGTAACATTTTGTATCAAATAAATGCAGATTGTTGCCATGGTTACATTAATAAAATGCTTCGCTGAGCGCAGCCTGATACGACCGCAGAGGTCGAACCCTGAACAGTTGGGGCAAATTTGGACACACTATTCAAGCTTGATACTGACAATTTTTGACATAATAAAGGTTTCTGACACAAAATTAAATGTGGTCATAGATCTTAAAAATCTATTGCGCAATACTGTGCAATTGAAGATTTCTTCTTGAAACTTTTCAAAAAATTTGAAATTTGAAAAATTTTGAAGAAAAAAAATCCCCCCAATCTTTTTGACCCCCCCCTTAGAAGCAATTACCCCCAAACTTTATCCCAGCCTTCCCTTTGTAGTATGGAACCTTGTAGTACAATTTTAGAGAGATCCATACACTTAAACACAAGTTATTGTCTGGAAACAAGAAAAATGCTTGTTTTTGGCCCCTTATTCTTGCATGTTTGAGGCAATTACCCCCAAACTTAATCCTAGCCTTCCCTTTGTGATATGGAACCTTGTGGTACAATGTCAATGAGATCCATACACTTACACACAAGTTATTGTCTGGAAACTACAAAAATGCTTGTTTTTTTTGCCCCTTTTTGGCCCCTTATTCCTAAACTGTTGGTACCAAAACCCCCAAAATCAATCCCAAACTTCCTTTTGTGGTATTGAACCTTCTTGTTAAATTCCATAGAGATCCATTCTCTAAAACTAAAGTTCTTATCCGGAAACCAAATGTGTCTTCGGACTACGCAGACGACGCAGACGACGACTTCATACCATTATACGAACCCCAAAAAAATTTTGCGGTCGTATAAAAAGAGATTATAACTATTGTAAATCAAATCTATGGAAAATTCTGATTCCATATATATGCACATGCATCAAACAAACATAAAGCCTTATTTGTTAAAAAGCAAGAGAAAAAGGGTGGTTAAAAATTATGAGTGTCAATTCTGAGTTGTTCTCCTAACTGTGTATTGCTACCTAATGTAAAGCACAAAATTGTTGACGTGGGAGCCTTGGGAAAGAGTCAATTGCAAACGTCTAC